GTGAGAGGAAGAGGTGTGAGAGGAAGAGGTGTGAGAGGAAGAGGTGAGAGAAAGATCTGGGAAATAGGCAACCGCAACAAGATAGTGAAATTATTTCTCATTCACGCGGAAAAGAATCACTTTATGGGCGAAGCCCCTTAACAGTTTCAAGTGGGTGAAAAGTGAGTTCGCCTTCCAAGTTACTCCTGTTGGCTTTTCTTCCCTTCACTGTTTCTCTTCACTCAACTCTACCTCGACTTGCCTTCAGCTGACTTCTCAAGGGTGTCCACGGCAATTGCTGTCACTCTGCTCTGAGTGGCCATCAATGATTTCTATATCTGCTTCTTGACTGCCTCTATTCGCCTTGAACCAACATCATCAGCTGTCATACTTGTCCGTCAAGATAAGTATCTTGATGAACACCAAAGAATAGAATACAAATCCAACAAATTTCAGGTCTAGCTGATCATATATCACTCAAAAAACATTCTGCACAAAGATCTTCGAATGCTACTATCCTGGACTTGCTGGTAGGCTTCCGATTGAATAGTGACAATAAACTGGCTTTGCCCCCGACTCTAAAAAAAAAAAAAAAAAAAAAAAAAGGATCTTTAACAACCCCAATCAGATTAGAGAGATATCAGTTCTCCAATATACTCGAATACTAAACCTCTAAGCTAGTACCCCATGCCGCTAATATATTTGGTTGTTGACAGTAGGTTCAATGATATAAGAGTGTAATGACAGAACCCAGAGCCTTCTTGCTAGTTCTGTTGAGTGATAGGCTGGGACCTTTTAACATGAACTACCTAGATAGTAATCTTAATTATAATCTTCATCGGTGTTGGGTGTATGAAATGTGCAGAACACAAGTAGCTAGTAAGTAGGTATTCACTATTCACTATTCACCCTGGGCCTTCTGGCATGAGGTCTTGCTGTTACAGCTATACAGAGCTATACAGAGTAACTCATAGAAGAAACTATAATTACTTGCGCCAGGCTCACTTGCAAGACTAGTACACATCCACGGGGTATTGGCAGAGCAGAAGAATACCTTTTCGTTCTAGATGGTCACTGGTATAGTAGATATTAGAAAGTAGTTACTGGTGATAGAACATTTCGCAGAAGTGCATATAATCAATTGGCATGGTCCTCATTAAGTTCATATTTACTATTTACAATGACTGACTAAGAGCTTTTTGCTAAAAGCATATAAGATAAGGTTTCTCAAAATAGAATAGTGCGACCTCAAGGGATATAGAAGGCCCTCTCATAATAGTGATTTGTGGCAAAGAATACCACTCGGCTACAAAATACTCCTAGACACTTCTGAGTTATGTGGGTACCCTTTTATGCACTTCTTATATTGTGACATGATTTAATTCTAGGAGGCTTGCAAAATATCAGGATAAGAATTAGATTACCAGACAACATTCTGATCACTACCAACACCAGAACTTGATTAAAATCATTGGAAATAGACAATAAGGAATCTATGACTAGTCTCAAGTATTTGCTGAATGAAGGGTATTGAAACTTCAGACAGATGGCCAGGATATCCTAGAAAACTCCCACCTTGTAACATCACTGATTCACCATCAATGCTGGCAAGTTAAAACACCCCTTGACTATTATTATTATTCTACAGTAACCAGTCAACTTTTATTCTATTAGGTTTATTATTCATCTTTTGCTCTTCTAGATATGGTCTAGCGCCTTCACTGTAATCTTCTGTTTCTCGAAGACTATCTAATGTGAGATGTCCTATCTACTAGACTCACCATCCCTTATCTGCAACCACAGACTCCTACTTTATTATCATTTTCTCATGTACTCTCATATCTATTACCCCCTCTTTCCATGGATCCTTTTGCTGGCCGGTGTCTGTAGGCGTTTGCTAGATTTTGTCGCAGATATCTTAAACCTACAAGAGCAAAGTCAAAAGCGGATTATGATCTTCTAATGATCTCTATATGATCTCACTTCTAAATGTCATGTGATTACATTCCAACACTTTTACACCAAGTCCGCCTCCATCGTGCCTTCCACCTTTGTATATCACGATTATTGACTGTCATGTCTCTTCCCAAGTCCACATTGTCTCGCTGTTTATCAGCACCACCCAGCATGTCGGTTACTTCAGTATCTCGAGCTTTGGCGTCCAAAACACCTATACTTGTTACTGGACCACACAAACCCGACAGCGAAGGCCAACAGGAGCTGGACGAGATCATCAGAACAATCAAGGCCCATCTCTTAAGCCGACATCGTGAATCCAGTATAGGAATTCAGGTCGATCACAAATCGAGACAGTTCGGACAGGTCACCCAGTTTCTTGACAGGACTGGTGTGAGATACGACACCGACGACCAAGATATCCTGTTTATCTATGCAATGCCCAGTTCCATTCATCAGAGCTTGGGTATATTTGCAGTTTCATGTCTCAACCAATTGAAAAATGAGATCCTGATACCAGAAGAAGCAAGAAATCTCGAAGTCGGGGTTACCTCAGTTCGTCTTGGCGGCAAAATTAAAGGTAAGGGTACCAAGCGGCAAGCATCAAAGAAGACCCCCGATCAGTCCTTTTTTTTCAGTGATCCACAAACCCACTGCCGCTATCGTACCGTCATTTTCGAAGCGGGCTTTAGTGAAACACATGACGATTTGGTACGGGATATGAAACAATGGCTCTTACATAGTCGTGGCGAAGTCCAGCTTGTCATCCTGGCGGATATCAACGAAGACAAGAAACAGCTTTTGAAACAACAGAAGAGCGACTCCTTCAGAGACCATGCTGCTAAAGTCCTGAAAGATTTCGGGAATCCGCTTGGAAGAAGAAAACATGCCGAGATCTTGACGGCGGATAACTGTGTTTATCAGGGAGATCGAGACATGGATACTTCCGCCCTGACTGAAAGACTGCCTCATGAGATTTATGGTGTTGTGCAAGTGGAGGACTGGATTGGCCCAATCACTGCTGATTTGGAATTTTGGGCTCTGAAGGACTCTGAACCTTATATAAGAGGCCATGCTGTGAGTACTTCACCTATTATGATTTCCCTATGACTGCAAGCAAAGCTGACGATAATAACATTAGCGTGTGTTCCCTTCGCTGACCGGACGTTTGCCTCCTATTTATGCTGGCGATATAATCCCTCTATCCTGCCAGGGTAGCTTTCCAAATTTCGATGCGTCACGGAAGCTCTTTTTGGACCTCGAGAAGTTTCGATGCTGTTTACTTGATGGGATTCGTGATGACGCTGTTGAGCGCGCATATGATTTCGCATGCCCAAACAGCGAGGATGACGAAGACGAAGATTATCAGGAGTAACCGCGGGCGTGTATTACTCCCTATCCTTAGAATATTACTTAACCTTAATGATGGACAGCTGGGATAGTGTGTTCCCGTATGTTGAAAATAGGCCGGGTGTGGTTATTGCTAGTCGCCCGAGGAATGCTTTATTGGCTTTAGCAGTTGAATCCATCAATCAATTAATGTTCTCTTAACCAGTTGAAGCCCGTCTGTTAGGGCGATAAGACTTCGATTATAGTGCATAGTCAATATTTTATATTTGTTCGTAATTAGTCGCAACCAATGCCTTGTAATCACTATGTTATAATTCATTAAAGACATCAGTATGGAAGTAGTCGCTGATCCTCGGGCTCGCCAAGGCCGGAGGGTCTGATCGAGTCACATGTCGAGGGTTCAGTGTTCCCATTCCGGCACTTTGGTGGGCTTCCGATCATCCCACCCATCGGTTTCACTCTCTCCTATTTATACTTGGGAAGTCTTCTCGACCAGTTTCAGCCCTCGGTGCCCCTTTCCCCGGCAAATGTGTACCCTAGCTGTTCATGAGCGAGCCCGTTAACTCGTTGCTAGTCGAACCTGCTGTTCGATCGAACCCAGCAGATTCCCCGCGGCCTTTGGAACATGATCAAATTGACACCCATTCGAGCATCGATACCGACCACTCTTCGGCGTATATCTATGGTAACAATGAGGCTAAGGACTTGATCGACATGGCCTCGAACATCAGACAAGAGGAGACTCCGATCATGGGCCAGCGCCAAGGTGATGCGGGATCCGAAGATGGCGCTTACCGCTCGGCCACCTCGCCGCGGTCCAATCTGAACAACCGACCGGATCATGACACCGAAAGGTCTTCGGCATTCACAAATACCGAGCTTGCGTTTAATCATGCGTCTGCTCAATCTTCTGAAGGCTTTTCGGATGCGACACACCCGAATGTTTCGACAAGACTAGACCATGACATCGATATCCCCGCTTCCATGCGAAATGCGCCCCAACGGCCCGATCCAACAATGGAAAGAGCGGGGACTCGGCTAGACGGTCATTATGGAGAGGACAACAACAGTGGTCATTTTCTTCTTCCAGAGGACGATGGGATGGGTGCTTTGAGAAGCAGAATACACGCCATTCGAGACCTACACTCCAGCAGCGCTGCGAAAGCACGTATGGTCCACGAATTAATGACGGAGAACTATAATGCTGTTCGAGATTTCAATGGGGATGAACTCTCGCAAATGGCGCAGTCGCCTCCCAGGCTACGGAGCGCAGCGTATCCCGGTGGTACGCATTCTGGTGGGAGCCACCAACCGTTCGATCAACCGTCTCCACACCCAGCCCTTAAAGCCCCGGACGCTCCACAGGATATAATATACAATTTGACAGCAGAAGACTTGATGCCGACCTTTTTTCCCAAGGTGGAAACGGCTGATCCCTTGGACGATGCCGATGATGCCGATACCGAAGAACTCGAAGATGCCTCCCTAGGCTGTCAACATTATAAGAGAAACGTCAAACTTCAATGCTACACTTGCAAGAAATGGTACACCTGCCGATTTTGCCATGATGAAATCGAAGACCACCATCTCGACCGACCCAAAACAGAAAATATGTTATGCATGCTGTGTGGACACCCCCAGCCTGCCGCCCAGGATTGCACAAGATGTGGTGTACAAGCTGCGCTGTACTACTGCAGTACCTGCAAGCTTTGGGATAACGACTGCAGCAAGAGCATATATCACTGCAATGACTGCGGGATCTGCCGCATCGGACAAGGCCTGGGAAAGGATTTCTTCCATTGCAAGGTGAGTTGTCAGGCAAAGGATCAAGGAATGAGAAATTGGGTTGAAGCTGACAGAACCTTAGAGGTGCAGTGTCTGTTTACCAATCTCGATTGAAAATACTCACCGATGCATTGAGCGCTCAACCCAATGCGATTGTCCAATTTGTGGAGATTACATGTTTACGTCTCCAGAAACGGTGGTCTTCATGCGATGCGGCCATAGCATTCATCAGAAATGTCTCTCTGAGCACTCGAAATCTTCTTACCGTTGCCCGATATGCAGCAAAACAATCACCAACATGGAGTCCACGTTTCGGAATCTAGACCGCACGATTGAAAGCCAGCCGATGCCAGCCGAGTTCAAAGACACGAGCGCTATTATATATTGCAACGACTGCAGTGCGAAATCTGTCGTGAAGTATCATTGGTTGGGTCTCAAGTGTGATATGTAAGTCAACTTTGACATCCTTAGGCATTGAACCTAGCTGACGAGTGCTTAAGGTGTGAATCCTACAACACCGCCCAAATTCGACTTTTACATGGAGACGCCCTTGAGTCTTCTGAACAGGAAGTCGAGAGTGCCAATCTATCAAATCTGCAAGCCAGTTCCCCGGTCGATGCCGGCCAAGCCGGTTCACCAACCTTGACACCGTCACGGCTTAGTACTAGCCCTGTCCCTGGACCTAGTCCGGAACAACGATCCAGTGGCCCCTTATCCGCTGAACCGAGTGGGCAGTTCGCTTCTTACAGCCTTACCCGTGACAGAGCTGTTTCGCCCGTAATCAGCAACTACTTTGGCATCCCTCCTGAGCGTGGATCAGAGAGACCAAAATCAGCGTCCATATTTGGGAGACGATCTTCTAACGACGCCGAGAAAGACGACACCGGCGAGCTCCGTTTCTGGGGCGCGAGATTCAAATACAAATATGGATTCCTCAGTCGAGATGAGACAGCCGATGGAACTTCGGAAGTCGATAGCGACGGTGGAAGAGAGGAGACCGATGTATCCGAGACAAGTGATACTGAGGATGACAAAGCCGTGGACGACGACGATGATGATGACGACGAGAGTATTGATATCTTTGGACACCGGTAACCGAGCAGGTTGTATTTGATGGAAGCCTGCGTGCTGAGAATCAGGCGCAAGAGAACCTCTCCTGCACGGATTCGTCATTCGATCCTTCAGATGGTCTCGAGGGCATCAATTGTCGTCCGTCATTGGCCGGTGATGACCATACATGAACTGGGTGAAAGTGAAAGCTTTCCAAACCATAACTTGCATCCAGCCCTAGGGCCGGCACATTTGGAACTACAATGATTCCCACGGCCAGGAGAAGCGAGGCTGGCAGGTTCAGCCCGAGATACTACCTGTGTGGAGCTTATGTGTTCATGGTGTTTTGGAGTCGAGCAACGGATCATCCATCATTATAGACTTTTGGCATTGACATGTAACTTTTGACGAATCCTTGGTCCACGTCGTTGGAACGCCTCTAGCGTCACCGCAGAGCAAGACATTCGCACGACTTTATTCTTACAGATCTCCCTTGATCCTTGGCTTTCTTGTTCCAGAATATCACGTGTCAAAAACCGCCTTGGGATAACGGGATCCCTCATTTAAGGTTGTAGAGTGGCTTAAGTGGTTGCCTCATATATCAGACAGTCTGGGCCGTGGCTTGTTGGATAGGAAAGGTCAAATCAAATCAAATCAAAATAAAAATGATCAATAATACACCAGACAACTGACGAGAGTAGATATTAACCTAGTCCGGAGCATCTCGTCAACTTCAACTGATAAAGTACATGCTGATCAACGCTTATCTAAGCGTCTCTCCGGTTGCGGGTTTTCCCTCTTCTTTCTCATTCTTTGGACCTTCGATTACCTTCTTCGGAGATTAGTCGGAAGGGAAGGGGGAAGTCGATCTCTGGTTGCGTTGAATTGAAGTATACCTACAGATACAATAGAAGACATTGCCCGAGAAGCAAGAAACCATTGGGAATCTTGCGTGGCCCTCCTCTGAATCCCTACCTATCACTTTCCATCTCTTTCTTCTGAAACGAAGCACGGATCTCCCCGCAGACCCTATGATTCAATCCTCGTCCTCTTACTGAAGGAGTTGCCTGCGCCCCTTCATCCCCCCACCACAGATTCATGGATGTGAAGCTAGGTTACTAATATTGAAGAGACCCGTTCGTTCGTTTTTATTGGAATCTGCCTACTCGATCTTCTCCCGCCCCCCCCTGAGCATTACGTCTAGTCTAGCATTCGCGGGATTGACACCATCGCGAAACTTCCCCTCCTTTGTCCGAAACCCCTTACGCTGGGCGCCGCCACAACAAGAAAGCACCCCAAGAACGCTAGACTATGATCCGTCGCAACTCAGACATTGAGATTCAGCTGCCCGATGCAGGTCCGACCATCGCGACCGACCCTCTGACGGAACCAGACGTGGAAATGCTGTCGGATGAACCGACTCTGCCTCTCAGCCTACCGGTTCACCTAGCCGCTCGTTTCTCGCGCAAGTCGAGTGTCGCGCGGCGATCCTCGGCTGCATCCTCTCGTCGCAGTTCGAGTTCATCCCTGCATTCCCACCATTCGAACGCGTCTTCCCATGGCGCGTCCCCTACCGACCATATCGCGCAACACCTCCGGCGGACCTCCATCTTGGAAAGCCGGAAAGCGAGGTTTGCTGACCGTGCCTTGCATGCCGAGAAGGTGAGGCTGCGCGCTGCCCTCACAAAGGCTGCTACGAAGAATCTACAGCGGGAGGAGAGAGCATTGGCGGCCCACCAAGCTCGGGAACGATTGTTGGCAGAGATCACTGCCAAATGCGAGGAGGAAGTCCGTCGGGCGAAGCAGAAAGCCGAAGATAATCGGGAGAAAAAGGCGGCGGAGCACGCTCGCCTGCGCCTGGAGATGGCGGAGAAGTTCGCCGAAGCCGAGAAGAGGCGTGTGCTTTACCACCAGAGCCATCGGCGTACCCGCACCAGTAGCCTGCCGGCCACCGAGGAGAAGAAGATGACCAAGGCGGTGACCAGATCACTCACCCAGGATGCGGCCGCCAGAACGATCCAGCGAGTGTGGAGGGCGCACTACGCCAGGATGGTCATGGGGCAGTTCCGGGGTCTGGACTTGACGCTGGACCGAATCCGTGAAATGTCGTTTGAGGATGTAGGAGCTCTCCTTTCCGACGATGGGGTCCTAGCCACCACCGCCCGTGTCCTCCAGCTTTGCGGGTTGCAGGATATGGAAAGCGGGACCATGGGTGGGAGGGGTGCGGTCCGGACATTCCTCAGCAGTTATTTGATTGTCACGCATCCTACCGAAGTCCTGAGTAGCAATGGCGAACAGGAGCAGGACCTGATCGCCAAGGCTCGCGAGTTGCTTGGAGCATTTGAGCAAGCCATGCCGTTGCTCTCGTCCGGCCACTGCCAATCCGTGGCCATCTCGACCGAGCTCCAGACGCTTGGGGAGGCTTACAATGTCTTTTTTTCTGCTTTTCATGCCTGGAAGACTCATGACTCTAGTGTCTTGGTGGAGATCATGTTAGCGCAGTTCGTCGAACTGGAGCTCATCTGGCAAACGGTCAAAGACGATCGGGCCGGTGGCGCGGCTGATGATTATTGGCAAGGTATCCGACAGAACCAGATCCTGCTTTTGGCCCGGTTGAAACGACTGGCCGGCTCCGACCGTGCAATGCAAATGGTCCGGGACGCTCTGAAGAAAGCCAAGCGAGAGAAGAAGCGCAATGCTTCCAAACGGGCGATTCCGCGGTCTGCCGAAGTTGCCCCGGCGTCGACCGAAGCACTGACCGATAGCGTGGCCTCGCCGATTAGCGAAACGTTCAATAATGTGGATAGTGCTGCGTTGCAAGAGCTGGATCGACAGCGGATATCCCCACATGAGCGGTTCACCCGTATACTGACTGCTCTTCCGGAAAACAGAGCGTTGGTCCATGAGCTTCTCATCAACAAGGAGTTCAAGATCGAAGAAACGCAATACACGGAGCCACGCAAGCAGGTCATGGCGCATATGTGCGAAATGATGCGGAGAGACGTAGACGCTGGCATGGGGACCAACTGGACCGTGGCGATGGCTACTGTAATCCAGGATCGATTGCTACGCTCACTGCGCCCCGGGAATTCCCTCTACGTCCTGATCAGCGAAGTGCTCGATCCGAAGTTGGTGGAGAGCCAATGCAGGGCCGGCGCCTTCTCCTACGAAAGTTTCTACGATTTCATGAACACCATCCTCCCGAAACTTTGCGCGCCCTACCGCGATCCCGTGCTCAAGGAATTTGCCGAGGATCAATCCGGAGACGCGATCGACCGACTGGCAAGGCTCATGGGGATCATTGACCTTCTGTCGCTGGATCACACGAACTTCATGATCCAGGTCGCGGCGCCCCAACTCATCCAGGAGGCACCTGGCTACGAACAGAGGACGTTCGAAAAGGGTCTCCAGGATGGCTCGATGACCCTGGGGAAGAGCCGACGCTTTTGGCGAACGCATCGCAAAATCATTGTGGACGAGTTGCGCAAACGGGACCCGGAAAACATCAACGGGGAGCCTCAACCGCCTGCGGCGAAGATCTACGCGCACGGCCTTGTGGATCTCGTATTGAGCAACGCACCGGTGTCTGACGATCTCATCCCCGAGACCCTCGAGCTGGATCGCATGCGCTTGCGGCAGCTGCACGCGCAGGCATACCGGATTGTTGCCACGGCCTCTATTCTTCTAACCGCCAAGAACCTGCTCAAGAGGGATGTGCGGTCACACTGGAAGGCCGAGGCTGACCGGATATTATCCCTGGACTTCAACGACGTCCGACCCGATCGTATCCAATCGATCCTGGAGTCCACCCATCCGATGCCACCTAGCGCGAGTGCTCAACTTGCGGCGACCATCCGGCGAGTTTTAGCGCCCGTTGCCGCGGCTTGTGCCGTGACCGATCCCTCCACGGCCGCGCAGGTTTCCGTCGAGGTGCCGAGTGATGGGGCTCGGCAAAATCCAGCGTCGTCGGATCCGAGCAGCCATGCCGGCTCGAGTTCCTTTGCGGGGAACGCTTCCAGCTTCAATGACCCCGTTGCACGACTCATCCTGTCCCGTCTGCGCACGCATGTCCTGTCTCGACTCAACGCGTCGAGTGCCAGCGAACGGGTGCGAGCGACAACCACTGCCAGTCAAAGCTTGGCGGGAGCAGGGATGCCAGAATTCGTCAGTGAGGTTGGGAAGCTGACTGAGCAGTTGGAGAAAGTGCGCGAAGTAGACTGGCTCTGCCATGGCATGGTGTATGGGCGGGTGCTGGGTGATGGAGTTTCCCCGGCATCTGGTCTGTGATGTGGCTGGTGGACTCTTATAGGTACTAAGGGAGGCTTTTTTAATTACTATACTAACATATATTATGTTTGGCTTATTGGTCATAACGCTGTTGTCTGTCTCTGATTTTGAAGATACGGCCGGCGTATCGCGTATATGGATCAGGTAGTACGGTTGGGTCCCCAATATAGTATCCGTACTTCAACTGAAATCGTACCCGTTGTATTTTGAGTTTCTTACAGAGAAAGCTGCATTGCTCTCCTATTGATTCAAGTGTCAATATCACTACCTATATATGTGGATGTGTACCTGCATGATGTCATCGTACCTTTCCTCCATTACTCAGTTCCGCACCAGCTCCGGAATTTCTTTCCCCCTCCCACAACCCCACCAGATAGAGTGAACAGCGCAATTCTTTCGCGTTCAGAGCCAATTCAACAAGAAGGATTGCGACAAACAGTGTATCTTGACAATCCTTATTTTTCCTCCCCCCTCATTCTCTTTGTCTCTTTCTTTCCCTCTCCAATTCCCCATACGCAGAAGAAGATCAATCCACCACCATGGCACCAAGAACCGACCTAACCCTCCTATCAAACGTGACACCTCCCTCCCTCGAACGCGCCTGGCTAACAGCCCCGCACCCGACCCTCCCGATCATCGCAACCTGCAGCAGCGACAAGACCGTGCACGTGTACTCGCTCACGAACTTCCGACTCCTGTCGACGATCTCCGGCGGACATAAGCGCAGCGTTCGGACCAGTGCCTGGAAACCGCACGTTAGCGGCGAGTCCGTGCTCGCTACGGGGAGTTTCGACGCGACTGTTGGGATTTGGAGACGGTGGGATGCATATGGCCAGGCGGGGGGTGATGCTGGATCAGAGACGCCTAATGGCGACGACGGAGCGAAGAAGGATCCGGAGGGGGTAGAAGGCGGCGCCGACGACGACGACGAAGAATGGCGTTTCGCAGTCCTTCTCGACGGCCACGACAGCGAAGTCAAATCCGTATCGTGGTCCCCGTCCGGAATGCTACTGGCGACATGTTCGCGCGACAAGTCGATCTGGATCTGGGAGGACCTGGACGACGGGGACAACAATTTCGAGACGGTGGCTGTGATGCAGGAGCACGAGGGGGACGTGAAGTGCGTGGCGTGGCATCCTGCCGAGGAGTGTCTTGCGAGCGCTAGCTACGACGATACGATCCGGTTGTGGAGGGAAGATATCGACGACTGGGGCCAGGTGGCTTGCATTCGGGGCCACGAGGGGACGGTGTGGTTTTTGGATTGGGAGGGTGTGGAGAATGTGCCGAGGGGAGCGGACGATGCGCTGGCCGCGCAGTGGAAGGAAGGACATGCGCTGTCTGGGCCCCGTCTTGCTTCTTGCTCCGATGATCGCACGGTCCGTATCTGGCGCCGCCAGCCGAAAGAATCGCAGCAGCAGGCCCCCTTTGGCGGGACGGGCGTGCCTAGCATTCTGCGCCCGACGGGGACAGACGAGACGTGGGAGGCGGACACGGTGCTCCCGCAGATGCACGATCTCTCCGTGTACGCCGTGGCGTGGAGCAAGCGGACTGGTCTGTTGGCGTCGGCTGGCGCAGACGGCCGTATCGTCGTTTACGAAGAGCGGTTCGTCACTGATGTGCCGGCGTCCGATGATGCCGCTACTGCCCCCAGCGATGGAGTTGCGCCTGCACCTCGCACGGAGTGGACGGCGATTGTGGTCCAGGACGGCGCGCACGGCGTCTACGAGATCAACCATGTGGCGTGGGCGAAGCGCGCTGATCGAGGCCGCGCGGAGGGTCAAGATGAGGAGGTCTTGATTTCTACGGCTGATGATGGGAGCGTTAAGATCTGGGCATTGGGTGAATGAACTTTTAGAACACCAGGATATAGAAGCATCTCTCGAGTACTACGATTGATATGAATTATATACGCAGGTCTATCTATGTAGATGCATGCTTACCGGCAGATAGAATGGGGCGGCTGTCTTCTTTTTTTCTCTTTTTCTACATTTATGGGGTGGTGTTGGATTACTCTACTCCATCCCCGCCCGAGTGCATAGTATATAACCAAGTCTCAAAAGGTTGTTGTTGCACTTACACGTCTGAAGTCGCAGTTGTTGCCGTCACTTGGATATGAAGAGATGAGTGGGCAGGCCTACTCAATGCAGAATTATACTCCAAAAACAACAAAGGCTAAAATAAAAAGGAATCGAGGCATGCAGCTGGTAAGCCTATGATTGGACATGTACTATATGAAAATTATCCGCCGCCCCGCGAGCGTTGCCGAGGATGCTGTCTGTCAGCATCATCCTCGTCACTGTCGTCGCCCACCGTGTAATGTTCCCTTTCGACCCCGGGGGAGTCGAGGTGGTCTAACTCGGCTTCGTCAAAGTCTCTCGCCTCGACATCGTGTCCCGAGCGTTTATGTTGGAATCGCTCGAGGAAGGAACTCCCGCTGATATCTTTGTGCCACACGCCCTTGTAGCCCTGGTGGTGCTGCCGGCTGCGCCAGATAAAGAATCCCCAGACCAAGACGCCGATGATCACGACTACGAGGGCCGCCTCGCCGGACTTGGCGTATGCCTTCCATTCTGTTTCCTTGATCTTCTCTTTCGCTTGCTCCTCAGCGGCTGTGCTGTTGGGATGGCCACCGACGGAGGTCTGAGTTAGCTTCTCCCCGTCGATGCGCGAATCCGCCGGCTTGCCACCGATGCTGGCGATGTCGACCTTCATGAACCGATCCAACATGTCCCGACTTTGTCGGGGAAGGTCGTATGGGACCATGTGGCTGGCGTTGTAGAACAGTACGTAGGTTAGGTTTCGGGCGTACTGGTAAATACCAGCCGGCTCGTCTTCGAAGGTCCAATCATGACGGGGCGCCCACACGCCGGACGAGGTCTCGAATCCCGTCCCGCCGTTCCATTGCATATTGTTGATCAGATGTTCCGTGCCGATGTGGTTGCAGATGAGGTCCTTATCGCCACTGAAGAGAAGGACGGGGATGCCGGACTCAAGGAGTCCGGGAAGGAGGTTCACGGCAGGCACGGAGTTTTGTGCCAGGAAGGTCCTGGAGACCGCGCCTGAGCATTCTTGCCAGCCCGACTTCTTGTCCGGATTGATGTTCAGTGCTTGGACGACGTCTGGGCGCTGTAAGTAGGGCCCCACATCCTCCAGATCGGTCGGCCAATTCATGCCGCAAGACTCCGCATCGTCACGGAGACGAATGTCATACATGTTGTAGCACTGCTGGTCAGAGTCCAGGGTCTTCCCAAGCAGCTCCGTCAAAACCGTTTCGCAGTCATCATAGTGTATCTTGTTCTTCTTGGCCTCCATGCGGGAGTGACAGACGGAATCGAGAACTTCGAGATTCTTTGCGACCCGACTGCCTTCTGTGATCAACCCTTCCTCGTACGCGAAGGTCAGGTAGGAAGGGTATTGCTCGGCGGGCGAAATCCACCCGTTTCCGATGAGGAGACCTTTGACATTCCAGGGAGCGGAGGAGGGGGCATTTTTGTTGCGCTCTTGGATGGCCCTGGCGATATAAGGGATATGTTGACCGGCGTAAGACTCGCCCGACAAGTAAATCTGTCACCAAGTCAGAGATCGGTAGTATAGAGGGGTAGGAGAGAGAGCAGGATGACATACGTCGTCACGTTCATACTCCGGAAACAGCTCAAAGAACGTGGTCAGGAAGGTGACGAAATGGGCGGCCATCTCGTCCAACTCGTGGAGATAGGCGTTGGTGTTGACATAGCTGAAACCGGTCCCGACGGGCTGATCGACAAACAGCAGGTTGGCGAACTCGTTCCACGAACCGTTGTTGTACGTCAGGGTCTGGTTGTCCTCCAGTCGATACGGGCCAACCTCCATCAACGCGCCATCCATCGAGCTACACCCCGGGCCTCCATTCAACCAGATGACGGTGCGCTGACGATTGGCGATATGACGGTTCTGGAAATGCCAGAAGAAAAGGTCCCCGTTGTTCTCCGGATCTACCTCAATGTGCCTTCAGGCATCCATGTCAGCGACGAGGCTTCGAGGATGGGGAGGGGCCATGTTGTCCTTACCCAGCATGCATCTTCAACATGGGCCCTTCGGGGACACCTGGCAGTGAGCGAACATAGTAGTCGGCCGCCGACTTAGCCGACTTGGCGGCGACCACGCTCGGGATTGACAAGAGGAGTAGTAATGACGCCGTCCAGAACCATAGGCCGGCAGAGGGAAAAGAGGCTGTAGAGGTCTTTTGTTTCCGGGAAGCGGAAGCCCCGCGGAACGGTACGGGGAACATTTCCCTGACCATCACCACAATGCGGCCCAAGGAAGAGGCCGGAGGTAAAGTGTAAACGAGGGAGGTGAGGTAGGAGTCGGCGGAAAAGAAGGGAGAGTTGAAAGAGGAGAAGTAGGGAAGGGGTCCTGGGAGATGCTCAAGGACACATTGATTATGTCGATCCTGGTCCAGAATTGTGCCGATCGGGAAGTGGATTTGAAACGCGACAGACCGTGACTAAAGGAACAAACCAAATGAGATCACCACGAGACAGCAATCAAGACAATCCAAGTCAGTCAAGTCAGTCAAGTCAATCATGTCAAGAGGGAAGATTCCCATCGAAGAGAATGAGAAGAAGAAGGAGAAGGAGGGGAGAGGAAAGAAACCCCTTGCGGACAATAAGGATGAATAAGGATGAATTAGTGATGGATCTCCCTAATGAATTGATGGCGTGGCCCATGTACCGTGTATGGTATGGTCACCAGCCGGGATTTGTGAGGACTCTTGGCAAATACACCTGCAGACTTGGTGGTATTGTATTGAAATCCGTCTCCTGAGGCGGCTCATCCTTGCCGATTCGGGGTATCTATAGCGCTTTTACGGACATCTTCATGGATGGGATTGATTGCTTTAGGTCTTGCGGTGGATCTTCTTTGTCTTCTTCTAATCATGTCTTCTTTCATTTGGTGCCCCTGGCTACCAACCCAGATAGAATCCTGGCATACTGCAGCTTCCTCTGCTGCCACGGAGACTGATATGCACTCGATCTGCGAAACCTAGAACAGATCGTCAATGCTCTTTTCGGCGTCTTTTTTGATCAGGTCGACCATTCCCTGGAAGCGATCAGCAAATGGTTCATTTTCAATCCCACGATAATTCAAAGCAAAACACACCGTTGGCATAATGGGCTGTCCATCGTCTCCCCGGACATAGCGGAACGGCATCTCGGTGCGTTCATGCTCGTTGATGTGGATCTCAGGATAGTCGACATATTGGATCTTCTCGAGGGGCACTATAGATTGTCAGTCGCAGCACTCAAAGGTCGAAGTGGAAATTCTGGGACCTTTTTCATGAACCACCATGCGCGTCACTCGCACGGCGGTGTCGGTCGTCATCTGTTTGGGGCCTAATCGCCGTCCTGCGTAGCCCTTTTTGCGCAATTCCGATGTGCGGTCTGCATTGTGCCTCTCCGGTCAATGACTGCTCTGCAATTGAAACCACGGGCATGCGGGATACTTACCGCGGGGAGGATCGTCGCCTTCGAACAGTTAGATCATCCTTGAATGTGAGCGTCGAGGGCTGAGGTTACATACCAAGAATACCTCCGAAGAGGAACACCTCAAAGTTATCCCCATCCGCAGGGCTCAGCTCAGTGTCTGCGGACGGGTCTAGCAGGCAGACCTTGGACTTACGGTCCGCAAAAATCTCCTCGACACTACGGTGTTCGATCCCAAATCCTTGAGTCGCCGCCAGGTCGGCCGGCACCTGCAAGGAAGGCGGAACGGAGCTGAGAAGAAACCGGCTACCAGAGGCGTGGGCCTCGCGAGCAATACACCCATATTCCAGGGCAGACCAGATACCCAACTCGGGGTCCAGGTGCTCGACCACGATGGTCACGGGCTCCTGAGCAACCATGACGCAATGGGGGTTGAACTGAATGGAAGAACAATACACAAAGCCTTTTACAGGTAAATCAATATCCACCCAAATCACAAGTCAGTCTAAACTATGAATCCAATGGTGCTGTTAGATTGTTGGGAGACCTGATACAACCCGAGGGAAAGACTTCCTGGGTAGGTCCCAAAAGGGAGAAAAAATGGTTCAAAGAAGAAAAAGAAAGACCAACCGACTTGACAAGTCCCAACACCGGTCCCTAGCAATCAGAAACGAGCAATAGACAGAGTAATAAAGGGGGAAAGGCTTCCAATCAACCTTCAAGAAATTGAAGCTTCCAGGTTCTCAAAGACGAAGTGATTTTATACAATGTTGTAGACTTGACAGTGATGTGTGACGGTTGGAGTTTTGGATGCGGTATCAAACCGTACGTGTATTGGACCCGGTCATATATGTTTCATGTGTATCAGATCCGACAGGGAATCGGAATACAGATAATTGTGTAAGAGGAAAACCAACCAGTAATTAATATAGGATTCATAGTATCCATAAATCCTGCAGATCGACTAAAAGGGATAGAATACAATACAGGTCGGTAATGAAGTATAGAATACCGTATTATATCATACGTCACTGCTCTTACGTACCAACAGTCACAGATCATGAGCCCAACTTCGCCTTCATTCTCTCGTTCTTCTTGCAACCTCATTCTTTTCTCGAATCATCATTTGCTATTCACTTAATACTACTTCACAGAACATACAGACTCCCAGGTGTGCAAGGTCTCTGGTTCAAGGTCACCCAGTGCTGTATTACCCTCGGATATCTTGACTGGTGCCCCTCGCCCTTGGTGGGGTTCTGACGACACCCAATTTCAACCTCTCCCCGCCTTGTCTATTACTATTATTATTGTTATTATTATCACATCAAGTGGGACTACAACCTCTCGATCTCCCTTGGTCTTTCTAGCACGCTGTTGTCTTCTCTGATCCTATTTCTTGGCTTCTCCCATTACACGCTCTCGTCAATACTACCGCTTGACGACTACTCGCAATGAATCCTCACCAGCAGAATAAAGTTGACACCAGCGTACGTTCTGTCCTTATCATGGTCTTCGCCTCGAACCACTTGGATTAACATCAGATCGATACGTCTAGTCTCTGAGCCCAGATGAGCAACGGCTCCTGCGCATGTACGGCAAGATGCCGAACAAGAAGGACCTCCTTCAGAACAAGTTGAAGGTGGGTGATCCGCCTCTCCTCCATCCCTCCATCCCTCCACCATTCTAACATACTTGGATCTTTAGGAGCGCAAATACTTCGACTCCGGTGATTATGCCTTGAGCAAAGCCGGCAAAGCCTCCGACGTCGGCGTCACCAACATCGGCTCCCAGCATCCTGTCCCCGAGAACATCCCCCATTTGACCGCCACCTCGCCCGGTGCCAACAATCCCGCGGCGACCAGCAACGGTTCGTGTACCAGTGCCCAAGGACAGCAGATCCCTGGCAGCATTAGCGGTCATCCGGGCTCCGTGGGATTCCAGAGCAGAAGCCCCGCCAAGGAGGGCAGCTATCTGCAGCGTGAGACGAGCGCCGAAGGATTTGAGGGTGATACCAAGGACAAAGACGCAGAAGATCCTAGTGTGAGCCCGCCGCCTGCTCGTGGTGGCGTTCCGATTCGACGATAGCGAGTCCAAGAAACCTTCCCAAAAAAAAATAACCTTCTCCTATTTCATCTTGTTGTGTGTTGACGTTTTTGTTTTTTTCTTTCATTGTGGGAGTCTTCTTCTGTTCCCTTCTCTTCTGTTGTTTCTTCGCTTCTATTCTCACTTCTATCTCGCTTCCTCTTATCTCGTTTCTCTTCTCGTTTCTTCTCGCTTTTCCTTCCGATCTGTGAATTTTGTCTTGCCGCTTCATCCGGTGGTTAGTGGCGTCAAAATAGCCCGGCGCTCTGAATTTATCTCTTCCTTTTCTATTCCGGGAAAGGTGTTCTGCAGGACGGAGCAAACCAAGATAACAATTGAGATCAACTGCTTGCGCTTGACAACAATCCAAGCGATTCCGAGCCGCTTCTGGGCTGAGCCAAACACACCATCAATCCTTTAGCCAAGTCTGTCTTGAGTCAGATCATGCGTTCATGCTTATTTCCGTATGTTGTGGTTATGTAGTTTCTCTTCTCGTTACCTTTTGTGGTCATATCCAAGTCTTCTACCGTTCTTCATCAAGATTTTATCGTCTCCCAGAATGCCTCTTATGGAAAAAACACGTCAATCCTCTCGAACCGTGCAAATTGTCTTGAAATTTTGGTTTTATAGTCACGATCCAAGTCGCCTTTGACTTCGACTTTAATGTGTGATGCCCCAAATTCTTACGAGCTTGCAATTTGACTTTATATTCGTTTATTGATCTATTTATTGTCTATGGTTTATGATATGTGGACCTTGTTTCTATGCTAGTCCATTGACCACTAAGTATATGCATTTACGATGTCCTCACTATCTTCTGTATGGCGTTGAGTTTCGAAAACGGTAAGGGGAGGGGGCTAAGCCAGCTGTAATTGCACCTGGTTGACGATTGCCGACTTTTACCCTCAGATGTTATGTATATCCTTCACTACAACAAGTCCTCATACTTCACCAGGAGCGTTTTACAAAGCATAGCTACATCCACAGCAAAGGTGCAATTATTACCGACTTAGTATAGCGAATCTTTTTCCCCACCCCTCATTGATCCGGTACTACATCCAAATACAACTGAATAGAAAGACAGCAATCACGAACGACTGGGTATTATAGTAACTGGCAGGCACAGATAGATGGATGCAAGGGCATAGACTGGTAAAGTAGATGGTAGACATCAGTATTGTAAATTGAACTCAGCAAAATCAATGTACGGCTAAGGGTATAACAGCGAGTTGGGGATCGTTGGATCGAACGAGTGGGGGTGGAAAAGAAAAGGAAAAGAGAAAGACAAGCAAAGCGATGGATGTGTATCCAGCTGGTAAGTCATTGTAAACAAACAAAAAGCACAAAAGGAAAAATTTGGGAGTTAGACTTGGTCAAACTGGGGTAAAAGCGAGCATGAAGAGAGTAGCCAGATGATGTAGGGTTGAATATATGGTCCGTTGATGCAGATCGTATCGTGTTTAGATTATGGCACCTTGGGTTCATATTTGTCTGGATTGGAGATCAAAGATTGTCCCAACGTAGATTGTCCACGAGTCAATCCATTCGAGTCACGGGTGATTGACCCGCACTGGTCTCCAAATGGCAGTCGATCGGAACGAGCTGGATTATAAGGCATGTAACGGGTGCCGGACGCCGTGTGGGAGCAATGGCAGAGGCAAAAATTCGTGGACAGCAAAAGATCAATACTGTGCTGGGTTCAGAGCGTGGCCACGGGAGGGTTCTAGGCTGCCTTGTTCACGACTGGCACACCGGCGTGAAGGCCGAGCATTCAGCCAAATACTCGTAATGACAGGCAAATTGGCCCCACCAAGGACATATTCTCTGGCAGGCTAGACGGAGTATAGGGTGTCTTCCATCCTAAGCCATGGCGACAGTTTCGCGCAGCTGAGACACAGCTGGTGCCGCCATATATCAACAGGTCTTGCCACGGCGTTCAATCTGACTTCCAATGGCCGGCTAGGCCCGAATCCAGATCGTCATTTTCACCGAGCCATAGCTCGACTGCGTATAAACCCATCGTGCAAGCGAGGTTGACCCAGCGCCAGAGGTTCCCCCCTCCCCCTCCCTGGCTGCTCCACCATTCCCCACTGCCGCCCATTGCTTGGGATGTCGTCGCAAAATGCTGCATCAGGAGACTCGTGTACACGGAGATGAGGATGGACGGAGCGAAGTAGCTCAGGAGGCCGAGCAGCTGACCGGCTGCATCAGAGTCATCCAGCGAAGCTTCCTGGGAAAGAGCGCGCGCGCCAGATTCTCGGACAGCCGGGATGATGCGAGTAGACGCATAGAGGACGCAAATACGGTATACGAGCGAGATCAAGACAGATGACGTCACGGCACTAAAGACCGCAGTGATCACATTGAACAGCGCGTGGATCATGGAGGGCAGCAGAGATAGGACGTGCAACAGCGTGCCGTAGGACGCCATGATGATTGGTGGCAGTGGAGGGAAATCCCCCGCTTGGGAAGGGGATGGGACCTGTTCCATCGGATGCGACGGCTTATAATCCGTGAAGATCTGGTAGAGACACAGCACAACGTAAGCAAACAGTAGAGAGCTCTCTACCGGATTTCCACGGCCGCTGCCAATGCCCCATGCGCAAAGAATCACCGCACATGTCACGGACACGCCAATCAGAGCAGCGTCCACATTGGAGATCTCAGGGAACTGCAAAACCCTCCACAGAAAGTATACCGAGCTTGAGATGACGGAGGCAGATAATACCAGGAGACCGATCTAATGAAAGCATTTGATTAGCTGGTTGAGCGCACGCAACGTGTTCAAATCCAAATGGCCTGTACATACCATCCAACTATCACTGCGCCCGCCGCGATTGACAAGCCAGCGAGTGATCTGTCCCGCAGCTTGAATGACCAACAAGCTGCAAAACCCCTCGACCAGTTGGAAGACCGGAGTCGACCATCTTAACAACTTATCCCAGTTCCCCAGCGTGACGGACTCCACCAACCCATCGGGACCAAACACCCAGTCCTGGATCGATGAATCGTGCGCTCTCTTCCCGCTAAACGTACGCTCCACCCACCCACTGTTGTTCTCCGCATCGACCGAAAAGCGGTTCAGCGACCAGATGAGGAGGATCGGGACTAAGACCCATTGCGTCGACTGAACGAGGAAGACGAAGGAGGAGCGGAACCATGAGCGAGCCGGCGTGGTGAGTTTCAAGACGGACAGCAGAAAATAGAAGGTCGCTAGCGATAGCGAAAAGGCCAGACCGCATGTCTTCCCACCCACATCAAAGGCCAAAGGGATGGAAGAAACGGTGACGGTCAGAAAAAGGGCCGAGGAAAGGGCCCGTAAGAGCCACATTGGGCGATATGAGCGCGGAAAAGCTGGACACGGAGAAGACGCGAGAGAACTTCGTGGAGGATCGAACGGCACAGCAGAAAATGGCCAAGATGGTCGGGGGAGGTTCAAGAGAGATCGATAGGTGAAGAAAACCGAGTTGACTCAAGAAGGATAATCAGGGCGCATGGGAAGTCCAGGTCGGTAGGTAAGAAGGAAGATAAAAAAGTAGACAGGAAAATCAACTTCTGTTGTGGAAAAAAGAAGGTGGGGGGAAGAAAGATGAAAATTTAACAGAGCTTTGACTTGCTCTGCCGCTTGTTAGACTTTAAATTTGTTGAAAATTTCGTGTCTTGGAGGGTAAGATGGAAGGGGAGAACGAAGAGTTGAGATCTTATCTCAGTCTGTCTCTCTCTCTCTTTTCAGCGGTGGGACGCGATGCGATTTTCACGTGTTCTCTACTCTCCCAGGCTATTCTTTGTCGATCAAAAACACCGATCAACCGTTCAGGTCGACTTCAACTGGAATGAACAGGTTACAGGAACAACAGTGGACCAGACAAAATAAACACAATGACATCAAGCAAAATAGACAGGGTCTCAAGCTGAAAGGGAACGGATCAGGAACGTCCTAAGGTGGCTTCTTTTCTTGACCCTTTCCTCTTCTTTTTCCCTTTCTACTTGATACATGATTTGATTACTGCTATATATCATTATCATCATTGAAACCCCTCATCGTCATTCCGCGGTCATTGTTTTGGTCCACAATCAACAACAATCCGAGGCGGTGAAACAGTCGGTTCCAGAGATCAACATGCGGTCAGCCATCACTCTACACGACTGATATCATCCATTCTATATATACTACTGCTCGGGACTTGTGTATGGATATATGTTTTCCTATCACTCTATCAGCTCTGGATGGAGTGTCTTGGCAATGGATGAGCCTTGCAACCAGTCGTTGCGCAAGAGGCAGACAACGGTAGCAAGGACCGTGATTCCACTCGAACGGGCCAAACACAGCTATTTCTCATAGAGGAATCTAACTACCTAGTACACTCGAACAAGACAAGGAAAGAAGCAACGCCGATATTAGCTTTATGCGGGGTCCTTCCTTCTACTGACCCTAACAGTAATAAGTTTCAAAGCATCAGCTATGTGATGATGGATGTCCCTGGTTGTGGTCGCGTCGGCGAGTTTGCATTCGCGGACCAGTGATCGTCCGATATGTTGTTGTGGATGAGTCGGGGATTGCGAGCGCGCCAGAAGATTGAGCTATCTTTGGCAGACAGGTTGCTCGAGACTGCTCCACGGACGTGCAGGGGATGTCCCACGCTGGAGATCTTGAATAAGACTTGCAATTGGAATTGAGCACGTATTTCTCCACCCCTTCGAACGGATGGGAAAATATGACCGTCCAGAAGAATCCTCAATGGCGAATATTCAGCGCGCTAATATCTTCAATACTACCCGTTCCATCACCAGGGGTCTTCGCTTCTTTCGCATCGGGATGGAGATCGGAAACATCTTCCCGCTCGCCCAAAGCGCGTTGGATAAGTTTCGCCTTGATTATGGCGCCTTTCAGGCGCTCATCCACATCTGTGACCGCTTCTTCTGTGTTCTGCATGGGCAACGACGCAGGGTCGACCAGTTCGAGGAGCGTGTCGATATTTTTAGCCAGTCTTGAACTAGGAGGGAAGTTCGCCATGCTCTTGCAAACGGAGGGATCGAGAGAAATCGCATTCTCCTGCCCATCGGCCGGCTGCGATAGAGGTTGTGTCTCCGTGCTCTTGTGCTCCGGTTTGCCCTTCTTCGAATCCGCTAGCCGTTGAGCCCACACGAGGGCTTTGCCATAGAGTCTTCCCAGCTCGACGAATTTTTCGAAGCCCTTCTCGACCGCAAAGACACTGCCCTCCGTGTACCCTGTCTGAGCGCCGTCCGCGGCGCCCAGATCATATCCTTCCTTGTAGAATTGCTCCTCCAAGTCGAGAAGACTTTCAAGTAGATTACTGTCCATGACTGGGGAGTTTCGACGTAGATCACGGTTGTCAATGGAGAGCGAGGGGAGAAGAAACGAAATAAATGACTTGTTCGGAAGGTTCTATCTCATGGCACCAAGGTGAACCTGTGCTATGAAATGTAGGCTGGAGGAAGTCCGGGGAGAGTAGAAATCCATGCGGACGTAGCGTTGAAGCGGGACCGCCGAGCGATGAATCATCCGGTTCTTTGGTTAAGGAACTCAATAGAAAAAAAAGACACTCCGCACCCCAACCATCTTTCCTGCCCCTCCATAACCCCGCCATCTCGAGTCGACCACCATGGCTTCCGAACAGAAGATTCTGCCCAAGGATGGCGAGCGCAATGTTCTCGTGACCAGTGCTCTGCCATACGTCAACAACGTCCCTCATTTGGGCAACATCGTCGGATCGGTTCTCAGTGCTGATGTTTTCGCCAGGTGGGCTGCGACCGTTCCTGATCCGCAGAGTGCGGTATGCTAACGGACCATCGTCAATAGATATCACAAGGCCTGTGGGCGACGGACATTGTATATTTGCGGTACGGATGAGTACGGAACCGCGACGGAGACGAAAGCCCTGGAGGAGAAGATGAGCCCGGAGGAGCTGTGTTCCAAATACAACAAAATCCACCAGGAGGTCTACGAGTGGTTCAACATCGGGTTTGACCATTTCGGCCGCACGCCGACGGCGAAGCACACGGAGATCTCGCAGGCGCTCTTCAAGCGACTCTACGACAATGGCTACCTCACGGAGAAGACTGCGGAGCAGCCTTTCTGCGAAGCCCACGGATCCTTCTTGGCCGACCGTTACGTGGAGGGCGAGTGCCCCCGTTGCCATTACGATGACGCCCGTGGTGACCAGTGCGACAAGTGCGGTCATCTCCTCGATCCCTTTGATCTCATCAAGCCGAGGTGCAAGCTGGATGGTGCGACCCCGGTTCGCCGCGAGACGAAACATATCCACCTCCTCCTGGACAAGTTACAGCCGGAGATTGACAAGTTCTTCCGCGAGTCATCCGAAAAGGGCAACTGGCCCAAGAACTCGCGGGTCATCACCGAGTCGTGGTTGAAGGAGGGTCTCAAGGACCGAGGCATCACCAGAGATCTGAAGTGGGGCGTCCCGGTTCCTTTGCCTGACTTCGAGAACAAGGTTCTTTATGTGTGGTTCGAGGCCTGTATCGGATACCCGTCGATCACGGCGAACTATACGCCTGACTGGGAACTCTGGTGGCGTAACCCGGAGAACGTCCAGTTGTACCAGTTCTTGGGCAAGGACAATGTGCCTTTCCACAGTGTCATTTTCCCCGGCTGCCAAATCGGGTCCGAGGAAAAGTGGACTAAGCTCCACCATCTCAGCACGACCGAGTATCTGAACTACGAGGGCGGCAAATTCAGCAAGTCCCGCGGGGTTGGTGTCTTTGGAAACAACGCCAAAGAGACGGGTGTATCTCCCGACGTGTGGCGGTACTTCCTTCTGAAGAACCGTCCCGAGACCGGCGACACCCAATTCGAGTGGCGTCCGTTCGTCGAGGCCAACAACAGCGAGCTGCTGGCCAAATTGGGCAACCTGGTGAACCGCGTGGTGAAGCTCGTTACCGCTTCCTACGGCTCGACCATCCCCGACTTCACCGTCCCCGAGAGCTTCCAGCCCAACCTCGACGACATCACCACCCATCTCCGCCAGTACATCGAAGAGATGGAAAGCGTGCACCTGCGTGCAGGCGTCAACACCGCGATGAAACTCGCGGAGGACGGAAACCTCCTGATCCAGGCCAACCGCCTGGACAACGCGCTCATCGCCAACGAGCCCGAACGTGCCGCGGCCGTCGTCGGCACCGTGCTCAACCTCATCTACCTCCTCGCCAGCGTCTTCTCCCCTTACCTCCCCGCCACCTCCAAGGCCATCAACGAGCAGCTCAACGCGCCGTTCGCCTACATCCCGACCCTCGACGACATCAAGGACGGCTGGAAGCCCCAGGCCCTCAAGCCGGGCCACAAGATCGGCAAGGCCAAGTACCTGTTCTCGCGCATCGACCCCAAGAAGGCCGAGGAATGGCGCGAGCTGTTCGGCGGCTCCCAGGCCGACCGGATCAAGAAGGCGGAAGAGACCGCCCGGAAGAAGGCCGCCAAGCAGAAGAAGAAGGACAAGAAGGCCAGCAAGGGCGCCGACGCAGCCGCTCCGTCGACCGGTACTTCCACCGAGGTCCCGACCCCGACCCCGAGCGACGAAGCGGTCAAGAGCGTCACCGACGGTGTTGCTCAAGTCACTCTCCCGAAGGACTAGATAGCTACATAGTTGGGAAAGATGAACCTTGGGGGCCGGAGATCTACTAGACCCGATACCAGAGCGATGTGATGACTTTTTTTTTTTTTATCTTATTCTCTTTTCTTTTCTCTTATCATATTTCGGTTATTCTAGTTGTGTTGTATTGTTTTTGGTATTCTTTGGGTTATGGTTGTTTATGTTATGCATACAAGGGGCGAGCATGAGATACGACCGACGTAGGTGCGATAGACAGATAAATGAAGTTACAAGTGACGATTATGCCTTATCCAGAGTTTATCATTATATGGTCAAGACCTACTCAACCGAAGGATCTGACCAAGATAACAGGTTAGAACTACACCACATGCAAACTACTCCGACTCCTAGTCTAATATCTGGCGGATGGAATACCATCCTAACAAACTGATTGATATACGAGCCACTGACTACGTTTCTCTATTGATAACTAGCTATAACTAAAATCTGCTGGAAATTTCTCTCAGACAAGCCGTGTTCCAAGTATTTGTTCTAACTTGAAGAAACATCCATCATTCCCAGCATTTCCCCCTCTTCGTTCCCATCCATAGGCTTGCAGAAACATAAGAGACTCCGGTTTCAAACGAATTCGCTCATATGCATTCCCAAGGTGATAGATAATATGTATTACAAAAGACAAGACTATGAGAAGGAAGCCCCCATTCACGGTGGGCACGGTGAAGTAGAGTGGAAGTCCCATCTTGTCCACTTTAGAAAGACCGTTCTCATAATTTGTCAAATTCGTGTTGAAATTGGGTGAAAAGCTTCCCCCGTCACAAAGCCCATACCGTCCATTTCTGCGCCAGTTTTTGATATCCCCGTCTGCTTGGATCGTAATCTACCTCTTTCGGGTGCCTGGTCGGGGCTTCACTTCCTCCTGGGCCACAGGGTGGAGCATTACCTTGTTGGGCAGTTGCGGGGTGTTGGCGGAGTAGCCCTTGCTCCAGTCGTAGCTCACGGCGTAGGCGAAGATGCTGCCGGTGCGGTTGAAGGCGGTGGCGGAGATGGTGTCTCCGACGGAGGGATAACCCTTCAGGCGGTGCTTCGCGTCCTTGTCCCAGAAGTGGAAGGTGCCGTCGCTGCCGGATGTGCTGAAGGTGCCGTGGACGGGGTGGAAGGAGATGGCGTTGACAGAGTAGATGTTGTTGATGTCGCGTTGGTTTGCGGGGGTCTCGCGGTGGCATTTGAAGCTGAAATTCGAGCTGGAATCTTTCTCCTCGACGTATTGGATCGCACAGCGGCCCTCGATGCTGCCGACGGCAAAGCCCGTGGCATCAGCGAAGCAGCTGACTACCCGCGTCTGCCACTTGAGGGGGGACTGCATGGTCTTGTAGAATTTGGTCGGGTTATCGAGGTTGATGATGTTGATGTATCGGTCCGCGGTTCCGACCACTAACAATTTGTTCTTCACGTCCATGGTGTACACGCGCTCCTGGCATTCTACCGTCGCGATGGGGGTCGACTGTCGCAGATCCCAGTACTTGACCGTCTTGTCCCACGAGCCGGTGATGAGAAGGGGGCTGTTTCCGGCCGGGTTGGGGATCATGTCGCAGCATCTGATCGGGGCATCGTGAGCGGCGACCTGGACGGGCGCGGTCGCGCCGGCGCCGAGGTCGAGCATGCGGGCGGCCTTGTCGGCGCCAACTCCTACCACCTTTGTGCCATCCTAGAGAGCGAGGTGATTAGCAACACGGGTCAGCCAGGAAGCAAAGCGATTGATGAGAAGGTGGACGGCCCATCACAGTCTTGGGGACGAACTCACCGGAGACCAACAACAGTTGAGAACAGGAGCCTCATGCTCGAACAGCGCCTTCCCTTCACTCTGACCTTGGTCGTTGATTTCATAGATGCGAACTTTCTTATCCCACGAGGCGACGGCGAGGTGATCACTGGCGGGGGAAAATCGGAGGTCGGAGATGCTGTCATCGGGAGGCGTGTTGAGGGCAACGTCTTTGGAGATGTCGCCGGTGGTGTTCGTCTGACCGGCTGTCGTCGACGCGGCGCCGACGGAGCCGAAGAGACCTGACATTTGAATGGAAGCTCTTGGGCTATCTGTGACGGTGGTTGGCTAGAAGACCGAACAGCCGGGAGGGATATGATAAGGTGGGATTCAGGGCGAATCCGGGAGGAAAAAATGAGGCGGGAAAAAGGAAACAGGTAGGGGAGAAGGAAGAGGGAAAGAGGAAGCGAAATACGAGAGGGGAATGGTTGGATTGAAGGGAACACTCGCTCGGATAGAACGAGAGACGCGAGAAGTGAAGGGATTCCCAGCGACAGCGAGAGAAAGGCACGCGGCACGAGAAATGCAGGCACCACTTGGAGCCTCAGCACATTTTTAGCACATTTATTATGAACTTTCTCTGTCCTTGGCTGACTTGGACCCTTGAAATCCAGGCATCAACTCTCACCGCCTGCAAACCAGACAAACCAGACAAACACCATCATCTCTATCAGTGCCTGTCTCGATGGGCATATCGAAGCCATACCGATTGAGTGTTTACTTTGTCTATAAAATAGAAGTGATCTTGGTTATGATGGATTATCAGAATGATCAAGCAGATAACTAAGAACTATTTGAAAAAATAAATTAAAAAAAGGGCCATCCTTCATCCATCAACCCCTTGGAATGACCGTCTAATCAAGAATTCTCTACGTATAGTAGTATCACACCACGAACAGGCCATTTTGAGGGGTTTCGCACACGGGAGGGTTGACTGCAGGAGGAGGTGACATGACATGGTCTGATAGGAGAGAGCAAGGATAGCACAGGCATCTCATGTATGGCATGACAGACATGACGTGTTCCCTAGTCACGTGTGGACATACAAAGGTGCAAGGAGGGAGGGGCACGTGAGATGATGCCTTTGCACGCCAATCGGTGGGAGGAATTCCATCCAGGGTTATGATATCATCAACATCTTCGATCTATTCAATACAGAGGGAAAAAAGAATATGTTGAATATAAGATTAACCGGTACCAGAGCTCCAAAGCTATTTTTTAGGGTTCTCAACATAACATGTCAAATACTCCGTCATAGCATGATAGCTAGGTAAATAGGTTGGTATGATCTGATCCAGAGACGGAAGCCCCAAGGTGGATCCGGGTGGGAATGCGGGGTGCAGCGTTAGTGAGTGCCACTGAGTGGGCCGCCTAGAAGCAAGTTCCCCATTGTACTTCTCCTAGTGCCAACAGGAAGCACCTCCTTCGACGTCAATCTTCTCGTGTGATCGGTTCGGTTCCCCATCCGGCTGTCCCGGATGGAATGTTTGCCTCTCAGACTAAACCCACCTTGGACTGGACTAATGAGCTTCCTCCGATGTAGACCTGTAGCTGGAAAAGCGACATGGGGTTGAAACGTTTGGTGATGTCAACTTGTCAATTCGTTGTGATGTGAATGCGGAGATCCCACCCTCCATCATGGTGCCTCTCCACTGAGGCAGGCGGATCACCCAATGCAGCCTTTCCGGAAGTATTACATCGGTTGGATGATCGCGGTCTGGCCTTGTCCAATCAACAAAATGGTCCATGCATGAGGTCTCAACCCCGCCCTAGGTACGTTTGTCCTATATGAACATCAGGAGGTGGTTTAACTGTATACTGTGATGGGTTGATGGAGAAGGGTTGGACGACTCAATTAAGAGTAAACGGGTGTTTAGTATCTTTGAGGGAATACAGTAAACCGGTAGATGTAGCAGATCTAGAGGTAATAATAGACAGTGACATTGGTAGAGGGATTATAGTAGGTAAGGAAGCAGAAGTGGTACCGCGCATGGAATGATTCTTGAACCATTGATGGATGGACTGGTTGTCCCATTCAGACCAGGTCACCTGCCCACCCCCTTCCCCTCCTCTCTCTCCTCCTCCTCTTCTTCTTCTTCTTCTTATTCTTCTTCTTCCTCTTCTTCTTCTTCTCTCCTCTCTTCTCTTCCTCTTCATCATTCATCTTCATCTTCCTTCTACTTCTCTACTTCTGAATCCATCTCCATTCGTACCACCACTTGCTATCCATCACTGTCTCTAACCACCAGTAAGCTTCATCTACCATCTCCTGTCCTGTATTGTCTTCACCATCATCTGCCCTCTTACCTCTCACATCGACCCCTTTCCTCTATCCTTCCTTCTATCTCTGCCTGGTCCTATCCCCTCAATCTATCATCCATCTGTAGTACTCACATTCAACGCAGACCTATCAACTCATCCAACCATGTCTGCCGAACTCACAAAAGTCGATTCCGCCATCGCTGGCTTGTCGATATCCCCCAAGGACGAAAAAGCCCCAGACAAGGTAGAAAAGAAGTCTCATCGACGCACCTCTTCGGCTGCCGCGGGGGGTATCTGGAACATCAAGGACTTAGGTTAGTCTATCCTTCTTAGCTTTAGAGAATCCCTACTCATGCGAGTCTGGATTGTAGAAGAGAAGAAGATCGAGTTGACATTGCCGATCGAAACGCAGAAGACTGGATGGTAAGCTCACCTTCTCGATGGGTTGAAGGCACCTACTAACCAATTCCAGGAAGCTCAACACGTCTCCCAGCAAGATTGAGGACACGGACATTCTCAAACTGTATCTTGTCAACCCGCCAGTCAAGAAGATCGACCTGCACTTCCCGTTAGGGCTGTCCGTAGTGGCTCGTAACATGAAAGGTGTCACCGTCAAAGACGCGCTGGACGCGATCTACAAGCAATACAAGAAGAAGGTATGCCACGGCCCGTTGTCCTCTCAATTGATAATCACTAACACGCTTCCTACAGGCCGATGACGAAATGGAAAAGCCCTACCTCGCTGGTTTCGAGTGGGACAAGGATGAGTCCTGGACAAGCCTGATCGTTCATCAGACCAAGCAAGGTCCGCCTCAGCAGACGAGCAGCAAGAAGTCCAAGAAGAAGAAGGGTGACGCATAGAAGCAGCGCTTCCTCTCACTGGCATTCTAGATATCGGACTATCACTTCCAAGCTGTCATTACTTTATTCATACGCCTGACTATGTCTCTCCTCCTTGGTCTCTCACCGTCCGAAGGCAGGGGAGGCATAGCATGGAGCGGATGCTGGTGTTATTTTCGTCTTGCCTCTCATTTTCTTCTCCGGAGTTTTTCTTGTTGTTTCATTTCTGCCATCTTCTGGCCGGTTCGAATAGTCGTCTGTTCCTGGGGTATCCCACTAGTATCTTCGAGGTGCACTTGTCACTAGTGGACTGTGTCTTCGAGGTGTATTTCCACTCACTTTTAATATGTACCCAGCATTCAAGAAACCACATCTCAATATGGTAACCGTACCTAGTAAACAAGCATGTAGATCCTCTGGGGCCAATATAGGTCCATCGAACCTATCAACAAAGAGGTAGGCAATCAATGCAAGGGATTACCTTGTACAGAATTCTACACTATTCAAATCAAGCGGGCGTATTGAGTAGCGATAACATTACTACATAATTCACATAATTCATACAATGGCCCTCTGTGCCCTCACCCCCATAGTTCCAAGACCTCCAGTCACAGACCACTCAAGCATTCCTATGAAAACTAATAATCACAGCCTCCCCCTCCCCCCTTCCCCAAACAAAACCAACAGAATCTCATCCAAGATCGTAAACACCAAATGCGTATTCAACCGACGATTATTCAACGTCGCGAAGATCCTCCTCGCAGCGCCCTGCGCATTCGCCCTTCCGACAACATTCCCCGCCATCTCCGGCACAAGCGTCGCTAGCACGAGGCTCGCTTCCGTGCGACTCTTGAGACGCTCAGATGTCGTGCGGGTCTTGTTCTCCCGCAGCAGGCCGTCCGGCCAGAGGGTGTCTTTTGCGAGGGAGATGTAGCGGAGGAGGGAGTCGTCTTGGATGAGGAGGCGTGCGCCGTCGCGGACTTTGCGCTCGATGGTTCCGCCTAGGAGTTGGTGGAGGACGACGACTACGGCGCGGCCGCGTAGCCAGTTGTTGCCTTTGTTGAGGTCGAAGGTTTCGAGGAAGAGGTCGCAGATGGGTTTGATGAAGGGTTCGAGTTCGCGGTCTTCGAAGGCGCTGAGCTCCGCTTCGGCTTCGGCCGCTGTGACGGCGTCTTCGGTGGTGAAGCCGGAGGTGGAGGGGACGGTGGTGGTTGTGGTCGCGGTTGTGGTTGCGGTGGGGGTAGGGTTTTGGTGGCTAGTGGCGGCGGATATGAGATTTTGTCCCGCCGTGGAGAGCTGATCGAGGACGCCGAAGTTGCCGAGGAAGTCGTCCATGCCGTCTGCGACGGAGTTGTAGATTCGGGTTACCAGGTCTTTGGTGTCTCCTTCGCGAGGGGCCGTCTCGTCGCGTGGGATGATGGCTCGTTGGGAGAGGAAGGCGCGGAGATCGCGACTCCGGCATACTTCGGGTAGAAGTAGTAGCTTTTGTACGTAGGCTTCTAGCCCCTGTCGTCGTTTCTGAAGGAACTCCTTCTGCAGTTTCATCACTACCCGCCGGCGGGGAAATTCGAGGTGGCGGACGGACGGATATCTCATGCGCAGCTTTTGGTGGAGTTCGTGGAACTCGCTATACCGGCGAGCTACCGCCCAGGACGCAGCGGGCATCTGTTCTCCAGCGTCTCGGTGTACTTCAACCACGTCTATAGGGAGAACATCAGTCGGCCGTAAATCAAAGGTTCAGGGGGGGAAGTCACGTACACATGGCAAACTCCCGGCCGTCCTCCTCCTTGCCCACCACGATGGATTGGATCCGGATAGACGACCGTCCGTACAAACTATTGTCACTCTCTTGGATAATGTACTGCTGGCGTTGCATTTCCTTGCGGTGGATTTCCCGCTGGATGCTGGCCTTTGACTTCCGGAGAATCCTCAGCTCCGCTGTATTGTTCGTGAGCTCCGCCTTTCGAGTCAGCGTGTCCACTACCGCATCCTGGGATCCAAGCTTCTCGATCTCCACATTAAGTGCTTCGACGGCCTCCGTCAAGCCAAGGTCGCCAGGGGCCGCTTCGTGTACTTCGTCAGCCGGGTCCCTGTCCCCGATTCCGACGGGTTCTTCGTATTCATCCTCGATGAACTTCTGCTGGTCTGCGAAGAGATCGTCGTCGAATACACCAAGACGCGATTGGTGATCGACCAGCCCTAGCGAGGCGATACTCGGCTTAGACTTATCGTCCATGCGAGCACCAATGCGAGCCGACTCCCCTGAGCTGCGTGCAGACATGGGATTCCGTTCATTGCCTGGGGACATGGGTGCATTACCGTCCCCGCCTTTCAAGTCTTCGATTCTCCCATTTTTCGGGACGTTGACTATGATGTCGTTCAATGCAGCCTCCATGTTCTCGATGATTTGGTTCTGATTCGGGTCGTTTTCGCTACTCTGCAAGTCTCGATCGAGACTCTGCGTTGACGCCGCCAGGGGTTCAGTATCATAGTCGTCATCGAACAAGGGACCGGATCGATCGGAATCAAAAGAGCGTCGGGGGGGTTCATCGTCGTCAAAGAGATTGCCCATGCTCCGTACATCACTTGACGAGACCGCCGCTCGCCGCAGGTCCTTAGACTTGGTGACGGGTTGCGAGCGCGTGCGACTCATCAAGGGAGGCAGCGGCCGCCTTTCGGGCACCTCCGAAGGAACTAGGGGGCCATCCTGGGGGGCTGCGGATGGAAGTGATGACGAATAGGAGACATCATCGGACGCGAGGTATTTATAGTATAGATCCGACTGTTTGAATTTGGGATAGTAGACTCCCTGGAGCTCCTCCAGTACTGCAGACTGGGTGGTCAAGACCACGGTACGAGCCTTGCGATACTGCTCCGACGTGGCTCGGCTCCCTGCGCTGAGAAATGCCCGGACCGTTCGGCGGGATTCCTCCGAGACCTTGAGCTCTGCCTGTGAGAGATAGGTTTCGCTTATGAGGGCTATGTCGTTGCGGTCCGTTTCAGTCCAGGTGATGGCACTTGGAGAGGACTCATCGCCAAAGTCATCTTCCAGAGGGTTGCGGAAACCATCGACCACGATCCAGAACTGCACCAGGGACATAAGCTTCTGGCGATCCATGAATTCCATGAAGTAGGAGAGGCCGGCGGTGTCGTGCATGACGTCCACCAATGAGCCTTCGTGGGGCGGGGAAGAGTTCGTACGACGGAAGTGGGACACGACCGCCGATGCGTGCGACGCATGATCGCCATTCGGTGCGGAGAGCTTCGTCACTTTTTGATCCAAAACCCTCTTTCCGGTTTCGAGCCGTCGCAGGTAGGTCGGGTCCTGTCCTTCCACCATTGTCTCCCGTTTCAACTGACTCGCAACGAGGGCGCGGAAGCGTCTAGCGTCGGACAGGTTGCTGCAGCGCCGGATCGCCCGTACAAACCGTTCAAAGGCCCTTTCTGAATCATTCGGTGCGAGGCGAGGGAAGTAGCTGCCGCGTTTCGACCTGGGGACCGGCGAGGTGTGCTGATCCAGGGCTGCTCGAAGCTTCCGCACGGTTTTGCGATCTTGAAGGGCGGTTCGGCCGTAAGCTTCCATCAACTGATTCCAAGTATCCGGGTCCGAGAGCAGGGACACGATCGGGAAAAGTACGCCGCAGGACACGATCTCCCTGATCAGCACAGAGACAATGCGACTGTTCAGCACGCTCTCCGGGAACAACTGGGGCAGCAGGCCCATTGACATTTTCCGGAGGTATTCCTGCTCGACGAGTCGCGGGTCGGACAAGGAGAGAGCTGCGGCCGGGTGCAAGCGACCATCGCGGTATTTGGCGGCGATGGCCAGATCCAGCTCTTCGGACTCGGTCACATTTCGGGTGAGATTGCGGCCCCGGACGGAGCGCTCCGCGATGTCAAACTCCTTGAGGTGCGTCGTCACGATGGGGAAGATTCGAGACACGATGAGAGAGATGAGGTCCTCAGTCAGGATTCGGTCACGAAGATTCCCGACGGCCGTCCGGATCACGCGATCTACCTCATTCACAAAGACGGGACTCGGACTGATGCTCCGATACCAAGTCGAGATGAAGTCGCGGGTGACCAGCATCAGCAGTTCATCAATACCTTCCGATACAACAAAGGATTGCGGATAGAGCGAAGAGGGGTTGTACGAGGCACGTTCCACCGCCCCGCGAGCCTCATCGGGCCACCGACTGGGGGCGACGAACGCGACAGGGAGGTTCTTTGGACGAGGGAAACCGGGGCCATGATCGTTCGCCGAGCGGATACTGAAGACGACGACCGCCAGGAACGTTGCTGAAGAGAGCGACACTCCGAGAACGAGGGCCCAGCCGAGATATCGAAGGATGGGGAGCCAGCTAACGGCCAGGCCCCACGAGACGAAAGCACCAGTGCCCAGGAGGACGAGATCGCGACGTTTCAAGGCCATTCTCCCCGGGGCATTCGCAGTGTGGGGAAGACGGACGGGTCCATGACCATCAATGAGATTCCAAGTGATGTATAACTGTGGTTAAGGGGAGCACCAAGAAACACATGATGTGATTTATATTTTTTCCCTTTCTGACAGCAGGTCCATGCAGACGAAGATCGGACCTGAGCTAGGTTAGAGGTGAGAGGAGAAGAGATACGCGAGTGGATTCGTTTATGTCGAGATACCAAGATGGGAAGATGGAGAGGGGGAGGATCGTCTGGGGATGCGGGCGGTGAGCAGCGTTGGGTGGAGTAATGACGGTAATGAAACGTATATAACGCGGTTGTAATTAACAACTTTGTAACAATCGAAATCATCAACACGGTCATGTACTGTATGATACCCCGTTCTGCCGGTGGAGAAGAGGAAGACGTCATGCCGGATTCTCTCTTAGTGTCTTCCTTGTCTTGTTGTTGTTTTTCCTTCTCTCGCTTTCTCTTTCTCTCTCTCTCTCTCTCTTCAACCTCACTTCTTTCTCCTCCTCCATCTCCTCGACATCCTTCCTTTCTTTCTCTCCAGCCATGGCCACTCTCACGGATTTTGTGGATCTGTCGCAGCCATCTTTGAAATGTACTCATTTCCATTGTCATTTTCTGATCTGATTTATTACCCATATCCTTTCCCCGCATGTGAATTTTGGACCTCCACTAATCCTCTCTCTTCCTTTTTCTGCAGTATGTGCGCTGTCGATTGCCTTCAATCCCATCTTCTGGAAGTAAGTAATGGGTTGGAAATTCCTTTTGGACCAGTATATCTGTCCTGACAAGTCCCTGGCTAACCGTCCCCCCCGCGAGCGGGGCTTCTAGCATTGTTGCCCGCACCGGTTGGTCCCCACTCTATTTCATTTCCCAACGCACCAAAAAGCCTCCGGATGACCGCCCTTTACCCGGTCAATGGCGGCGATTCAGTATAAGAAGGCTCATACCAGGACCCGACGGTATCGTCTTGTAGAATATCGGAATCACTTCCTGACTCGTATCTTCGGTAACAACCCTTACTACGGATGCTACTTCCTCGCATTCACCATCTTCACCCTGGGCATCGTTCGCGACCATATCTACCAACTGGCCCTCGAAGACCAACCCTACTATGACCCTGTGCACCAACCGATCCTAGGCGGCGCCCTGTTCGCCGTCGGCTCCGTCCTCGTACTCTCCAGCATGTGGGCCCTCGGCGTCACCGGCACCTACTTGGGTGACTATTTCGGCATCTTGATGGATGCCCCGGTTACCGGGTTTCCTTTCAACGTCACCGGTTCTCCCATGTACTGGGGAAGCACCTTGAACTTTTTGGGCGTCGCCCTGTACAGGGGCAAGGTCGCCGGTGTGCTTCTGTCCGCTGGGGTCTTTGTCCTGTACTGGTTCGCCCTGAAGTGGGAGGAGTAAGTTTCCTCATGCCCATGCCCATGCCCTATGCTCTATGCCCCACGCACCATTTCTCTTCCGACGAGATCAGCGATATATATATTTGTCATTCATAGCTGATACGGATGACACTTCCAGCCCCTTCACCGCCGAAATCTACGCCAAGCGTGAGCGCGAACGCGCAAAGTCCAAGCGGGGCGGCAAGGCCCAGTAAGCGACATCGGTCAGATTTCCCTTCTGCGCTCTGCTCGAGGCCACACATGGTCTGCATGAGCATGAGAAGCAGCGCCTTTTGGCATTGGAGACCTGGACTTTCAACATCCACGTGATCCGTCAGACCCATTCGGCTGATGGACAGATGTCATCCGACCCGAAGACTGGGATAGAGGGTGGTTAGTAAAGAAAAGAAAAGGAGAGGAGAGAAGAGGAGCTGTTAGCCTTTGATTGATTGACATTCAACAAGAATAAGTAGGAAGAAGGAGGTGTGTCTGTGTGGCTGGAGAGCCCGGTGGTATTGATCTTGTGTTGGGGTGTGACGCGGAACGAATTGTTTGCGAAACATGATATATAAATAAGAAACATTGATTTTGCTGCTATATATGTAAATGACCAACTGCAACAAGATGACTACCTGGCCAATGTTCATATTTATTGATTATCATTGTTGTTATTATATTTTGTCTTTCGTGGTTTCGTAAACACCGACGATATTCAAGGAAATACATCTTAGATTACAGTAAAGGGTAAAGAGATGAATATATTGGACCTGCCGAACTAAAATACATACATACTTCCACTACATACATCCAAGAAGCCTGCACATATAACCAAACACCGCCAACTCCGCGCTGCGCTGTGGACCAAACGTGAGCAAGCTAATAAATAGGCTTCAAATATGAACAAAGACATGGGCCGGGCAAAAGAAAGAAACAAGAGAGAGAGAGAGCTGAAATAACAATGTCTTGGCGATCCGTACTACCACATCATGCCCGTCGTCTGCCTCTTTTGTTGGCCGCCCGGCTTTCCTCGACTGTTTCGATCTCGTCTTCGTCTGCGCCTTTCTTGAGATCCTCGTCTTCGGCGAGGCCCAGTGCCTCGCGGTCGTACCAGTCTTCTCCGTCGCTCATCTCGCCTACGTGGCCTTCGGCTTTGCACCACTCGTAGACGTCCTCTTTCATGCGAGAGGCGCGGAGGAGGGAGTTCAGCATGTGTTCGAATCCGCGCACGGTCTCTTCTTGTTTCTGCACGTAGGACCAGAGCAGTCGGCGGGTTTCTTCGGCTTCGTTGGGAGGAAGGCCGAAGTTGGGGTCGGGTCGGATAGAGTCCGGCACGAGGAAGAGAGGATGGGGTGTTGGAAGGCTGTTCAATGTATCGGAGGAAGGTGACGGTGACCCGTTCTCTTGGTGCGGGTTCACGGCGTTGGCTTGCGCGCGAGTCGTCATGCGCCGTGGGGGTTCCAACGGAGATCCATCCCCCTCGCCGTCCAGGTCCATTTCGTCCCCTTGCGCGCCCTCGGCACCTGTATCAGCTTTGCCATCATCAACGCCATGCTCTCCATTGGCGTCCGCCTTTGCGTCTCCGTCGATAGCCCGATCTAGAACCGATATCTTATCCTGCGCAGAGTGTGCATTCTCCATCATGGCGTCATTGGTTTGTGGTGCCGAATCTCCGATCTCTCGGTGCGGAAGAAGGTCCGCCACCGGGGTATCGACTTCTTCGGACTTGGGGGCTTTCTCCATTTCTACGGTGTCATGATTTTCGTGTCCTGTGTTGTTGGTGGAGACATCGGCCATTTTGACATCTTTCTCCGCGGCTAGGCGCTCCTCGTGTTGGGCCGGCCGAGGATCGCGTTCGGAGTCGGCAACCGACTTCGTCTCCTGTATCCCGTTCTCCGACGCATTCGGGCCTTCTGTGACCAAATTGGGGGTATCTTTGTTCTGTTCATACTGAGTTCTTGGTGAGGCGGACCCAATGTGTGGCCACCGAGGCTCAAAGATCCGCCGGTCTTGATCGGTTTCCACAGCGCCACAGGGCATCCACGGCTCGTCGCCGAGGAATTGCCTATGAAGGTTTCTGGCACGCCACAAAAGTATTCGTTCCTGACGTAGTTTGGCCTCTATTGCTTGTGCCATGTTGAAGAGGGCCTTGGATTTATAAGCGTGGGAAAGCGAAGGGTGGACGGGAAGTTCCGATGGGTGTTTTAAAGGGCACATGAAGTCTAGAGCAAGATATAATCCGTCAGTCACCGAAACTCCAGGCGCATAAACAACCTAAAGATGAATCCACCGAAAGAAGTGAGGGGAATCGGAGAACGGAACAGGTTGGAACGGGGGAATGGGACACTCACTTTCCAACGCGATCTCAGAAAACGGGTTTTCCTCCGCAGCCGCCGCATCGGCCTCTGAATGTTCATCATCTTCGTCTAATTCATCACCTTCAGAATCGTATCGTACAGGGTTGGGTTGGAGAATGTAGCGAGTGTAGCCGGCATGTTCGATTTTCTGCAGTGCAAATATTGTCGTTAGCGGTCACTTTAACCAGCGTGTTCATGTCCAGCGCAGACAGTGATCTTATCAAAAGAAATGGGGAAATATAACGAGGAGAAGGAAAAGATGAGAAAGGAAAAGCCTACCTGTTTAAAGAGCTCTTCCGGATGTATGTAACCAAGAGCCCCTTCTCGCACATATTTTGCGTTGGCTCGCATCTTATTCCCCCGATTCGTCGGTTGCGTGATAGGGTCATCGGGTCCCGAATCTGATAAGAGAAAATGAATGTAAGGACGCATGCTCGACAGACGCAACGACAGACGCGAGCAGAGCGTAAGGTAAGGGTAGACAAGACATACAGTCATTCTCTTTCCGGAGAGCCCGTTTCATGCCGACAATTGTGTCGGCGATCAAGGCTGCCTGCGCCGCCATGATTGAAATTGGAACAACACCAGCTAAGATGAATGTGGGGTATAGTGGCCGATGGGATGAGCAATTGGAAGTTGGTATAGTGGTTCGATGGAGGACAAGACGGATGGCCGCAAAGGTTTATTTTCCGGGGGCAATTTGATTTCTCTTGATTTCAGCAGTAAGTGGGTTGATCAGGTAGGAGATTTGGATCATAGGCTTGACCACATAAGATGAAGGGTGTGTAGGGTCAAAGGAAGAACACGCAGGTGGAAACGAGAGAAAGAGAGAGAATGAATCTGCGCAACGCAGCATGAGCGCCGTAGAGTTACTCAGTTGATTGTCTCTCCGCTTAACGGAACGAGGAGCTGCGGGCGGCGATCGGACTCCGACTAGTCCTCTTTGGGCGTGCGTGATAAGGTCTGTCACGTGATGGTGCGGGCATCTGACGGGCAGGACGTCGAGGGACCAGTACTCTACGTCGCGTATATATGATGAGTATGAGTAGTTCTTGCAATTAATTAGGTGCATAGATCTTCTATCTAGTCATCAGCGTCAACCCACACCATGGGTCCCTTCTTGTCGGACTGCATATCTTCCGTAGGGAGGACCCTCAGCGTTTTGTTGAAGTAGGTATCCATGACGAGGAGCTGCGGTTGGATCCACAACCCTCTCTTGGACGCCAGAAGATTGTATCGAACGGTGTGTCTGCTGAGTGGGACCAGCTGCACGACCACGGTCTTCGGTCCACTGAAGGCAAAGTTCTCGTTGGCCTCCATGGCAAGGTTGAAGGTGAGGAAATGCATGGATGGGTTTTCGAGGGTGTAGTCCAGGTGGATCAGCCCAGGAAGGTTCTTGGAGGCGATCGACGAAGCGAGCACGCGAGGCTCGCCCACTGGAACGACAAACCGAGGGACTGCCAGAGTAGAGGTCGCCGTAACCTGGTCGTCCGACGAGTCCGCGGCATCACCAGTGCCGCTGGTTTCACTACGGCGCCACTGGATTTCCAATTGTAGACTCACGGCGGTCGCTCGGCGGTCGCCTAGGATTGTCTTGTGAAGGTCCATCTGGAAGTTCGACTCCCGAAGCTCCTCCGGTTGGATCTCCGATGCCTCCGGGCTGACAAGTGCCTCAGGCCCAACATCACAGACGGCACCGCCACCCACACCGAGTAACACCAACGTCATCTTCTCGATGACCAGGGGCTCTAAGGCGAAAGAGACCACTTTCGAATTGAGACACCACCGTTGCTGTAGACCAGCGGGATCCGATCCCGACTTTGGATCCTCACTGGCAGTGAAAAAGTCCGGCCACGGCTGCGGGTGGATGCGGGGGAGGAAGTCATAATTGGCCTCAAATGGCCGGATGATGCTCAACTTGACGCGTGTGGTCGCAATGACAGGTGTCTGTACATCGGACACAAGGTTGTACACCGCCGATATCTCAAGCTCATGGTCCGATGCGTCGTCAGTGTCGCCAAGAACAACCGCCAATTCCCGTTGTGTGGAGCGTTCCATGACGCCAATGGACCGCTGAACAAGGTGCGAAAGGCTATCGGAAAGGGTTCTCTTCTCCGAATCCTCGCTCTCCGAGGACGGCTCCTCATCAAGCCAGGTGATTTTCGCCGCAGACTCAGGGGGACCGAACAACCTAGCCTCCGCTTGAACGTTGGCAGCCTCGTCCTCTTCGTTGTGAATGCCAATTTTCAGCACCACCCGTTCGTTGGTGTAGTACGTAGTCTTCAGATTCGGCGTCGTGATTCGGATTTTAGGTGGTTTAGGATTGACTTTGCACCGATTGATCTCACGATCTTGGCCCACCCTTCGTCGACTTGGACCTTTGGAGGTCTGCTGCCACCAGTAGGACTCACTAAGGGCGAGATCAGTGATCGCACACGCAAGATCAAATTTATCTTCCTCAATGGACAAAGTGACGGATGCAACACTGCACTCTCCAGCTTCTCGGGGGATGCACCGAAGGTCGAACACTTTCGTTTGAGATGGACCAATGCTGAGATCTGCCATTCCCACTAATGGCGTTAACCAACTAGTGGGTGATTGTAAAGGCCCGTCATGCGTGGTGCTAGAATCCCGCAATGTGGGTGAAGATATTGTGCAAGGAGTCGCTGTGTCGGCTTCTGTGTTCTGATCCGACTGGAGTTTGATAGGGCGAAGGCACCCTTCAAAGACAACTTTAACCTCGGAGAAGCGAATGGGCTTGGAAGACGCTTGGGTATGAGAAGTGATGGTGAGCTGGCCCTGTAGAGGCTCGCCAACATTTCCTTCGGACTTTGAAAACACAAATGATGCGGTGACTAGTAAAGGTATGTTAGAAAACTTATTTCGCGGGCAAAGTGTTGAACCGAGCGTGCCTACCGCTTGGAATGACATCGTTTGCATTTAGTACAATGGATGGCTTCGGTTTTACCGGTGGAAGATCCCCAAGGCTCTTGTGGATATCATACTGCCAATCGGGTTTTTCATGGAAAGCTAAAATGCGTCAGTTATACTCGGTAATTGGTGTTGGTGGTTGTGTTGCCAAAGGGAAAGGGGGCAGCGAAGCGAAACGAGATGTTAGGCTAACAGGATGGGGTACACATGCACCAACAAATAGACCAACAAATAGATAATACTTACCCCGGTTGAGTAATTCCCAATCCACCTGCAGAATCATTCCGCTATCATGCACTCTGAAGGCGCATTCTCTGAGGGCCCAGCCGAACTTTTCCATCAGCTGCCACCAGCCTGAACGTCGCCACGTTAGGGTCGGCCATAAAGGCCGCAGGATATCGTATGCTTCGACCCATGAACCAGCTCGCATGTATTCTTCCGCAATCTCCAAGCTGATCATTTCCGTCTTCCGTACCTGGCCACGCTTCGAGAACTCCTCCAACGCTGCCTTCAAAGCGTCCAATATCAACGGCGAGTGATCGAATCCAGTCACGCCCGCTTGTGGTGCCTCGATGTGGGTCTCTGGAACCAGGTAGGTGTCATAGAGGTAGGATTTGCTCGCTATCTGGGAAGCTGGAGACTGCCCCGGCGGTATCCGATCTTCGACCGGGATCTTCTCGGCGAGCTCCCGTCTGTACATGGTGTGTTTCGCCGACCGGCATAGCCAGTATCCTTCATGATGTAGATGCTCCCAGGGCGATATTATGCCATGCTGGGGTTGGGCCTTCTCGCGTGGTACGTAGATCGAGTACTGCTCGCTGGACTGGTCCTGGGATGGACCAAGTCTAAAGTAAGAAATCTCGGCCTGGTGGATGAGTTGCGCCATCACCATTGACCATCGAGCCTCCCAAGCCTCCCAACCATAGTTATTCGTCCCTTTTCCTCGTCGATTGATTACGCCTTGCGAGTATCTGCGGTGGTTGTTCCACGACCGTACAGCTGCCGCGGGTTGGCCACAGCGGAGCAAACAGCGAATGATTCTTACGGCCAGAGAGTCGGCCAGAAGGCGCGCATCGTTGAATCTCGGGCTCCACCCTGGTATGTTTTCGAAAACCTCCTGGCCAAACAGAGTCTCGTATGCGCTTTCATAGTTCCTCAGAGCTGCATCTGTCTCCTGGCGAAACTCGGCAAATACTCCTAGCTTGAATTCGTACCGGACATTCCACCCTTGGAGGGACAACGTTTGAGATGTTCCGCTTGTCGGCGGCGCTGTTGGGGGTGGGATGGCGCTTCGGTTTCGTTTCCGTCTAGCGTGTTTTGAAAGATCCCGGTAATAGTCCATCACCACTGGATGCAATAGGGACTCGAGAGACGTCACAAACTCCTTCAGCTCCGTCGGGGTGGCATCGGCCGGCAGAAGGAAGATAGACTTCTGGTCCAAGTTTGTTGCCCTCCGTATACTCGCTATCCGCTCCTCGGCTTCCTCGACGACGGCACCGCTGTTTTCTTCCGACAAGAGGACGACAAGAAACCGCGTCTTGTACCCGGACGAAGACCATTGCTTTTTCAACCCATTGATCTCGATCTTCAATTGATTGTCTCGCAACGAGTTCATATTGGGATCCTGGCAGAAGGGAAAGAAATTGATCACCACGGCAGGAACAAGACCCTGGTGTTTCGTGACCCAAAGCGGCGTGAGAAGCCCATCCGGGAAGGTCGGGGAGCTGGGAGTCAACGGAGAGATTGGCGAGTGGAGGACAAAGTGTGGTCCATGACCACCACCATTGTCGGGGCTAGCATTGGGGCTCGTCGGGGGCGATGCAGGGGGCGGGTCAGCTTTGCGCGGGGGGAGTCTGTAGGACTATCCAGGCGTTAGCACTCGAGTCCACGCCAGGAATTTTGTTCTGGACATCCGGAGCCAAGAGGTGGCTAAGAAAGGAACTTCGGCCTTTGTGATAACTATCACGACCAACGAACAAGATGTTGCGGGCATGAAGGGTGAGGGGCAATTTGTTGTGAGACCTATGTATGCAACACCACGTACCCGTCCAACACTCTTGATCTTATATCCCACCCCCGTCGACGGCGCCCGTTTCTCATTGCGCCGTTCCCATGGGGCTCGGGATGCGTCCTCCTCCAAAAAGGCCTGTCGCAATTGTTCCGCGGTCGGTCCGGTCAAAGGTGGGAAGTCCGAATCGATCGTGGGGTCTCCCCTGTGGAGAAGAGGATAGTCGGAGTGTTGGTCCCCATCGGAACCGGCGTCGAGACCCGAAAGGAGAATAAAAGGGAGATTGTGGACGACATAGTCCTCGGGATATGCGTCCATAGCGGACCAATGTTCCTTGGCGGGGGTTGCAAGTCACCGCATACCTAGGTATCGATTGGGGGTCGTGTTAGCTCCGAAGTCACCGCAGGGTGACGGAAGCCGGTCGAGACACGTTTTGGAAGGGCTGGAATTGGTAATATAAAAGGTAGTAGGCTTCCTGGTGTGAGGGGGGCAATTCCTGAAGATTCAGCGGTGGTGATGAAGGTGCTTGGTTGCCAAGTCACACGCCCAAATTAGTTGAAGACAGATCGAACGTGGTGGTTGGGCGATTGTTCTTAGTTTAGCTTCCATGCTGCTATCACCAAACACGCCAAGACTGGTATCAGTGGATCCTTCAGACAGTCGCGGAATGCCGTTCGAGACTTGTCCATATTTATATTTCTGGCGGCTTCCTACTGATGAAGTGTCGGTAGCACATGGCTATATTCAGGTCTTACGGAGACATACATCGTGCCAGCAATAGTCTTGACCTGCATTATGGTGGGATCCCCCCGTATACTAATGCTCCTTCGATACGTATAACAACAAGCTGTCGCTCCAGGACTGTCACCCAAGGACGAAAGAAACGGACAATGCTTACACTGATATATATATTCTTTCGCTTCTTCATCGATTTCAACTTTGAGTTTTCACGGTTCGGGTGACCTCTCAGAGACTGAACTCGTGGTCTTCAAATATAACTCAAACACGTAATCAGACGGTCGATGCCACTTGTGTGTATGGCCCAGAATTCTTCGAAACACGGAGATATTGATGAAACAAAGCCCTACCTGAGAGCGCTCATTGGATGAGGGATCCATCAGTCTATGCCCTACCGATCGAATTGTAGTCGGTATTCCAACTTTTCCAGTTTTAGATAAAGCGGGTGGGTCGGCGTGGAATCGGATTCTGTCCCTGTTGTTCCTGATTGAGTCTGTCTACCATGATACCATTCTGTGGGTTCGAGTTTGTTACCTATCTAGGTAACATCAATTGTCGAGTCCATCCAGTGTACACACTCCAATGTTGTGAGCGACGCAATGTATCAATTGACCACAAGGACATCCTCGTGTCAACTCTTGCCACTCCCTTTTCCACGCAGATTGGTGATATACAGTCATGGGATTGTCATCTCGTCCCCGTGACCTAGTTTCGACTCCCAAAGCGAACGAACCTTGCCTCTGAAAGGCATCAAGGGCATGAAAGACAGATTGGTGTCGCCAAATCCCTGGTGGAAATTGGCATCGGAAGCTTGGATGTGTCCGTGCCGTGAGTAAGATTAATTCAACCTGAGTCCTTGGGATTTGGATCTGCGAACCGTGCGGAGGGAAGTTCTTGTCAGACTTTGGGTCTGAGATCGATGAGTGGATGCAAATGCAGAGAACCGCCAGACACTAAGGCAGGGAAGCCCACCGTGACCCATATCTGACCTACAGATCAAGCAATGACTGGCCCCTTTTGGACCCTTTCCTCTCTCTTTTTTTTTTTCGCTCTTCTGATTTCCTTCTTCTTTTTCATTGACTTTTTCACTGGCATCTGGGACTCCATGGTCGGAGGAGTCCAAGATGAAGATATATACTCCAGGTGGTTCGCGTATAAGACGACAGTACAGATGTGGATAGAGGATAATTGGAGACCGACTAAACCTCGGTAGTTTCAACGCAGCAGGTTAGATTCATGATGGATTCTGAACTTCCTATACTAGTGATTTCTGCTATTATCTCTTCCTATTTGATATTTCCTGTCTTTTCGCTCTCTTTGCCTTTTTAATTACACATTTTAAGGTCTTCGGAGGTTATTTAGTCTCTCCTCCTGCCCCTCATTCTATAGTCCTACTAACTATCTCTGTTTGACTGAGTAGGCCGATCTTGGATTAGAACCCTCCTTTTCTGTTCTCTTCCCTTTTTCGGTTTTATCCGTTTTATTTTATCCTATTTTATTCAATCAATCTTTCCCTCTTTTCGTTACGCTCTTTTAGTTCCTCCAAATGCGCGATCCCTTCCTACACGGACCACCCTCTTTTTTTCTCCCTGCCCCCCTCGTTCTTTTCTTCAGTTGAAATATTACCTGCAAGGGAGTTCCGTTCCATATCGCAAGGGGCTCAACAGGATTGGATCCTGGTTTCATTATTTTGCTTCTCTTAATTGGCACATGCAGAAAGCAACTCTCCCCCCCCCCCCCCGACCCTCTATAGATTAACCACCACTCAAGGACGACCGGGCCTGCAACCTCCCGATTTCCGCTCGCCCCCCTCCCTCAATCCTGACTGGACTGGACCATGCAAATGTCCAGTAAAGGCGCCTGCGCATACTGTCTGTGATTAATTGGATTCCGGCTGGAGCGCCAGCTTTTGCGACAGGGCTTGAGAATCCCACCCCCTTGTCAAGGGTTTTTTACCCCATGGATCACGCGGAGAGTTCGTCGGCGTCTAAGCTTGATGCCCCTTTCCAGGCATCTTCCGCCCTCCTGTCGCGTCGTCGCAAGGGAAACCCGTCCCGAAAACCCTCGATCAGTCCGGTGACCGACCAGGGCTCCCCCGAAGTGATATCCTCGTTAATCTCTTCGCTTTCGACCATCTCTGTTCCTCTCCAATCGCATTTTGACAGTGGCCCGCGCATTGATTCGGAAACCGACCCCACAACCCCCATCTATATCCCTCCCGAACCACATTCCATTCCCGACCAACAACGGCCACCGAGCGAGCATGGATTTGGCGTGACCTACACCACGACCCCAGTGGCGGTCGACTTCCCGCATAGTCCGTTTCTGCACCCCGACGATGCTGCGGCTGCCCCCATCATTCGCATGGCCCGGGCGCCGCCCTCTCCCAAGTCTCCCAAGTCGCCCAAATCGCCCAGATTCAAATCTGCCTTCTCGGCGCCCCCGTCCCCGGGAAGGCCGACGTCCAGGGGTTCCTACACCTCGTTCAAGGCGGGCTATGAAGACACCGCGTTTGGCATGATCTCGACGGAGCCAGGCCATCGCGCATCCACCGCCGCTAGTATCGCCTCGACAGGATCTAGGAAAAGCTTAAAAACCCCGCTGGGCCTGTTCAAAAAGCCATCGCGGGAATTTCTGTGCGGCAAAGATAAAGAGTCGGAAAAACTACGGAAGTCGAATAGCTACAACGATAGCCTGAGGCAGAACATGCCGCGGAACCGCGCGAGTTTGCGCTCCATGCACTCCATGGCGAACGTGGCAGAGGAAGGACGGCAAACTTACTCCACGGACTCATCGAGACAGCCTCCGCCTAGCTCACCTAACAGAGAGCGCTCTTCGTTCCAAAGCTTATGCGACAGTGCGCCAAGCACCCCCGGGGGTGTTGGAAGTGGGAGGGCTATCCCCGCACGTGAATCATCGTTGCGACACAGCTTTTCTTCCAGCTCCAGGCAACGCAAAGGCTCCCGTCATGGTCGACTACCGTCGGGAGGCAGCAACAGGGAGGCCAAAGTTGATAGCGGGATAGCTGGCGTCGGAAGTGAAGCTGAACAGGTGACGAAGAGGATCCAAGAACTGAAAAATCAACAGCAGAAAATCAAGACCGAGCTGGAAATGGACGATAGTCCTGAAATATCCACAAAGCACCTCCCATCCCCGAAACCGGTTCGACCGCCGCAAAACCCCAGCGGTGTTGGTGCTGGCGTCGGTCCAGCCGAAGCGCGACGGAATCGCTCATACACATTCGACGAGAGCGCTCCAGCGCCAGCAGTAATGACTGGTAAATGCAGATCCATGACGAAAACTAGCTCCCCACTTGTCTCGAAACCAGCCAACGTGCCGTTTGCGACGAGGGGTTCCTTTGATAAATGCGACCAGGCTAGCATGATTCGCGCCCGACAATCCGTGGAGTCATCTACACCTCCACGAAACCACAGACGCTCGCCCTCTGGACCAACTCCCACCGGTCAGAGTGTGGCTGGGGATTATCGCCCGTCGAGCGCCGATTCCATCGACCACTTGGTGTTCGACTACATACAATCTCCCAAACTGACTCAACGTGTCCCCCATCCCACGACGGGCCGTACAATCGCATTCTCCGAGGTGGGAGATCCTAGGGGGCACGTAGTTCTGTGCTGCCTTGGAATGGGATTAACCAGATATTTGATGGCTTTTTACGACGAACTGGCGCGTTCCCTCAAGCTTCGAATGATCACTTTGGATCGCCCTGGCGTTGGTGAGAGTGGGCCTTGTGTGGATGAGTCGGGGAACCCTCTCAGTTGGCCAGGTAAGAACCCTTTTTCCTTTCTTCTCCCCCCCTTCTCTTTGGTACATCCTCCGAATTGACTAACTGGGACAGACGATGTTGCTATCGTATGTAATTATCTCAAAGTAACTAAATTTTCGATCTTGGCGCACTCGGCTGGTGCCATTTACGCGTTGGCAACGGCTTTGAGGATCCCACAGCATATCCGGGGCCGTATCCATCTCCTTGCGCCTTGGATCCCTCCGTCGCAGCTGTCGAGCATTGGCTCGCAGAAATCTCCCGCCCCTACCAATGCCGTGCCATACTCCCAGCGAATTCTCCGTGCGCTACCGACCTCTTTCTTAAAGGTAGCCAATTCCAGCTTCATGAGCGCGACGAGCGCAAGTATAACGACCAGTCTTCCCAAATCGCCCCGGCGATCAAAGCGAAAAGGGGCCGCGAAGGATGCCTCTGCCTCGGCGGCTCCCGACGTCAATGGACCCCAGAAACTCCAGTCGAAGATCCATCAACAAGGCGCCGACCTCCAGGCCCTACAAAATGTCCGAACCCCAAATATACCCAACGAGGCCCGCGACAAGGAAGATGAAGCCTTCGGGCAGAATACGGGGGTCTCCGACGAGCGTGAGCGCCAATCCGATTATGACAATCGTCTGACGCACAAGATCTGGGAACTAGCTACCAGCAATGCCAACCCGGCAGTTGACTTGCTCGTGTGCTTGGAACGTCACCAGCCGATTGGCTTCCGTTACGTGGATATCACCCGAAACGTTGTCATCCACCATGGGAGCAGGGATACCCGTGTCCCGGTGGACAACGTCCGATGGCTTGGCCAAACCATGCGACGCTGTGAGGTCCGGGTTCTCGAGGACGAGGGACACGGATTGATGGCATCTGCGTCCGTGATGGGCAATGTGATGATGGAAATCGCCAAGGAATGGGAAGACTGGATGATTGTCGTCCAGGGCAGGCGCCGGGGGACTACCGGGATGCGACCCGGCCTTATGATTCAAACATAGGGACAACCGCATAACCTTGGACTTGATACAGAATGGCAGGTTGCGCAGACGCTGTGCTCCACCGCTGCTGGTTCTGCGGATTCTTACTCTTATTTCTTCCGGGGAAGTCTGGCATGGATTCGATGCCATGGGCAGTGGCTCCAAGTAAGACACATGGACCTTGGGCTAGATCATGCCTTGAATCATGTGAAAACTCCCTCGTTTATCAGTGTCATTTCATTTTAGCAATACCCGATTAGAGCAACTTTTTTTCCTAGTATAATCCATAATCAAGATCTTTTTTTTATCTGTCTCTCGGCACTAGAGTAGTTGATCTGGCGTGACTGAACCTAGGAAGGATATTCAACAGCTGAGGTTGTATACCCTTGGTAGAAGTAGACATCAGTATATCCCATCTCCATAGTTGACTTGGCAGGAGTAAATCAATCCATGGCGTAACCAATTACGGAGCAAACCTCCTGGCCGAGCTAGGCGCGCACACGCGGGCCGCTCCTTTCAGGATCATTGGCTCCCCGGGTGTGTCCAGTGTCCACCCCCACGCGCGACCATCATTCAATCAATGATTCAATCTCCCTCCGACCTTTAAGAGCGGGAGTACCGCTGAGGCATCACGACGGTTGTCTATATATATAATACATATATATGATTACTTGCTTTCTTGTTTCGTATCCTGATTTCGCCTTTGCGCAATCCATGTTCGGCTGTGATTGGTGTTCCGCTTGCGCCGATGATCTGTCGACCCCACGAGGCTGCGACTTCGATGCGTGAAACAACCAGGTAGGTAATGTGTTTTGGGCCCAAGCGTGCATGGTATATAAGGAGGGACGACGCACTCTAACCGTTGAGTTTGGTTCGCTAGGAAATCTGACCACTATACACCGTCCTCGGCAAATACCCGTTCATCATGCTGTCCCAACGGCGCATGAGGCTGCTGGCCGTCGTCGTCTTTACGTTGATCGTGATCGCGTTGTATTACTCGGTGAGCCAGCCCCCTCGTTTGGATATGTCGTCGAAACCAGCCGCCTAACGTGATCGGTCCGCACTCTCAGAGAGACAGCCACCAGGAGCAGAACCAGAGGTTTTACAAGTCCACTGTGGCCGCCATCGAGGCGCAAAAGGAGGCAGCGCAGTTGGAGAAGACAGCCGCGAAACAGCAACCGGCGCACAGAAAGCCCGCTGAAAAGCCGCCGCCGATCGATGACGATACGATGAGACCTGCGACGCCTAAGAACCCGGATGATACCGAGGAGATCTCCATCGCGGGGAGAACGAAGATTACTGTTCCCAAGAATCGCAACGACCCGGTACAGCAAGGATCGGAGTCGCCTAGTAATACTCAGGCGGATGACAAGATTTCTCAGGCGGACGACAAGACACCTCAGGCGGACGACAAGACTCCTCAGGCGGACGATACTCCCAAGACGGACGACGCGCCTGGAGAGAGCGACGCGAAGACCGAGCTCAATTCTATTTTGAAGCGAGCACCCAGTACGTCACGTCCCCGTCGCATTATTACTCTAGACCGCTAACAATGCAATCTACGCAGTTATCATCTTTTCCAAATCCTATTGTCCGTTTAGCGCACGCGCCAAATTCCTTCTCCTGAACAGATATTCGATTGTGCCCGCGCCGTTCGTGGTGGAGCTTGACAAACACCCGCTAGGACCACAACTGCAGACTATCGTGGCCGAAAAGACCGGTCGCCGCACTGTCCCTAATGTGCTGGTTAACGGGAAGAGCATCGGGGGCGGCGACGATGTGACTGCGCTCGACGAGAGCGACGAGTTGGTAACCACGCTGAAGGATTTGGGTGGGAAGTGGATCCAGGAGGTCAATCGACAGGGAGCAGGGCCTTGATCTCTCGAAGCCAGTTGGAGTCGTAGGCTCCCTTCGAAACTTACTTACCACTGATGGATAGTCGGCGTTTTAATTTCTTTCGATTCTAGGTAGTTGAGCTTTGCTTGTGTATATATTATACCTGAGGGGTTGGGTAGATAAGCACGATTAGTTGGATATATATGAAGGGTCTATATTTTCCTTCTTCTTCTTCTTCTTCTTCTCCTTCTCTTCCTCTTCCTTTTTGTTTCTTTCTGCCCATGTCTCATTCATATTTGTATAGACATCTTGACTGCAACAGTCACGTGGTCCGATCGTGGTGCCAAGACCTTCGAGGAAGAGACGATGATAAGCCTGGAGTGGACAGACACTTCCTTTCTGGAGATGCAATATTCGATCGGCTCAAAAGAACAATTCCGCAAGTCTTCCCAATTTGTAACTCTGTAGTATAAGTTTATGTCATTTCATAATAAAACAAACCATACTCCGAACCAATGACGCTAAACCCAATCGGTGCCAACCCTAGGCGGACAACGCTAACCCAATACGTCGCTAAGCGACGCACAACCGGCGGGTTTCGCTCCACCACCGGAGCGGAACAGACAAGACTGGCTTTTGACGAATTTCGTTCCCTTTGAACGACCGACCGCACGACGACATCGACAATCTTCCCCTCGGACAATCCACAGCCCACGCAGTCAAGATGCGGTACATTCACTCCGAGGAACGGCTGCCCATCCCCGACAATGGTGAGCTTTCATCCGATTTAACTTCCTGGTCTTTTGAGATGGTGGCCTCGTGGTGGTTGATTTGGTGGTGATCCGGCGCGACCGCACGATGGACGTTATGGAGAGGGTGATATGGGGTTTACGAGACGTCGCGCCTGGTGCAGGATCGATTGCTTGAAGGAATGAGAGCGCTGGGTGGAAAAATCAGAAAAAAGAGGGGGAAAGCAGGGAGCGCATTGGGGAGAGGCCATTGTCAATGGGCTATGTTGAATATGCTTCGACAGGACTTCATGCTGATTCGAATTTTGCTCCTAGTGAACGTTCACATTCGCTCGCGGATTGTTACCGTCGAGGGCCCCCGAGGTATGCAACACCCTCCACCTTTTTTTTTTGTCTGTTAGAGGACAGACAAAAAAATTTCCAAACCCTGGGCATGACTTGGCTACGGACAACGAAGAGTGTCCGGCTATCGTCTGTTCGGCTCGTTATTCGGCATCATGTAACTAACATGGATTGTCCTCGACTCTAGGCAAGCTTGTCAAGGACCTTTCTCACATCGCCGTCACCTTCGGCCGCCCTGAGAAGAATGTCATCTCCATCGAGTTGCACCACGGTGCTCGCAAGGGCGTTGCCACCCTGCGTACCGTCCGCACCCTCATCAACAACCTGATCATCGGTGTCACCCGCGGCTTCCTCTACAAGATGCGCTACGTCTACGCGCATTTCCCCATCAACGTCAACCTTGAGAAGAACGCCGAGACCGGTCTTACCGAGATTGAGATCAGGTAAGCCGGAAGCACCATTTTACGAGGGACTGGAAATTACGTTTTTTTTTCTCGGGAAGCGTGGTTGTGGACCTATTATTTGTTCGAGGTTACTGATGGATGAATTTTGATAGGAACTTCCTGGGCGAGAAGTACGTCCGTCGTCTGACTGCTCAGCCCGGCGTTGAGATCGCCACCTCCCCCAACGTCAAGGATGAGCTCCAGCTCTCCGGTAACTCCCTGGAGAACGTCTCCCAGAGTGCCGCCGATATCCAGCAGATCTGCCGAGTCCGTAACAAGGATATCCGAAAGGTGAGATCATCCGCATTCGAGGGGCATTAACAATCGCTAACAATATATTTCAGTTCCTGGACGGTCTGTACGTGTCTGAGCGAACTAACATCATTGAGGAATAAACGGTTTCTGGGATTGCGTCTGGTGGGTAGCTAGGATGTCAGGGGAATATAATCTTGACCTCTTTGCATTAGGAAAACAATGCGAAGTTCAACCTAAAACAAAAAAGAATCAGAGAACCATGAAATTCAATGCCCCTTCACGCGTCTACGGGTTTGGCATGGTGTTTTCGCCAAGGGACATGGACTGTAGGAAACCAAAAATCCGGCTTCTATGAATTTACTTTTTTCTTCTTCATATGAACATATTTCCATTTTGATGGTAAGAAGATTTGACTAGGGGGATCGTAGAGCCGAGTATATAAGGGATCGTCCAACCTTATCGTCAGATTTCCCCTACGGGAAGTATATGCAAGATCGGATTCCAGGGCTCTGATCTCCGCCTTTGCTTTGATCTACTGAGTCTGACAGTGGTCAGATCATTTATTGATGATTACTGGTATTTATGGAGTAGTCATAGTGGCACGGAGTAGTCAGGTACGATGAGATCGGAATTATATCATTGTTGCGGGAGCATGTGATCATGCCGTCCCCTCCAAAAGAAACCTCCCTTGTGATTGTTCCTTTCTGCATCATCATCTCTCTCCTATCAATCAGAATACAAGATGCCCCTCGGGGTAATTGCCAGGTTCTTCACTATATTAGTGAGGATATTGCAATTCTTCAAAGATGTATGCCCATCCCCATCGTTAGTAGGCTCCTTAAAATGGCACGGTTACTGACAACGTTACACTAGGCACTACTGTCATGGTGGAGGTCAGCATCTCCTCAATCCCAACTATTGCGCAAAATATCTACAGCCCAATCGTTTGAGGAGTGGAACGATGCTGCGGTTGACTTGGATGAACTCCTGGGCGCCAATCTATGGTGAGTGGACAGACTACGACCGGGACTCCGACGAATACTAGAGCTGAACATATCTAGGCGGCAGGACCCCACGAGTCCTCACTATGACTATCTCCTCATCCTAGGAAGGATGCAGGCTATCATGAACGCCCGAGAAAATGACGACATCTTGACACTGACCAGCCTGCTCCGATCGGGTCTGGTCCGCAACCTCGGCAACATAACAGCCATCCATCTCTTTCTTCATTCGTACGCAGGGACGAAGCATCTGGTGGACGACTATATCACTCAGGTGGCACTCTCCATTCAATATGTTTCAGCCCTGCCGGCGGTCCCGGGTTACGATACTGGCTTTACCGCGCAGTCAAAGCTGGAGCTATTGCACGATACGCGCCAGGCGTTTGGAAGAACGACATTGCTCTTACAAGGCGGGTCGATCTTCGGGCTATGTCACCTCGGCGTGGTGAAGACCCTCCACCTCCAGGGCGTCTTGCCTCGCATCATCACCGGTACGGCAACGGGTGCGCTTATCGCCGCGCTGGTCGGTGTACATACCGAGGCTGAACTGTTGACATTCCTCGACAGCGATGCCATAGACTTGACTGCGTTTGACCGTGTTCGTAAGAGAGACAGCAACCCCCGGTTGCCATTCGGTCTAGGAAGCACTTGGCTGGGGGTGTTGAGTCGACGAGTCAACCGGTTTATGTCTCGCGGCCACTTTCTCGACATCGGGGTGCTTGCGGAGTGCGTGCGGGCCAATATTGGAGATATCACGTTCGAAGAAGCGTTCGCTCGCTCGAAGCGTGTTCTCAACATCACTGTCGCGACGTCAAACACGGGCGGGACGCCGGATTTGTTAAACTACTTGACCGCTCCCAACGTAGTACGTGCCAATCTCCAACCTCCATCCAACTTCTCAGGGCTAACCATGCGCAGTTGATCTGGTCTGCGGCCGTGGCGTCAAATGCGTCATCCTCATCACTATACCAGTCGGTCCCGATCTACTGCAAGGACGAGTCAGGCAAAATCGTCCCCTGGTGGGACGACCAAGGCGCAGCCTCCAAGGCAGCACGGCGCACTCGTCGATACAAAGCCGGAGAATCACCGCTAGCGCGGATCGCAGAGCTGTTCAACGTCAACCACTTCATCGTCTCCCAAGCCCGACCCTATCTCATCCCGTTCTTCCGCTCCGAGATGCACCTCCTCGACCGGCGTCCAACAGGCCGGTTCACCGTAACGCGCGCTATCAAAGGCCTCGTCGCATCGGAAATTCGCCACCGACTGCGCCAATTGGACTACCTCGGTTACCTTCCGCAAGTCCTCGCGCGGCTCCTCATCGAGGAGACCATCCCAGGTCCCAGCCTGACCCTCGTCCCGGATCTCTCAATAATGGACTTCACCAAGCTCCTGGAGAACCCCACTAAAGAGAACCTGAAGCACTGGATCCAAAAGGGCGAGCAGGGAGTGTGGCCTGCGCTCAGTGCGCTGAGGGTTCGGTGTGCCATTGAGTTCGAGCTCGATAAGCATTATCGGTATGTGCGACGACGATGTCGACCGGCTGAGAGTCCTGTGTCTCCTGTTTTGCATAGTCCTTTCTTGCAGGGGTCTGGACATTTTGAGCCGGTGGATACGGCAGATACCAGGTGATCAACTTGAGTGGTAGACGATGCCAACCGTCTCCAACGGTATGAGCGGTAGGGCAAGTTTGATGCTACATACGAACTCAAGGAGTATCGAATGTTCGGTTTTTGAAATATCCTAGACGATCCTAACATCTCTCTGAATATCAGGGAACAGCTTATCTATGGAAGATTAGATCACCCTTGATTTCGATCAGAAACGAAGGCATCATGGAAGCCATTTAGTACATCCATCTGTTTTGATATACATCGAAATCAATACCTGGCTCACCCCACCAACAAAACTCTTACTACCAAAGAAAGAACGAAATAAGTCAATAGGTCAATAAAGATACACATTATCAATATAAAGTCATGTGTCAAAATACTCTACATAATCAATAAGAATAGTAGAAGTCAAATCATAAATATAGCTCCCCCTCCGCCTCAAACAATATCAAAACGAACCATGCACGGATACATTCAAAACCACAACAATAGGTATAATATAATATCCAACAAATCCCACCTTGCATATAAATCAAATATTACAACCCCCTCCCCACCCCCCATCAACCCACAAATCAAATCAGATCAAATTCAAATAGGAATCCCCTCGGACCACCAAGTCACCGGATCAAAGACAAGTTTCTGCTGCTGTTGCTGCTGCTGCTGATGTTGTTTATTTTGTTGTTCTTTTTTTTTCCAGCCAAATTTTTTTCGAGTTAGCTAGTTGATCGAGGTCGACGGTCGAGGAGGATCATTATTACCCGACTGGGGACGGGAGTGGCGGCCGTGAAGCGAGTGCGAGCGCCACGAGTGAGGGCGTTTCTTGTCTGATTCGGACGGGACGTATTCCAGGGGTGGGACTGGTTGTGTTATTAATATTTTTCTCCTTTGAAAAAAGGGGAATATGGGGGATATATGAAGGGGGAAAGGGATGGGGAGATACGTACTACTGAATGCGTAACCGTCGGCGGCACCCTCCTTGTTCTGCGGGTCGATTTCCACTCGGATAGCCACGTCCAGACCACCGGGCATGACGCCGTCGGAGCCAAACCCGTCCGCGGCGGAGTTCTCCGCCCCGGCGGTGGCTTCGCCGTTGTGAAGCGGCGAGTGGCCGTCCTTGGGGATCTGGTCGATGGTGCCGCCTTCGAGACCGGTGGGGCCGTCGCCGTTGGTGAACGGGATGTCGACTTCCGTCAAGCAGGCGTAGTTGCGGGACGGCATGGTGACCTTGTTCCAATTGGCGCTCTTCTCGATGCCCCCGGGCTGGCGATCGAACATGTTCATCATGGTCTCGTCGGTGTCGTGGTCGAGGTGGTGGATCTTGTTGCGGCGGGCGAGCAGGTTGGCGACGGCCTTGGGGGGCGGCTTGTTGGTGATGGCGGAGCTGACGACGTTGATCATGTAGCGGGGGTCGTGGCGGGACTGGATGCCCAGCTTGGGGTTGGAGTAGAAGCGGCCGATGGCGGCGAGGTGAACGTCGCCGCCGAGGAAGGTGACGCGGGCGGAGTGGGTCTTGGAGAAGTCCTGCAGACGCTGGATGAAGAGGCGGCGTTCGCGCTTGTGCTGGCGGGCGGTGTAGTGGTCGTCGAGGTCGTCGAGGAGATCGACCTGGCCGTCGAACTGGTTGAAGAGGCCGCCGGCGAAGCCGAAACGCTTGTTGAGGAGCCGGATGGGCGCGATGACGGGCGAGCTGAGGATGTTCTCCAGCCAGGCGAGACGCGGGTAGGCGATGGGGACGCCGAGGAGGACGATCAGGTGCTTGATGTCGCCGTTGGCGGCGGCGACCTCCTGCTCGAGTCGGTTGAAGATGAGGTCGTAGGTGTCGTTGTAGTTGACTTGGTGGCGGGTGCGCTCGGTGCGGGCGTCGACGCCGACGAAGGCGATGCGCTTGCCGAGGCGCATGTACAGGTTGCGACTCTTCTCCTCGACGTAGGGGCCGGGACGCTTGCCGACGATCCAGCTGTCGTCCTCGGGCTGGTTCTCGAGGACGTAGGTGTTTTCGAGCTGGCGCGGGTCGGCGCCGGCGGTGCCGTTGACGGCCTGCATGGTCTGGGGCGCGTCGGTGGTGTAGGTGGAGAGCGGGGGCGCGATGTGGTGCTGGAAGAGGCAGTAGTACTTGAAGGCGACGCCGCCGATGCCGCGGAAGACGGAGCAGCGCATGAAGTGGTCGGTGTAGGAGCCGAAGCCGTCGATGATGTCGTGGTCGTCCCAGATGTTGATCTGGGGGATGCGGCCGTTGGCCTCCTTGAAGGGCTCGGTGGAGTACCAGCGGATGTAGTTGGCGTAGTAGTACTCGTCGCAGCGCTCGCGCATGGAGTTGTCGAAGTTGTGGGCGCGACGCTTGTGGGGGTTGCCGATGGCGGTCCATTCGGCCAGGGGGCCGTCGACGCGGATGCCGTCGTTGTAGATCTGATCGCCGCCGCCGATCATGACATGGAAGGGTTTTTGGGCGTGAACGCGCAGGACATCGTTCCACAGGTTGGGGCCGAGCCAGGCGTCCATGTCGGTGCCGACGGAGAAGCCATTGCAGGAGTGGAACATCATGCGCATGGACTGGTTGACGGAGGGGACGACAAAGTCCCAGGAGGCGCGGCCGAGGTCGCCCTGAGTGTAGTGGAAGCCATCGATGGCGTACTCCCAGCGAGCCTCGTAGGAGTCCAGGGGGAGGGCGAGGGAGAAGCGCCAGAAGGCCTTCTCGGGATCTTCGTAGAGGCGCAAACCGTCGATGGGGGAGCCGTGGTTGCCATAGAGGGGCGCATCGGCCGAGGCGTCGGGGGCGGCTGGGCCAGCCTTGCGCAAAACAAGCCGCGGCTGAGGGCAGTTGGGTTTGGTCACGATCAGCACACTACCACGCCAGGTGGACTCGGAGGAATTGATGTCCATGTTTTTGAAGTTGAGCAAGGGCCCGCAGATGACATCGATCTGGGGATTGCCCATGGGGGGTTGGCCATTGGGGGGGTCTATGCGATCCGTCAATTAGTAGGAGGTAGAAGGCAGGCGGTCGAAAAACCGAGGCCTACCGTATGGTTGGGCCATGATGATACGATCTATGGCCTGTTGCTCGTGAAGAAACTATCCAAAAAGAAGGAGTATAATCGAATCGACCAAGGATGGTGGGGAGGCGTATATATAGACGGAATGAAATCACAACAAAAGGGGTATCAATGCACGCAGGGAGAAGATGAAGGGATTGAGTATATTCCTCAAATAATGGTACTAATATGAAACGAAGAAGAACAAGACTAAGAGAAGGAGAGGCGGAGCAAAAGGATGGTGTAGAGAATTAAAGACAAGTAGAGTTTTCGACCCAGAGCCAGAGGGAGGTTAAGAGGGGAGAATCATAATAGAACGAACATAATCCAGATAATAAGCATTATAAGGCTACCCAGACTGCTGGCCAAGAAGTCACTAAGAACTAGTCAGAATAACCAAGTAATAATCAACCACCTTGGGATTGAGTAAGGGTACTTGGGTTTTGCTGATCGTAATCTGGTATGTGGCTGCCTGGTCTTGCAGGCATCTTTCTTTCTTTCTTTTCTTTGATATAACTTCATTCTTGACTTCATTCTTGATTCTTTCTTGACTTCATTCTTGATTCTTTCTGGATTCTTTCTGGACCTCTTGGACTTCATCTGGATCTTCTTTCTGAATCCTTCTCGGTCTTGATTCTCTTTCTTTCCCCGTTACGAATCACTCTCCTATTCACCATCTGATCTCAGGGGTATGACCATGATCTTCACTCCAGTGATGGACACTCCAAGTGGATCCATCTCCCCATATTCATCATCCCATACCATCCCTGATAACATCCATCAAACCACAAAGGACCATATTGAAATGTACTCTCACAGAAATAAAGGATCCATAATCCCAACTCAAACATCCAGTTGATGAAGAAAAAAAAAAACAAACATGAAAATGAAGAAGAGACGATCGAGAATCCACACTTAATCAAAAGCCGGGCTAGGAAGAAGACAACGAACCGGTGGCGCCTGAGCCCCCGATGCCAAACTCCAGTCGTCATGCAAATATCCCATCGGGCTGACATTAGCAAACACATCCACCGGTGCGCGATCAATCCCCACCCCAAGCTCCAACAGCATCCTGCCAAACTCTCCTCGATTCTCCGCCGTGTCCAACTCGGGCTGCGCGTCTACGAGATCCGCCGCGCGACGAAGGAGTAGGGACAGTGGGATTCGGTCGTACTCAGTCACAACCGACCCCTCCTTGAATCCCTCCGTCGCAGGCGCCACAATTCCCGGCGACATGGGGCTCCATGGCCGTGCGCCCGCCTCCAGGCTGCTGGGAAGTGGCCGGGGAGATGGAGTCCGGGGATGGTCCGTGGGGAACGTGGACTCCAAAACTTGGCGACTGGCCTCGGACCGATCCCTCATCTCTTCGAACGCCTCCGCCGCCACCGCCTCGGGAGAGCTCTCTGTCTCGGGGATCGTGAACAGTTCCTCCAGTCGGCCTTCGGTCCGCTTCCGCTTCAGGGTCCGGTCCTCGCTGCGGAGCCGGTCGCACGTCTCCAGCCCCGGAGCCCGCCACGGCCGTCCCGCCAGGCTGCCGTCGTGCATGGACTTCTCATAGTTGTACAGATCGTTGATGTACTTGTTCACCTCCGACTTGCGCTTGTATCCGCCCGTCGACAGGTCCCTACTGGATGCAAACCACGCCCGGAACGACGCCCGCTGCAGCACCATGCGGAGCTCCTCCACGTAATGGGTGATCTCCTGCTTGAGCATGTCCATCGCGTCGTGCTGCTCTTCGAAGATCACCTCGGCAAAGTCCAGCAGCCACTGGCACAGTGAAATCGCAATGACGATCTCCATCCCGGGGTCGTCCTCCCCACACAGCGCCACGCAGAACGGGCTCGAGCTGAGCACCCCGATCCCCACGTGCACCTCGTCGCGAAAGCTGGACTGCAGCAGCAGGAGCAGGTCCGGCACGCTGAGCTGGTACATGTCGAGCCCGTCGTCCCACACCGTCCACAGATCGTCGATGTTCTCCGTAATGTAGTCAAAATGGCGCGCAACGAAGATTCGTTCCGTGCAGTCGAACCCCACGACGTAGTGTCGGCTCCGGACCGTCGTGTCATGATCCGGGATGGGGAGCGCGCAGATCAAGAATCGCGCCTCATTCCCGCCATCGCCAGAGAACAGGGTCTTAGGATTCAGAAGCTCGCGGTAGGAAATGCGCCGGCAGTCCATACCATCGTACAGATACATACCGTTCCGCCTGCACCAGGTGTCTTTGTCTTTTTCCACGGCCCGCACGTACAAGTGGTAGTCGACGATCTTTGACGGGTGACTGATGACGCACGTTGGGTCGTCGGCCGTCTTGGTCTTCTTGCTCGCCGGTCCGTCGGGGCCTTCATCGGAGGCTGCAGACGCCGTATCGGACCAGGAGGACGCAGACATCTCCTCCGGATGGTCGACCACGTCGAACGCTGTGGATTCCGTATCAGACCAGGGTGGAGCGGACGGTGCAGCGTCAGGCGAGCCCCCCGGATCGTCACCCCCGTCGAGTTGGTCCGGCAATTCTTCTAGCTCATCCACCATGTCTCTCTGGACGAACAAGCGGGTCATCACAAAGTGTTCGTCTTCGGGAACCTGGGGACTAAGGTCTTGGTAGATCTGTGACAGGCTCCTCCTCATTTTGAACATGGGAGGCGGGCTCTGCCCTTCCTCGGAGAAGTCCACCATATCCGACATGCTGCGGCGGTCAGATGTGATGGAAACTGCGTGGTATGCAGAGGTTCAGGCGAGTTGTAAAGATGGCGAGGTGTGAGAAATGTAGCGAGTATGGCAGCTGAGAATGCAGGATGATGAAGAGGATGAGAGAAGAAGAGAAAAGAGAAAGCAAGTATCAACAACAGCAGGAAGAAAAGCTGTTCTAAACCAACAGCAACAACGCGGCATGACATGAGCAGTTATTGTGCTCTCCTAGGTTCACTCGCCTCAAATTCAGCAAACCTGGCTTCATGTCTACTCTACGGTCTACAACTAAGGCTTCACACCACTCCAACCCATCCATCTATTCTTGATATCAAAACACGACGACTGAGAATCCGGGGTAGACCCATGCGATGCAGTGCGTTGAGCGATGAACCGCGGGTCGACTTACGAAGCATAACCTTCTAGAAGAGCAGATTTGGACGTGTTTTGTTGTTTTGGGACGTGCTGGTTGCTCTGCCTGATTAGGAAAGTCAGTGTTGAGCCGTGAGCAGTGATTACTGCAGTAACCCTGATAAGTATGAAAGATTATTATTTGCGTCAGAGGGGATAGTTGAAGGAACTTCGCTTTACAGTGAACTTTCATTGACAAAGATAAGATAGATATATGTTCGAGAATTTGTGGAAGAACTAGGTATCAAAAAAGGAGAAGTCAGTTCGTCAATCATGCAGGTTGAGACTTCTATAAATAGTCTAGATCAAAGTCCTTCTTCCATGAGTAGATATTTACCATTCAATCAGTATTTCCACGTCATAAATAATAATAATAGATACAAAGCAGCACACAAACAATAGTGCCTACCTAACAACAAAAGCGCCAGCTAGTAAAACAAGAGTAGAGAAGGGAAACAACAGCCACCAAACATATCACACCCAAACCAACAAAGTCAAAAAGCAAGGTCTACTCCAAAAAAGCCCTCTTGAACCAAGGCATCTCCTCCCTCTTCCTCCTCTGCTGATCCTTATAAGCCAGGGCAAAGATAGTCCCAGAGAGATACCCGCCCAGATGAGCATAGTTGTCGACTCTGAAGAAGCGGAGGGCCGGAATGAGGTTGAGGAATTCGAGGGCCACGATGCCGGTCAGGAAGACCCAGCCGTTGGCGGACATGGTGTGTTGCCATTCTTGGGGGAGGAAGGCGATGGTGAGTTTTTGGCTGTTTCGTTTGTGTTAGCGGTGGTAGCTTTGATTGGAGGAAAAGATCAGGGGGGGCTTACTTTGCGTTGAGCACACAGAATGCGGCTATCAGGCCTGCGATGGCGCCGCTGGCTCCGAGGGATGTCACGGCTAACTGGCCGGTCAGGGCGTGGGCCGCTAGCGAGGTGAACGAGCCCATGACGCCGGCGACCAAGTACAGAGAGAGGAAGTTGCCTCGGCCGATTTCATCGTGGACTTAATAGAGTCAATAGGACATCACCAGTCGGGGAGGAAGTTGAGAAACATACGTTTTGTGCCGCTGTAGTACAGAACAAGCATGTTCATACCGAGGTGCTTGAGGCTCTGGTGGCTGAAGACGGCGCCGATATTGCTCAATGGGCGGGGGCACGCGGCGACGCTGATGAAATAGCGGTTGAGAAGTCGCCATGCAGGCGGGACTTTCCACAAGGCCCAGATACCCAGGTTGATGCCGATGATGGCTGCGACGGTCGCTGCCGCCGGGGGCGTATCAGGCCACATGCGGTCTGCTCTCGCGGGCGGTTCGTAAGTCTGGGCGAAGACGTAGCCCGCGCCGATTGTGAGGAGGACAACTGCAAGAGAAGGGAAGATACGCCGGCTCTGTTGATTTGTCCGATATGTCAGCAAGCTTAATCCCCTCGAACATAACCTATGCGCCTACGCCCAATATGTGTGACTCACGGTAGTGATCTTGGTCGCATCGATGGTGGTGTCCATGGCTTGTAAATGGTGCTTCTGCACCCAAGCCAGGAGAGGACGCTCAGTGGGATCCGCGCGTTGCTGGACTATGTACCAGTCAGTGGACGCATGCCTAGTTTTATATGTGTAGGCACCTTACCTCCATAAGCCGGCTCGCCGTCGGATTTCTGCAACGCCGTATGCTTCTGAATCTGCTGCTCGTACATTTGACGCTGGCGTTCTTCGCCCTCCAGCCATTCCTGTCGTTTCCGTTCCTGCTCCGCCAGCAGTCGCTGTTCGTTAAACTTGCGCGCTTCCTGTAAGACACTTTTTCCCGACGGGTCCTGGGACTCGCCCAGCTCGGCCTCGTAAGAGCCACTCTGCGGCTTGTAGAGACCCAGGTCCTCGGCGCGGCGAATGAGCTTGGCTTCCTCCTCTCGTTCTTCGCGCTCCACGCGCGCCAGGATCGCGGCATCCTCGTCCATGGGGTGGTTGTTTCTCAACCATGTCAGAGCCTTATCGAGTGTCGCGGGGCGGGCGGAGCGGGTGATATCGGCCGGGAGGTCAAGATCCAAGGTCCCCGCTTCCCGTCTGCCCTGGAGGACTGCCAAAACGCGGTTTCCCATTTGAGGGGTCAACTTCGTGCGGGCGCCGAAGATCGCCTTAATCTCGGCCTCGGTGAAGGGCTCGGGGCGCACTGGGACGCCATGTTCCGGCGGCGGGGGGGTCGGTCGGGAGTGGAGGCACCGGACAAGAGCCGGGGGTGCGAACGGTCGCGTCGCGGTTGGGCGCGGAAGCGATAGCGGTTTGGGGGCAGACAGGGAGAAGGTGGTGGATGATTTTCCGGGTGAGAATCTATATGAGGACGTTGAAGAGGCGCGAAGGGCGGAGCGCACCGGCGAGAGCAAGCCTAGATGATGGCGCCCCGCGCACGGGTTCCGCCATGCTGCGCAGAAGACATTGCTCATCTCCTCCGACTGAGGGTCTGGGACCCTGCTGCACGAGCGTGTCGATTAGTTAGGAGTTGGGGAGGAACAGCAGTGGGGTAGAGCAAGTAGAGGAAGTGGTGGTTGGAGATCCATACGTGGAGAAATTCAGGCATCCCGAAAATCAGGCCGACCTCCGGAGCGGAGAAGTTGTTCCGATGTCTCCATGTCTGGTTTCTATTACATTGTTTGAATGGGAATGATTACATGTAGATATATTTTTGTATGTGTATGCTATATCGGTATATCAGACATAATGAGTACTACAAATTCCCGAAATAAACGTAGTGTTCAAGTTGTTGGTCTGCATGGTCGATGTATATAATGGACGGAGTAGTGGCATACTACATACACAACCACCATATCACCACCACACCCACCACATCTTCGACAATAATTGGACGTAACCACGAAAGGATTACTACACTCAATTGAAATCCTCCTTATTACTCTTACTAACTTACGAAAACTCGAGTCAATATCAGTAGCTAGAACTCCACGTGCACAGTCACGTGCTGATAAAGCATATAGCACCGATAACGCCAACGACGTCAAAACGAGCTTCATCCACGCAACCATCAATCAGTTCATCCACACAGCACACAATCCCACTACCATTTAACTAAAAGGCATCTGAAAGAATATCCCGCTCAAAGAGTATCCCTCCAAAATGTCCTCAGAAGCCCTCCCCATCAGCCCTGCAGCCTTCACAGAAGCCATCAAAGAGCTACCCCTCGCCGTCGTCTACGCCAAAGCCTCCGAGCTGCAGAACTCCATTGCCCACCTCCAGCGCTCCAACAGTGAGCTGAAGACATTCGTGGCCGAATCTGCAGACACCCTGCAGGAGAAACAGGAGCTGGAAAACTACATCGCGGAGAATGAGGGCGTGATGGGCTCTATGAATGAGCGGATTGGGTTGCTGAAGGCGGAGGTTGAAGGACGCGGTCAGAAGTGGATTGAGTTGGATGAGTTGGCGCCTGATGCGAAGACGGATTCTCCGGGGGCTAATGGGGCCGGGGCTGCTAATGGTCATGGTTCGAATGCGCCTCAGGGATCGTCGTCGTCGGCGGATAGACCGGGTGATGATGCGCAGGATGGGGAGGGGGAGAATGGGGTTTACCTATGAGGTTTCTTAAAGAAAATAATTCCGAGATGAAAAAAGGAAAAGAAAAAAGGGAAAAAGAGAAAAAGGAAGAATGCCAAATGCTAAGGTATCCTTGTTGAGATCTATCCGTCATTTCTCGTCTTGTGTTTTGCTTGGGAACTTTCATACTGCATTGTCTACATGGTGCGCGCGAGTCCGTCTCGATTTTACGACTTACGAACTAGGTCCTCACCACCCGCATGGCTCCTCCTTCAAACCCGAAACTGTGTGGGGATCATACCTTCCCAGCCCTTTGGTGCAGCGGGTGGGCATGAGAGGCCACCGTATTACTTGATGTGGGAATACTGGGCCATATCCACTGACCACTTCATACCGCATGCGCAGGAGATTGGGAGCGGCATATTTCATGTCTTGTTTAATCGTCGTTCAGATTCAACCACGTTTATGGAAGATTGTTATCCCCAACACAGATGGAACATCAAATAAAGATGAGAAATCAGGCGAGGGGAAAAAAAGAAAGGAAATACCGAGGCTTTGAAGCCTTGCCCGCGGCAGGTGTTCCGTATCTATCTAACTACAACGACTGTGTGCAAGAACATCTCGACAAGACAGGATACCAAAGAGGGTATGCATCAATACAGGAAAAGTTCAAGAAAAGGAGAACAAAACGGGAAATCACAATATGCAGATCGCATGCTAAATGCTCAAGGTTTCACAGCAGTGGATGTCATATGATGTGTTGCCTTGACCTTGCACAGTAATCAAAGGTAATTGGATAAACTCGGGGGGCCAAAACAAATTGAACCAAAGAAGCCAGCTCCAACGCCAGGTCACGAAGACACATTATGTGGCCGAATGCACGTAGCCATAAGGACCCACCGTCTAGCTCAGCTAGAGGCCTGCGGAGCCCAGTGGCCACCCGAGAGCGCCTCGGGAGGAATCCGTTGCTGCTTGATGAACAGGTCGATCAGAGGCTGCATGGGCTCCATCTCCTTGTCGGACACGAGGTTGTAGTATTTGGCCACGGTGGCGAAGTGGACGAAGCACATGTTGAGCACGTCGTGTTTCGAGATGTGCCAGAACAGGATCCAGTGCGCGTGGTAGAGGTGCGCATAGCAGCGGAACATCTGCTTCATGATGCCTTGGCAGTCCTTGTAGAACGTCTGCGGGAAGCCACTGGACTTGCCGATCCACTCGTCGCCCGCCCCCGCCGACGACGGGTGAGAGGGGTCCGTCGCGGCGATCTCATTGAGCGCGAAGGTGTCGGGGTTCCCGGTAACCTTCCCCGTGGGAAACATCAGGTTGTCATGAATCTTGGCGACGACCCATTTCTCCACGCGGTTGATGAATTTCGGGGCGGGGATCTTGGCGGCACGGCCGTCCACGAGCCACGTGTAGGTCAGCCTGGACAAGACGAGGACTTAGCATGCGAAACTCTTTTTTTCTTGGGACCGGGCGCGGGGGGGGGGGAGAAGGGGGCTTACCGGCCAGCAGACATGGTCGGACAGGAACTTTCATTGCAGATGGGAAGACCGGTCACTCCATTGACTTCCTGAATCACCTGGAGCATGCCATGCAGCAAACGGTATTGTTCGACGACTGTGGGGAATCGGGGGTATCAGCACCACACGTCCGGAAGCGCTTGCGCGGTGGAGGCACTGGAGTCGATCGCTTACTCTGGTGGGCCAGCCACTCGCCCAGTTCAACATTCTTGGGACAGGCACAGAGCGTCAAGAAATTGCCCTTGACATTCAACGGAGCATACTTCTCCTGGAAAAAGTATTTGGGGGCGTCGGGGTCGACGGGGGCGGGGCTGTCCATGTTTGGGGCCAACGCCGGGGAGTTGGGACCCGAGCCGACGTGCGGAGGCACCTGAGAAACCGGGGACGAGGCGGGACTTCCGTTGTTCATCTTCGGGGCGCTATTATTGTTTTTATTATTGCCACCTCGGCCAAAACCCTGGCGGCTGCAGTTGATCTCATATACCAATCAGTAACGGATCCGTTGACGAGTTTCAGGTAGAGGTGGGGGAGTGATGAAGACGAGATGCGCACAACAGAGAGAATCGAGAGAACGAAGACGAGGAAAACAAGAGGAAAGCCGACTTGATATTGACTGAAGAAACTCAAGGCGACAAAAGAAAGAACAAAGAACCAAGTGACGATGGGGTTGGTCGAGGGGAGGGGGTTGTATTTAGGGGGCTGTCCATATTGATGGTTTGCGGCGCCCAGACTATCAAAAGACCGTCTTGGACAGGCGATCCTTTTCCCTTTCTTTTCCTCTTCCTCTTCTTCTTCTTCCGCCTCTTTGATTGATTCGGGAATTATTCTGGTTTTTTTTTTGACCAATTTCTTGACCACGCCAAGGGGGCGACCGAGGAGGTGTATGGAGTGTGACCGGGGAACATAGGAGATCGAAGGATGCAGGGAGCCGGAGATTGGGATGGGATTCGTTACTTACACACTTTGCAAGAAAGTCGCCATGATGACAAGTCTCACTGGGATCCAGAAGTGTCAACAAGTCGAATCGGTGAAGGCAGGACGTAGTGGGAGAAGAGGGGAGGAAAAGGTGGAGAGGGAGAAGTGAAGATGGCGGAGGGGGAAATAGTACGGAGTTCCGGAGTGACTGTGGACCATGTTTGTGCGTGGCTTTTGAGTCTAGAAGCCGTGGCCTTTCCACGCTGCGCATCCGTTGCCTTACGCAGTCACATATTGAACATGCCTACTGTCACAAATCTTACATCAGAAGTACCAGAAAAAAATATTGAACAGGACCGGGGTCCCGCAAATTTTTCTTTTGAGGGGGATACTTGATGGGGAAGGCCCGCTTGTGAGCTCCCTACGCGGGGCTCATGAATATCTAGGCCTAATCGGCGGAAAGAGGATATCCTTCAATCCAGAGCCACAATTAGTGGGATACGTATCTTACTATAATTAACGGATCCGAAAATTCCCTTTTTGTATAAGATTTGCTAATGGCCATCACATACGTTGCCTTGCAATAATGGAGCTATTCCTAATCGTGGAGAGGAACAGAAAACAAAGGACGCATTTGATAATCATACACTCTCAAATCAGAAGAACAATTGGTGAATGGCCACCACATACGTTGCCTTGCAATAATGGAGCTATTCCTAATCGTGGAGAGGAACAGAAAACAAAGGGCGCATTTGATAATCATACACTCTCAAATCAGAAGAACAATTGGTAAAAACGGCAGTCCAGAGATTCTGCTCGGAATACGCTATTATGATGTTAGCAGGATGAGTGGGAACAACAGCACTATGAGATAGAAACATACCACGTGTAGGGGGAGAGGAGGCACAGTTGATAATGATCCAATCTACAACCTTCTTCTCCTGCAGCCAGGGAAAGTACTTCCCTCCAGGATAGAATCGGGAGATATGTTCATCAACGCGATCATAATCTCGAAGGAACTCGATGGCCCACTGCTTCTGTGGAATGTAAAAGTCAACTCGACTATTACCACTCCTTGACCATTCACTGCAGAGAGGTACGCCTATGCCTGTCACATTGTAAAATGCCCTATAGAATTCATCATGATATTGCGCCTCCATGGGCCTGGGTTTTGCTGCAGTCGAGATTTTCTTGCCTTCAACAGCACGTCTCAGGCTAATCTTTGAAAAACCTTCGAGAACCTCCCGGCATAATGTACGTAACTGGTCAAATCTGTCGGGTAAATGCTGCGGCTTGTTGCCCATGAACCACTCAAGCCATCTAAGACAGGGTTAGATTAAGACAAGAAATACTAAATAAGAACTTACACTTCATGCAAGCGCGACGGCAGGACAGCAATGTCATGTGATTGTGGTATCTGTTCTTCGGATATGCGGTGAACCCAGCCTCTCTCGTAGCATTTCCGCATGGTCGCATCGTCAATCTCAAACGGTATGCCTCCATTGACTAAAACCTTGCCCAATGCACCGGCAGCTTCAGATGTAAGATGCTGTCCTCTGGGAAATGAGCGATAAACAGCATGATTCCTGAGAAACCCAAAGAAACCATTCTCATCCTTCAAAGATTGAAGAACATGATCCATCGTGATTGTACGGATCTCTTTGTGTTTGAGGAGATTGCGATGCCGCTGAGCTTGAGTTAGTTGCATAAGAAAGCTTAACACTTTCTGGGTTGGAATCAAAGAACAGCACATACATTCTGAAGAAAATCAATTATGGCTGTCACCCCTCCTGGATGCCCATTTGTCAGGTCATACATGTAGTCCATAGCAGTCTTATCAATTGCGAATGGTTCATCGAATCTGTTTGTTGTCAGAAGTGATACAACTTCACGAAATTCGTCTTCCGTGTAAAACAAGCCAATATCTGGCGAATCTTCGTCAAGTTGAGGAGTCAGTGTAATGCGCTGCGCGGGACCGAAGGTGACTGGGGTAAATTCATTTTTATTATCGTCTTCCTCCACACCTGTCGAAGGGCTTCCGTAGAAAGAGAAAAGACAAATCTTGATGTCTTTGTCTTGCCCAGACCTTCGGTTTTTGATAATTGTGTTCCAGAAGTACGTGTCCCGGTATGAACCCTGAGCTTCATCAATAATAACTACAGTGTTTGCAGGAACAGATTTCCACGTTGTATCAAATTCAGGATATTTTTGTTGCAGGTGCAAGCCGAATCGAGTCCAAGGGTCCCCGCTTTGGGAAGCTTCCAGTGGTTCCCACGTCTCGAGTAAAAACACATTTCTATCATTCGTAAGGTAATAGTCCAGTAGCAGTTGGGATAGGACTGTTTTCCCGCTGGCTGGTGTCCCGCGTATGTGAATAACATTTTGAGAATCAACGGCGGCTGCAAGTTTTGACACTGTATCCTGGCGCAAACATCTCGTTCGATACCTAGTAGCTATCCGTTTTTACATATTGTCAGCTTTTTATTATGGACTCTGAGGGGATAGTATCTGAGTATATGCACTTGCATCCCAAGGAGTGCTGTTGCGTTTGATTAGAGTTGCCGGCAGATGCTGAGAATTTGGTCGGAGAAGATTCAGTCGGAGGTGGTTCATTATCAGAATCCTGGTGTTCTTTAAGTAAATGATCACACGTCTTTGTCTTGCATATCAACAGTTCAAAGTTGACTCCATGTTCCAGTAAAAAAAGACCTCGTGAACATGCACATCGAGTCCCGTTCTCGACAACCGTACATGGGCATCAAAAGACGTTGCAATCAAACAGGAAGATATGACAGACAACTCCGATACGAAGCATCAAAGATATGACACACTACGTTTCACCCACTTGATATAAGAAAGGAGAAAATCCAAGATATAATGATAGGCTTCGACGAAAAGGTTAAATGGAGTTGTCACCATCATCAAGTGACAGCATCGAGCTGTTGGTCTTGTTTGTCCTGTTTATCTATACCAATCACGCTAAACCATATCGAGACCGGGAAGGATTAACTTCCCCCCATTTCATCCGAGATTCATCTTCATCTTCATACTCGGAGACTCGACTTGACCGTGTCTTCCTTTGCTTTGCTTCCTCCCTCAATCTTTGTTGCACTTGATCGGTGTGTATAACCCTGTGAATTAGATTGACCGCAGCATCCTTGGACTCAACACCCTTCTTTCGCCGTTAAGACGACCACGGACAGATCCCGGCCCGTTCACCGAATTCGTTGCGCTTCCCCCGGCTTGCCAGCTCCCCTGGCCTAGGGTTACCAATCATGTCTTCATCCGATGAGGGTGTGGTTCGCCGTCCGGCGCGTGGCCCAGGTGCTGGTCACCAACCACCTAGTCCGTCCGGAAGTGAACGCAGCAATGGTCCTGCCGCTCGGGATCAAAGCCCCATGGGCTCGGACGCGCCGAACATGAATGGCGATGACGATGATGCGGACCTGTTCGGCTCGGAAGGATCAGACGCGGGAATGGATCACGAGTATGATTGATTCGGGCAAGATATGCCGTTTACACCGACTATATGAATACTGACTCTTCTATCAGTCGACCTCAACGATCACTCGACGATCAGGAATTGGATTCGGCCGATGACGAGGATCGCTATGACCGCACGGGAGATCGCATGGACTACGAGGGAGCGGAAGATGAGTACCAGGAGACGGTGAACATTATGGATCTGAGCCTAGGCCGCGCGCCGGAACCGCTCACTTCCAAGGATGAGGTAGGTCTGGGGAGAACGGGTGGATCGAATCCGGATACCTCAGCCGCTTACCAAGGCACACTCTAGGTCTACACCATGCCGGTACCCGGCTTCCTGTCCGTGGAAACCGAAGAATTCAACCCCGAGACCTATGTCGCACCTCCATATGCTACCGCGGCGACCTCGCTTTGTTGGCGCCACGACCCTAACGACGACTCACTCCTGCAGTCGAACGCCCGAATTGTGCGCTGGGAGGATGGATCCATGACCCTGCAACTGGCGTCCGCGCCCAAAGAGCAATACCGGATCTCGACCAAGCCATTGGCTCCCCTCAACAAGTCCGGAGATTATGACACCAAGTTGGATTCCCACGTATACCTGGGAGCCGCCGCAGAAGCGTCATCGGTCTTCCGACTGACCTCGCACTTAACCCACGGCCTCACCGTGAACCCGACCACGATGGAGACCGACGACGCGGTGCAACGTCTCCAAGAATCGCTGGCCGCGGCCACCCGAGGCGGCAAGAAGACAGTCGACGGGTCCGCACCCGTCATCGACGTAAAGGAGGACCCCGAGCTGGCCAAACGACAGGCCGAGATGGCGGAGCGCGAGAAGCTGAAGGCCGCCCGACGGCGCCAGCAGCTCGCCGACCGAGAGCTGGACCGCGGTCGTCGCGTGGGCGTCTCTCACCGATCCGGCGGGGCCGGTCTGACGGTGGGCGGCCTGGAGGACGACGACGGGCTTATGACCACGCGGGCAAAGAAGACACGGCGGCCCAACCGTCGGGGCGAAATCTACACGGACGACGAAGAAGACTACGACCGGCGGGGACGCACGCGGGAAGACGAATACGACGAGGACGACGGGTTTTTGGTCGGCAGTGACGAGGAGCCAGAAGTGGCGGACGACGACGACGACGAAGACGTGCTGGAGGATGACGATATGGATGCGGAAGGCGAAGAGGAACGCGCCCCTGCTGCCCGTCCTAAACAGAGGGCATCCCCCGAGGGTGCGGCTGGAACCCCCCCGGCCCGAAAGAAGCACCGATACATTGTGGACGACGACGATGAAGAATGATTCCGTTGCCGCCTGAGTTTTCCTACGACCGTTCTACATGCCTACCTGCTTCCCCCTCGCCATCTTCTATGTGTATTGTTGACTCCATTTTACCCCCGGAACGATGAAATTTCGCATTTGGGTTTTGGGTGTTTAATATTGGCGAAAAGTTGGTGGGATCCCTGAATACAGGGAATGGATTTAGGGAAGGGAATCAGAAATGAAATAGATTGAGCGCCGAAATATGCGTGTTCATCAACCATCTCTTTGACGTACATAATTCCAAGTTAAAATCAGACTCCCTCCCACCGCTCCTAACTTCCAAGTTGATAACTGACTCCCCCCCCCCACCGCTCCAAGTGAAACATAATGAAAAGAAAGTAACGGAAAGACTCCTGCCTTGTGAGATAAATCAAGCGCTTTGAAGCAAGTCGTGAGTGGGAACCTCCATCGCATTGTCCGTATGCTCAAGCTAGGCCAGCCGCTGTTGAAGCAAATGCAAGGATATCGACATTGAATAGTAGTGTAGTAGATTATATAGATATACGAATGAGCTGCGATACGCACTCAAGCCACCACACCATTGGGGTACTCATATGGCTCGAAGCCGAACTTGGCGATCACTTCTCTGGCGCTCCGGGCGACTCGAATGCAGAGGAGGTTTTCCTCCTCCACCTGACAGTCCAAGTCCGCTTGATTGGGAGAATCCGAGGGAGAGAGCGGGTGTGATTGATGCCAGCGTCGTTGGCGGTTTTCCATCTCAATGATGCAGGAGAGTAAACTCGGGGACTGGGAGCACTGCACACTGCCGGCCTCATCGCTGGGGGTGCCGAGTACACCGGACCGCACCGTCTGTCGGAGCCAGTCCGCCCACGCTTCTGTCGAATTCGGGGAGTTCTGCAGCGCAGATACGTAAGTTGGGGGTGCGGCCTGTCTTCCCAGTTCTGCTGGGTCGGTCTTTGATACGCGGAGCCAGGCGTCGGCGATGACGTTGAGTAAGGTCCCCGTGAACATGACGTTCTGCATGCCTGTGGCGAACCGTGTGGGACAGACCCGGCAGCGGATGACGGCCTGCGCCGTCCGCGACGCGATGAACAGCGAACACAGGGTATGTTGGGAGATGGGGAACGAGGCGAGGGAGGATAGATGGCTGAGGCAGAGATAGAGATAAGATAGACAGGTACACTGCCCGCTGGGGGTCTGGGAGTGAGAGGACGGCACGGGGGGCGATTGGAGTCGTGGTAGGCCCGGCGGCGCCGTAAACGGATTCGGCATTGCTGCCGTCACGCTCGTGAAATCAGGCCACGGGCTTGTGGTCTCTGGAACGGAGCTGAACGATTGACCCTGTTCCAGTTGCCATGAATGATTGTGATTTTCGTCGGTCGAGAGGAGTTGATGCGACGCATTCGGCGACGCATTCGGCACCGGCAACGGACACCATTCTGGAAGGACGCCGTGGGATGCGTTCACAGGGCCTGTTGCTCCTGGTGGTGTAAGGTTCGCGGGAGGGAAATCGGCGGGGTTGATATTCAGCCATGCGTCGTCGCCAGAGAACTCAAACGGCGGCAGTTCATCATCATCTTCTCTCGCCCTCTTCTTCGGTGGTCGTCCCATTTGCTTTTGCACAGAATAATGGCACGACAGGGACTGCTTGACACAGCGACTACAGCCATTGGGTTCCCCCGAGCATTTGAGTTTCCGTTTCCCTATCCCGGGATAAGCCCATCAGCACCCAACCATGACATGGGGTCATTCGCTTGAGATTGAACAGAGCACATACTACACTCGTCGCATGCCGCATGCCGCTTCAGCGGCTGGGACACAGGAGCAGCATCCTGGCTTTGGGAATCATCAGAAGGCGTGGGGAGCGATGTGCCCCACTCAGTCTGGTTGTCCCACATCTGCCGGAGGAAGTATCGATAGCTACCTTCGTTGTACGTTTCGGTAGCTTGCAATAGAAATATGTCAAGGGTTCAGAAGTAGAATTTATCTGAAGATAGCCAGACGATAGAGAAATGAGCCTGACAAGCAAGCATTCATTTCTCTGCGTAGAGACCAAAGCAACGAGGACAATAAAACAAGATGAATGTCGAACTAATAAAAAAAAAGGCCAAAAATGGATCGCGATAAGATCGGCCCATAAGGCGGTGTGTCACGTGGGCGGTCAGTCTGGACGCTCGGCAAGGAAGAAAAAAAAAAAAAGTTCCCCGGAAAACTTCCTGCATCAAGAGTGAAAAAAAGAAGAAATCTCGACAACATCGGGGCATTTTCTTCACCATGAATCCCTCGAAAGTCTCGAAGAAGCGCAAGGCTGTGACTCGCGACGTGGAGGAAGATGCGGGGGTGTTTTCTGGCGAGGAATTGAACGCTGACGGTCTGGATCTGTCTGATAATGCGAACGACTTGTCGAGTGACGAAGACAGTGATTCGGAGGTTGAGTTGGTGGATGAGTTTAGCGATGAGGAGGAGGATGATGAGGAGGAACTCGATAGTGACGAGATCCCGTCTGATGGGGAAGATCTGAAGAAGGCTCCTGAGTTGGATATGCCGACGGTGGACAAGGAGGAGACGTCCGACGAGGAGGAGGAACTCAACTATCGCATCGAGAAGGACGCCAATGGGAATGATCGTTTCATCTACGATGAGATCAACCCGGACGACAACTCGGACCTTTCCGACGTGGATGAGGAAGCAAACACCATCGGCAACATCCCTCTGTCTTTCTACGACCAGTACCCCCACATTGGTTATGATATCAATGGCAAGAAGATCATGCGTCCCGCCAAGGGCGAGGCTCTGGACTCTCTGCTGGATAGTATCGAGGTTCCCAAGGGCTGGACAGGCCTGACTGACCCTGACACTGGCAAGCCATTGGAATTGAGCCAAGACGAACTCGAGCTCCTGCGCAGGGTGCAGATGAACGAGATTACCGCGGATGGCTACGACCAGTACGAGCCTCTGCTCGAATGGTTTACCAACAAGAAGGAAGTTATGCCCTTGAGTGCTGCGCCGGAGCCCAAGCGTCGATTTGTGCCGTCCAAGCATGAGGCGAAGCGGGTCATGAAGATTGCCAAGGCGATCAAACAGGGCCGCATTCTGCCCTACAAGCCTCCCGCGGAGCGAGAGGAGGTGGATGAGGATGTGATGTCCTACGATATCTGGGCCGACGAAGCAGAGCGACCCGATCACATCATGAACGTTCCCGCCCCCAAACTGCCGCCTCCTGGCTACGAAGAGAGTTACCACCCTCCCCCGGAGTACCTCCCCGATAACAAGGAACGCAAGGCCTGGGAGGAAGCCGATCCCGAGGACCGGGAGCAAGAGTACCTGCCTCAGGACTTTGGTTCCCTTCGCAAGGTCCCTGGTTTTGAGAATTTCGTCAAAGAGAAGTTTGAGCGCTGCCTGGACCTTTACCTGGCGCCCCGTGTCCGGAGGAGCAAGCTGAACATCGATCCGGAGAGCCTTCTCCCCAAGCTGCCCAGCCCAGAGGAATTGAAGCCATTCCCCACCGCCTGCGCCACGTTGTTCCGGGGACACAAGGGCCGTGTTCGCTCCCTGGCTGTTGACCCCTCGGGTGTGTGGCTCGCCACCGGTGGTGACGATGGCACTGCTCGGGTCTGGGAGTTGCTCACCGGTCGCCAGCTGTGGAGCGTGAAGTTGAGTGAAGATGAGGCGGTCAACGTGGTTCGCTGGAGACCGACCAAGGATGCGGTGGTTCTGGCCATCGCCACCGGCGACGATGTTTACCTCGCGGTTCCTCCGATTGTGGATCCTGAGGTTGAGAAGGCCAGCCTGGAACTTCTCGACGCTGGCTGGGGTTTCGCGGCGACGCGGCCTGCCCCCAACGCCGCAGAGGCAAACAAGAAGAACAATCCTCCCACTTGGATCCGCCCGTCTCCAGCCCTCGCGGATGCAGGTGTCTGCGCGGTCATTCCCCTCCGCTACATGGTCAAGTCCATCTCGTGGCATCGCCGCGGAGACTACTTCGTCACCGTGTGCCCCGGATCTTCGACCCCGGCCTCCGTCGCCATCGCCATCCACACCCTGTCCAAGCACCTGACTCAGTACCCCTTCCGCCGGCGTCTCAAGGGTGGTGGTCCTCCGCAAACCGCGCACTTCCACCCCTCGAAACCGATTCTCTTCGTGGCCAACCAGCGCACCATCCGCGCCTACGATTTGTCCCGCCAGCTCCTCGTCAAGATCATCCAGCCCGGTGCTCGCTGGATCTCGTCCTTCGACATCCACCCGACGTCCTCCACGGCCTCCGGCGGAGACAACCTCATCGTGGGATCCTACGATCGCCGCCTCCTGTGGCACGATCTCGAGCTGTCCCAGCGGCCCTACAAGACCCTCCGCTACCACCGCAAAGCCATCCGGTCCGTCCGCTTCCACCCCGGCGGGCGCTATCCCCTCTTCGCCGACGCCAGCGACGACGGCTCGCTCCAGATTTTCCACGGCAGCGTCACCGGCGACATGCTCAGCAACGCCAGCATCGTTCCCCTCAAGGTCCTCAAGGGCCACAAGATCACCGGCGAACTGGGCGTCCTCGATCTCGACTGGCACCCCAAGGAGCCGTGGTGTGTCAGTGCCGGTGCGGATGGTACTTGTCGGTTGTGGATGTAATTGCATGTCGACATTCCAGCGTTCATCGATCACTTCCCCCGCTCCCATTGTACCCTTTATATCATGTAGGGGGCGTTTGGTGTTTATAATTAGTCTTAGATATCCATCAAAAGTTTTGATAATAACCACGTGCGTAGACTACCTTTCGTATGCTTTGTCTAGGAAATCAATACAATAGGCCGAAGCAATACTTGTCGCCTGGTGACAACCAGGGAGCCTGAGCAGGCCAGCCATTGTTTGAATTAAAGGGCATCTGCACGCAAATAAGTCTTGTCTCATTAACATGAAGCCGTCTAATTTTATAACCCCCCTTTTATACAAAACAATAAAAAACACTGGTATAAACAAGATAAAGGAAGAAGAAATCTATACATCTAAACAACACCACCGCTCCAATCCCTCCGCAGCTTTTCGTACTTCTTGAGGTCCGTAACACTGGGTCGGATAAAAGGTTTGGCAGTGACGAAGTCTTCGAACTTGATAGAATCCCGTCTCTTAATGGCGCAGTAACCAGCACGACGCAGCAGACTGCCCAAGTCGGCACCACTGAACCCTTCACACTCCTCCGCCAACCGCCTGAGATCTTCAGAGAAGTCGATGGACAGGTTGCGGACGAGCGTCTGCAGGATCTCGACCCGCTCGAGAGGACTCGGCAGGTTAACGAAGAGGAGGGTCTCCAGACGGCCGGGACGCAGCATGGCGGGATCGATGATATCGGGCCGGTTGGTAGCCGCAATCACGTAGATGCCTTGCCGGTCACTGCCCAGGCCGTCGAGCTCCGTGAGCAAGGTGTTCACAACACGGGCGGAAGCCTCGGAGAGGGTGTCGTCGCGACGGGGGACGAGAGCGTCCAGCTCGTCGAAGAAGATAACGCAGGGGACGGACGAGCGGGCGCGCACGAAGACTTGCCGCACGGCACGCTCGGACTCGCCCACGAACTTGTTGAGCAGCTCTGGCCCCTTGACGCTGATGAAGTTTGCGCGCGACTCGTTCGCCACGGCCTTGGCTAGGAGCGTCTTACCGCAGCCTGGAGGACCCCAGAGGAGGACGCCTGTCGGAGCGGTGATGCCGACGCGGGCGTACATATCGGGTTCTTGGATCGGCTCGACGATCGCGGTGGCGAGCTCGTCGCGAACGCCGCCCAGAGCGCCGATGTCTGCCCAGGTTGTGTCGGGGATTGTCGCAAAGCCTTCGCGCTTGGACGACGGCTGGATCTTGGGGAGTGCGACGAAGAAGTCTGCGTTCGAGACGAAGACGACCTCTGCCTCCGCTCCGATTGGGGTTTCCTTGGCGTGCGTGATGAGGCGACGCAGCTCCTTGACCTTGGGGCTCACACCATCATCTGACTCCTCGAGGTCCATTTCTTCACCGGTGTTGGCTTTGAGTATTTCTAGATATCTTTTGATCGCCGTGGAGCCGGCGGTAGAAACCAAATCGTTGAGATCAGCACCCACGAATCCGGGCGTCCGTTTGGCCAGGGTCTTAAAGTCCAGATCGTCTGCTAGGCGCATCTTGCGCGTCAGGGCTCGCAGGATCTGCTCCCTGACCGGCTCCGAAGGCACCGTCATGTTGATCTCCTTGTCGAACCGGCCTCCCCGGCGCAAGGCTGCGTCCAAGCTGTCTGGCCGGTTGGTAGCCGCAAGGACGATCACCGGTTTCCCGTCTGTTTTCTCCAAGGCTAAGTCATCCATGCATGTGAGCAGCTGCGCAACAATCCGCTTCTCCATCTCCCTCTGCGCACTCTCTCGCTTAGGGGTGATCGCATCGATCTCATCAATGAAGATCAGACACGGTGCTATCCGCTTCGCCTCATCAAAGTGCTCGCGCAACGCCTTCTCCGACTCGCCCGACATTCCGGAAACGATCGAGGGGGCAGAGATCGAGATGAACGGCACGCCCAGCTCCGCTGCAAACGCATTTGCTATCATCGTTTTACCGCAGCCGGGCGGACCGTGCAGCAACACACCGCGGGGAGGCTGCACATTGGATGCCAAATAGACCTGTGGCCGAGTCATCGGCAGAATCACCAGGTCACCCAAGTCCTGAACGACATCCTCCAGTCCGCCCAAGTCGCTGAGGCTCACGTGCGTCGGAGGGGATCGATCAATGGCAGTGTCGGCCTTGCGTCGCTTTGACGAGTGGGATTCGTCGCCCTTTTGACGCCGTTTGCTCGAGGATGGGGCCGATGCGGGGGGCGCATCGGCGTTGCTGGTTTCATTTGACTTTTGGGTCTTTGAGCCCGTGTTCCACATGCCGACGATGCTTCTGTTGAGGGAGTTGGATTCCTGTTCAGTCAGCGCCCTCCTAAACCTCTATAATCCGCTTGTGATGATAACAGCGCTCTCCAGTCCAGAAAATAAATTTCATACCACAGCAGCCGGTTGGTCCAACTGGTCCTCCAAGCCCTCAAAATCACCATTCACAGAATCGTTTTCATCGTCGCCCATGTCGGCTTTCATAACATCCACCACTCGCTCAATGCTGTCTTCCAGCATTTTCTTGGGCTTCCGATTCAAGCTGGAATTAGACCGCTTGATCGCATCGAGGATCACCGGGACCGAAAGACGAAACTGAGTATCATCGGCATGGTCGTCGACGATTTTGCGCACAATTTGGTAGATCTGCGGATGAAGCAATTAGTGAGATGAAGGCGCGATGGGTCCGAAAAATTGCCAAAAAGCTCACCTCTTTATCGAGGCCTTGCCTCAGGGTCGTCCTGCCCCCGCGACGCATTTCCAAGTTTCGAAGTCCCGCTTTCCTGCTGTGGATATTGAGGCCGTTGACTTACTTCCGACTTGGTCGATTTTCTACAAAATTGGGCGGGACCGGAGAATTGATGCACCGACAATCATTTCCAGCCAGGGCTCCACACCTCCCAGTATTTGGCGTATGGTATGGAACCATACATTACATACAGCGTTACATGACATACTACCCCGGAGTTATCGACTTATCGATCAGTCTACCTCCGGAGTCACGTCTGCTCCATACGGACTCTTGCCAGGATGCGATGCAATGGGGAACACCTCCAGCTCTCATAAGATTTCGGCACAGGACCGGTAAGCTTCTACTCATTGACTTGAATCACGTGCACCACACTGCCTTTCTGTTCCTCCCATACGTTCATATGCAACGGCACCAGCCCCATCAAAAGCAGGCCAGCCCGCTAACCACAACGTCTCTTCCCCAGGGCAATCCTCGACCTAAAAAACCAGCGCGACAAACTCCGCCAATACCAAAGACGCATTACCGGTCTAACAGACCGCGAAACAGAGATCGCCAAGAAATGCCTAGCTCAGAATGATCGAAGGCGAGCGCTGCTCGCCCTGCGCCGCAAGAAATACCAAGAATCGCTCCTGGCCAAAACAGACAGCCAGCTGGAGACCCTGGAAAAACTGGTCAACGACGTCGAGTTTGCGCTCGTCCAGAAGAGCGTCTTGCTTGGTTTGCAGCAGGGGACTGAAGTGCTCCAGGCGATTCACAAGGAGATGGGTGGTATTGAAGGTGTTGAGAAGCTGATGGGTGAAACGGATGATGCGAGGGCTTATCAAGAGGTATGGGATGTCCTTGTTTATGTGAGATTGTACTAGAATCTGACCACATGGGGGTGCAGGAAATTACCGAGATGCTCGCGGGTCGGCTGTCGGCGCAAGATGAGGATGAGGTTGAGGATGAATTGGCCAGCTTACAGCGCGAGAGGCAGGGCCCCGTTGTTTTACCGAATGCTCCTGTGGGACAACCGGTGAGAGGGCCAGAGGAGGATGAACCTCCGGTCGAAGAAAGAGCGAGGTCTGAGCCACAGGGCGCAATGCTCGCTTCCTGATTGATATACATTCGTTGCGCAGTTGAAAGCTTGGAAACTATAAACACGCGGTATAGATCATCGGAGCAAAGCATTTCTGGCGTTGGTTGTTTCTCCCCGATTGCATTCCTGTTGGTTTTCTTTCCCTACATTTGTATACACCGGCAATTGAGACTTGTCTGTCAATTCACTAGTCACCCAGCTAGACGTCCGGCTCTGCAATCCGACTATTGATATGAGTTCCCTCATTCCCTTCGCGATTTTATTCTCTCTTTCTCCCTTTTTTCTTTTCTTTTTGTAGTTATCCGGTATGAAGAAAATGCACCGTGCTAAAACGTGATTAAAACCAGGGTATTCCATCCAGAACTTCCCACCATTCCCTCATTGACCAGGCATAATCCTCCCGCCAATATCATTGACTCCCTGAATGGAGACATGGTCACCAGGATTCGCTGCGGCCTCGTAGAGAAAGCTAATAGGTTCCCGACTCAAAGCCATGAACTGGCCCTTAAAACCAATGTAGCCGACCTTAGTTACATCCTCCTCGCCATCGCTCCAGTTGTCCTCGAAGAACAGGGTCATCGAGGTAGTGGCGTTCCAATGGGCACGGTTCAGCGGTAGCTCGAAGACATCTGCCCCCGGGACAGGCTGTGGGACCTCGACGGTCTGTACGGGTTTGAGATCGGATGCCGTTGAGAAATCGAGGTCATCGCGGTTTTTGAAAAGCTTTAACGTCTTGGGGGCGGAGGATGTCGGCGCGGTGTAAATGAGAAGAGAGTGGACTTTGACTTGGCCTGCAAATCTGCGGGGAGGAATTAGTATCTACTTTATGATTTGACAAAAATAAAAAACCTGTGTGCAACCATTCTTCGATAGGGTGATGCTATTGAAATGTCATTTCCGCGGGGACAGATGAGGGGCATTTTGGCGGGGTGATCCAGCATTCGCGGACAGAAAGAACAACGCGAAGGCCGATCCAAAGAGAAACAGAAAAGGTATCAACATACGGGATGTACATCAGAAGCTGCTCGTCAGCATCGCTCTCGAGTTCCGGCTCATCGTTCAGCCGTTCATTCCACGTTTTTTGTACAATCTTAGCCCCAGAATTCGGAGCTGCCTCTGCAACCTTGTTAGCAGTGTCCTGGGGGCAAAAACCGCACGTACAGATAATGGAATCAATTCATATGAGTGGCAGTACCATTTAGCGTGGTAATAGAATCGAACTGGATCTGTGAGTAAAGAAGCGATTGAATTGCAGGTGTGATATCATTGGAATGGTCATGGCCCTCCGCGTGGCAATGGCCGCCGTGGCCGTGATCGTGGTTGTGCCCGGACATTTGGGTGTGCTTTGATAGTTTATAAGATCAGTATGGATGGCAGCTCTGCCTCGAATCTATGAGCAGAAGCCTTCGAGTCTTGAGGATAGAGTGATAGCTTATAGACTGTGGGTGGAGGAATCAGTAAGATGTTCTCCGCGCCGAGAGAAAAACAATGGGTGCCCGCCAGGACCATGACGTCGGCGCTTTCTCTATCACTACACTGTCTTCCTCTTTCCTGAATTTCACCTCTACCGACGACATAATAAATGTCGCACTGGATATAGTCGCGTAATAAAGCCAAGGATACCACACTATCTTCTGTAATCGAGTGATAATTCCTCTTCTTTCATTACAACACACGTCAAGTAGACTCTACAACAACAGCAACAGCAACAAGACAAATTCTACAGTGCTGATTCATAGTGCATTTACTTAGTGAAATTGGGAAGACTCTATCTATCGTCTTTGAACCAACGTTAAAAGTGGCTGGTGTCGCAGCTGATAAACATTTAGCTGGCCAATTAAGCCATTCTAGAGACACAAAATCTATAGTAAAACATCTGCTTGCTCATCGCCTGCCATAAGCACTCTCGTAGAGTCAGATTAATTCACTTTATAATAATTTGGAGCATATTCGAGTAGATAGCCCTTTTCGATCTTCGTGACATCTCGGATGAAAGTCTTCTCGCCTGTTTGTAGGATCTCGTGGAAAATGACCCAGTCGGCTTTTCGATTCTGCAAGCTATTAGCAAAAAGCATGAGACAAAGCGGAAGGTACCTCGAGAACATACAAACATCAACGAGCTGGGGTGCGCATAGAGAGTAAGGCCACCTGTGACTGTCTTGAAGGTGCCGTCGGGCTGCATCTTTGCTGCATGGGCGAAATAGCCAGTGGTAAGACATCGCTGGATCTGCTCAGATGGTTTCCCCAGATCCTTTTGCGACTGTCGGGAGAGAGTTTCGTCGACCTGGATGCCGAAGCGTTCCAGATACCGTTTCAGCTGAGCCCTGATGCTCACTGCCCGCTGCAGAGACCGATAGTTCAGAAGATTATCCCGACACCACTTGGAGTCTTTCTTCCCTTTGGTGACGAACGCTTGATACACGTTGAGATACGTCAGGTGATCCCCTTCTTCGACTGCGAATTTCCGGCGACAGCTTTCTGATGATTTTCGGTCGCCTTCATGCTGGACCCACACGGTCCCTTGGAGGCTGACCATAGCTGCAATTGTGAGGATCTCGCTCAAGCAGCCAAAGGTCTGTGCCGAGAGGAGGACCTTGGCCATCATCGGCTCAACCGCCAATTCGGCCATTCGCATCCCCAGGGGCTTGGTGAGCTTGGCATGATCATCAACTGCACCTAGGGAGTACAGGAGCTCAAACGCACGGATCACAAGGTGGGACGGCGGCGGCGTCAAGAAGTCGAAGCGGACTATGTTGTCTATCCCAAGGGCTTTGAGCTGCATGACCACGGGAGCCAGGTTGGATCGCTGAATTTCAGGAACTGTCGCGTCTGGGAGCTGCTCGTATGCCTGCTGCGTATAAAGGCGGAAGCATTTTCCAGGCTTGGTTCTTCCCGCTCGCCCAGCACGTTGGACCGCCGCTGCCTTCGATATAGGTACGCCTGTCAAAGTCTCGATGCCTGTCGTGGGGTTGTAGGCTCTTAATTTGGCAAATCCGCAATCAACGACGTACACGATGCCGTTGATTGTCACTGATGCTTCGGCGATGTTCGTAGACACGATGACCTTGCGTGTGTTCTCCGGGGCCGGTTCAAACACGTACATTTGTTGGTCTGTCGTAAGACCGGCATAAAGTGGCAGAGGGAGTATTGATTGCGCCTTTGGATGAAGAGTCGCCGCACGCTCCGAAATCAACTGGATGGCAGTGTCAATCTCTTCGCGGCCTGTTAGGAATAACAAGACATCGCCTTCGGCCTCTTGCAGATGAATATCAAACACCGTTCTGACGGCCCGTTCAACGTAGTCTTCTGCAGGGGACTCGAGAAACAGTATGTCCACCGGGTACATTCGACCTTCCAGACTGATGATGCGCCCAACGCTGCCTCCAAGATCCTCAGAGTCCGCTCCATTTTGGAACTCGTCGCCGGCGAAGAAGCGTAGAAAATCCTCCGCTTGGAGGGTCGCACTACTGACCACGATTCTCAGCTCTGGACGCCTCTTCATGATCTTCTTAAGGATACCCAAGAGGATATCAGTACTGAGGGATCTTTCATGCGCTTCATCCACCATGATCACTGAATACCGTGACAACAGAGGATCCACAAGGGCCTCCCGAAGGAGCATTCCGTCCGTCAGAAACTTAATTCTGGTAGAAGCAGAAGTAAGGTCCTCGAAGCGAATCGAATAGCCCACCTCTTCACCAAGCTTGCATCGCATTTCCTCAGCCACCCTTGCTGCCACAGTGGTGGCAGCGACTCTGCGCGGCTGCGTTCATTTAGCTTAGGAATAAGAAAAGGGAGAAAGTAGATAGAGAGAGGGGACAACTGACTTGCGTCACCGCGATGGCTTTTCCATCTGCACACCATCCCACTTGCTCGAGATACTGTGGTAACTGTGTCGTTTTTCCACTCCCCGTCTGCCCAACAACTATGGTGACAGGGTAGGTCTCCGCCAGGTAGAGTAGGCTTTTTCTATGTCTTGCTATCGGCAACAAAGCCGCAGGCTTGTATAGTGATGGGATAAAAGTAGACGAGAGATCCAATTCGGAAGCCATTTTCTAATACCTAGCATCGAAATGCGCGACAGCAGAGGTAGTATTGATCTTCCGCGTCCGCACGGCAATGCTAACAATCGCTTAATTTTCAACCGAGATATAATCCGTCGTCAATTAGCAGGTGCAATTGATCCATCTTGAAACGCAGAGTCGACACCTGCGTCAAATCAACCGTATGCCAGAACCATGGGGGAACAGACGAAGCTCTACATCAATTGTTTCCATCCGAATATCAATCGTACTCAAAATCCCGCTGAGGTAATCATCGTTTCGACATCACGTGGGACCCAACGTCACTGCGCATCGAGAGTGGCTGAGCAGCACTAACTAGTTGGAGCTTCCCGTCACTCTGTATGGAACGGACTACTTGTTACTGATCTTCCGCCTAGATTGCCGTCTGCCTGTGAGGCTCATTTACAACCCCCCACTCTGTCCTTATAGCTGGAGTTTTTTTTTAAAAATACCTTTTACAACTAGGTTTAATACTTTCTGAATACTTTCCATTTTCGGATCCTCTTCGTTATTGTTCCGCGCTCACCATGTCGGAGGAAGATAGGAGTGTATGTTCAACCCCCTCTTTACCCCACAGCGGTCGTAATGTGGTTGCTGATTTGGAGATGATAGACCCCCAGCAAGCCTTCCGGACCGATCAGCCCTAAGCCGGAATCTCCGACCACGGCACGGCCTTTGGACTTCGACGATGAACCCCAGGAATCGGGCGTGACATCGGGCTCTACCTCTCAGCAGAATGCCCCTCCAAAGCCACCTCGCCCATTGAGTCCCCAACAACAGGCTGAAAATACCCTCAAAGAGGCATTCCCATCCATCGAGGGGTCAGTCGTGAAGGCCGTCCTGGTGGCGAGTGGTTGGGATGTGGAACGAGCCTTCCATGCTCTACTCGGTTGGTGGTTACTTGAGCATCAAGCCTCGGCCTTCAGTTAGGCTAACCATACGCTTCTAGGGATGACTGATCCGAGTGCCGCGGATACTGCCCCTCCGAAACCCCCGCGCCCTACTGCAGCCCAAAGACAATTGGAGGCAGATGAATTGTATGCCCGTCAATTGGCTGAGCATTACAATCGCCGTGCGCCGCCGACTCAGCAGCCATACTCTGAGAGACCGAGAAGGGGGAGTGACTTGTCAGACGAGAGAGAATACAGCTTCTTCGATGGTACTTATATTTCCTTGCCCGTGGCGTTTCCTAGCTAACCGAACTGTCGATAGATGATCTTCCTGTGATTCGTGATAACCTCCGCAAAGGTTTCTTCGATACCCAAACAAAAGTCTCTGGCTGGTTTCAAGATCTCAAAAAGCGAATCGATGGTGAAGAGGAAGATGGCCCACAGGCTTCGCACAATCATCGCGAGGCAGAGTACAGCCGCGCGAGACGCAGTGGAGACATGGGCCGTCGCAGTGGGGACCGCGAACGTTATGATGCCGATCCGCAACTGTTGAGTGATGATTTCTCTGCGCTCGAGTTGAGAGATGGAGAAGGTATGTAGATCCTGTGTACTTGTCTTGTGTCCTTTTATGCGCCATGTTTATTGACCTCGGCTGTAGCACCTCCGCCCCGGCCCCCAAGGCCGCTGGCGGGCTCGAACCTGTCCAAGCGTTCGTCGCCCTCGCCAGACAGGCGTAAGGTTTCTTTCCAGGAGGGACCCCCTACTGAGATCAATGATCGCTACAGCGCACCCGCGTCGTCAAAGCAGAACCCTTCCGCTGGAGGAGGCAAATCCAGCAAATGGCAACCTCTCTCCACTATGGAACCGTCCCCTGTTGCGGATAATGATCCGTTCAGCCTGGGCGACAGCGATGACGAAAAAGACCCCAAGCCCAAGGAAAACTCTCCTGCGGACGAGGGCAGCCGTACCAAGAAGGATAACACCGAGGCCACGACTGGAGACGCTGCATCAAAGGACAATAAGACCGAAGATGCTAGCAAGTCGTAGGTCAAACCCTCCCAGCATTTATCTTTTGCTTGGCCTTCTGCGTATCGCTAGTGGATGGCTATCGGTCCCCTTTTCCTTTCATATAGTCTTGATATTGATGATACCAGATAATTATGCGGGGATACACTGAAAGTGTGCAACCGTTTGTTTTTAAGCATGTGCTAGTAATTCAGTAAAGATTTTTAATAATCCATTTCTTTTCCTTTTTTCTTTCCTTTTGAATTTCATCAGCGGCGCATAACAGTGGGTATCTCTAAAAACACTCCCAATGGCGAAAGAAGCCCCAATGGATCTTGAAAGTGTAAGGGGAACAAATGTAGGCAAGAGAAGACGACAAAACAAGATCAATCCTGCTCATTCGGAAACCCACGGGGAGTAGGAACCGACTCCTTTCGTAGGTCCTTAATCACCGTCTACATGGTCCGATCAACCCTATTAGTTTCACAATGACTCCAGAACTAGCCGGCATAGGAAAACCCACAGCGAGCGCATCCGGATTAACACCATTCTCAATCAAAGAGACACACAGAGAGAGCTCAGTGCGATCCAGATCGGTGTTCTATATCCGAGGTTAGCCAAGTGAAGGTTATGGAGACAGAGCGCAAATCGGGAATGGGGCCGTCACGCACCAGGAGCGTTGAGATCTCGTGAAGAATGTCAATCACCTCTCGAGCGGCCTGGCGCTTGTCATCGGACTGCGGTGGCATTTTATCTTATCTTTCAGGCGGTCTATTCCAGACCTTTCGAACTAATAATGTTTAGGAGAGTTCAACCCAGTATTGATTACAACGCGCCTGAACATATCAGACATAAGTTGGTTTGAAGGGCGGTGGATTGTGCTGTTTATGTAAGATAGTTATTTCCATGTTCATAATACTGCGCTAAGACGGATACGGTAAGGTCAACAGCGCGCCGTCGGAGCATAATTTATTCATTTTTGAGGTTCAATATTCATCCAGAATTCCATCTCCATTCAGGTTAGCAGACTCGTTCCGGAGTACTGGTTCAGACTTCTTTCCCTGCCTCCCAGACAGATCCCGTCTTGAATGTAGACCCTGGAGGGGCTCGCAGGAATGTGTGAGAACTTAATCATATCAGACATCCATTCTTTGGACAAGGGCCAAGCATGCACGATCCTTGCTCAGATTGCACGCGTCGAGAAAAAGACCTTTCCCACGAATGAGGCGTTTCCCTTTGGTGAAGAGCTTTGGAGGAAGAAACCCAACACTAGGGTCTTGTATGCGACCAGCGGACCACCAAGTACTGGCCCGTCGTTGATCGCCTATGCGGTTTACGTTCGCCAAAAGGGAGCGGCTTTGCTGCACAAAATATGTGTTGCTGAGCCATATCGCCAAAAAGGTGTTGGGATGCAGCTTATGAACTATATTCAAGAGCGACTGCGGAAAGAGGGCTGCCAGTTTATCCAGCTGTGGGTCGATAAGGCCAGGGATCCTGCTCGATCTCTGTATGTGCGAAATGGGTTTGAGGAACGCGAAGAAATCCCCGACTACTACGCGCCTGGGCGCTCCGGAATTCGAATGATTCTCGTGCTCGAAGGTGGCTCCTGAATGGTTACCTAATATAACTCCTATGCGCCTCCTTGGGCCCTTCTGGTCCCTTCTGGTCCCTTTTGGTCCCTGTACACCAAGGGGGGAGGGGAAGGATTCTTCCCACTGGGTGGTAAAAAGGGGCTTCTCGAATCCGTACCTGTCAAGTCTTCCTTGATTGTCCCGGGGCTGAGATCCTCAGTTGTGATTGGGCACGCGTTCCCCTTGGTTCCTGCGAGACATCCCTTGCAGGGCCGTGCATTTCGCAGCGTGGGCTTTATCGCGTCGGTACATAGCTTCTTCAGCCACGCGCTACATACTTCCTTGACGTCAAACATATCCAGGCATGGCTTTGTTGAAGGGGCTTGCACGCCTTCGTGCCGCTCCTGGGCCCATTCTCCCTCCAACGCGACCACCCTTGAGGGCGATGCACTCCTCTTTCTACGGGTCATGCCCGTTTCTTGAACCCCTGTTCAACTTCCTCTCACCAAATTTCTCTTTGCTTTCGAAACTATCCTTTGAATTCGGCGATCTTCCTATGACCAAGAAGACAAGCGATGTGGGCGTGTCGACTTTCCTCGACTCGGTCTTCATATTCTGAAGACATGGCACGCATCGCGCTGGTAATCCTCGGTCTTCTTTTCTTGGGTGTCAACGCGAGGTTGGACCTAAGTTATCCGGTAAATGCACAACTACCTCCGGTGGCACGAGTATCGAAACCATTCCAGTTCGTCTTCTCCCAAGGCACCTTTGGTGGAAGCGACTCGGAGACTACATACGCCCTCTCCAAGGCCCCATCATGGCTTCATGTGAACAGCAAAAGCCGGACTTTATTCGGAACGCCGAACAAAGACGATACTGGGACCGTGAAATTCGGCCTGACGGCTTCAAATGGACCGGTGCCCTCCGACGTCATGGAGGTCACTCTCATTGTAACGGCGGACGATGGGCCACAACCTGGGAAGCCTCTGCTTCCACAGCTTGAAAAGCTCGGCCCTACCTCTGCGCCCTCCCGGTTCCTTCTACACTCAGGCGATTCCTTTTCGATCTCGTTTGACTCCGATACATTCTCCAACACACGCTCTTCAACTGTATACTACGGAACGTCGCCAGAGAATGCACCCTTGCCATCCTGGGTCGTGTTTGATGAGGCGGCGCTTAAGTTCACAGGGACTACCCCTAACGTTGGGCCCCAGACGTTCACGTTCAACCTGGTCGCCTCGGATGTGGCTGGATTCAGCGCCGCAACTATGACTTTCGAGATGACCGCCAGCCCACATGTTCTCGCATTCAATCACAGTGCGCAGACTTTCTTTGTCACCAGGGGTAAGGAATTTACGAGTCCGGAGTTCATCGAAACCTTGGAGCTGGACGGCCATGCGCTAGCTCCCGCCGATCTATCCAAGCTCGATGTGGATTTACCAGATTGGCTCTCGTTGAACAAGAAAACCTTGTCTTTCCACGGAACCCCTCCCGCAGATTCTACCGACCAGAATGTGACGATCACTGTCACAGACACCTATCAGAATATGGCCACCATGATTGTTAGCCTGCAGCACTCCCAGTTCTTCCACAGCGATTTGAAAGACTGTGACGCCGTTATCGGAGAATTTTTTGAATTCACTTTCGATCAATCTGTGCTCACCAATGACTCCGTTCATGTCGACGTTGAGATGGACCACCAAAAGCTCCCATGGCTACAGTATAACTCTGCCAACAAGACTCTGTATGGCCAGGCCCCATCCGACCTTAGCCCGAGCAAGGATGCCATTCGAGTGATTGCTCGTGAAGGGACTGCCGAGGATAGCCGGGAGCTCGCTATCAATACTGTCGTGGAAAAAACTTCGCGTGACGAAGACAGCGGCAGCGGTATCCGCGGGAAAAAGGCTGGCATAATTGCTATATCGGTCGTGATTCCCGTGGCGTTTGTGATCAGCGTGGTGCTTCTCTTATGCTGCTGGCGTCGCAGACGGACCGCAACGACCCCTGAGGAAGGACATTTACCAGACGAGAAGGGCGGGCCATTGTGTGATCCGGACCTACCGCACTCCCAGCCTTTCGAAGGGACCGCCCAAGGCCAGCCTCCCGTAGTAGGAAGAGACTCACCGTCCTCGAAACCGCCGAAGTTGGAACTGGGGCCGCTGTGGAATTCGGACTCTTTTGATGACACTGCGCCGCTGCGATACCGACCGGGCAAAGAAACCACACTTTCCGGCCCCACTATCGAGTGGGATTTCGCCCCTCTGAGGGATCCAGAGCCAGAAGATGGGAAACAGGCAGACGGCACCCACACCCAACCGAAACGCTTATCCTTCCAAGGCAGCCCACCTATGCGCGGGCGAACCAACACGAGTACCAGACGACGGGAACCGTTGAAGTCGATTCAACCTCGGAGGTCGTTGAAGCGAAATTCCGTCACGTCGTCCAAATCGAAGAGACACTCTAGACGCTCTAGCGGATTGTCCTCGGTCGCTTCGGGGCTACCCGTGAGGCTCAGCGGTGCAGGACATGGTGCCGGTGGATTCGGCCCACCCGGCCACGGGGTAGTCCGAAAATCGTGGCAGAATACGCACGATTCGTTACAGAGTGACGAAAACGGCGTCGGGAACCTGGCCCCGTTGTTTCCACGACCGCCCCCTCGGGCGTGGGGTAACCTCGACTACCCAGCGCGCATGAGCCTACGAACCGTGGAGCCGGATAATATGACGATCTCCGAGTCCGACTCGCTGGAGGCATTCGTGCACGGCCGAGCCAAAAGCCGAAACGCCTCGAATCCCATGTTTTCCGGCCAGGTCAGCCGTACAAACTCGTCAGGTATCCGCGCCCTAGAGAGAGCTCGCAGCAACGCCAGCCACACAGATACCCTTGCCAGCTCCATCTACACCGACGACCATCGACGATCCGTCCACGACCGGCCATGGTCCACCGCAATGTCGGCATCCATCTACACCGACGACCACCGGCAGTCGACCTACCTACAGGCCCTATCGGAGGAGTCGCCCGTCATCCGACCTTTAGGCCCAGTCCCGACAGAGCAGAGCCAGTCGAGTCTCGCCCAGAACTACTCCAAAATGATCGCGCCGCTTCCGCGGTTCCTAAGCCAGTTGAGTCTAGGCAGTGCCCGGCCTAGAGACACCCTCCGCGGGACCGACGACCCCATGAACCCGTTCTCTCGCGACAGCTGGTATTGGGATAGTTCTCATGTGCAGAGATCTACGGGTGAGATGGGGTCGCAGCGGATGCGAAAGAGCCCCTCGGACTCGTCGATCCCGTTTGATAGACGGCTGTCTCGGGCGAGTATGATGCAGTTGGCGGGGAGGGATCTGAGCGAGCGGCGCGGGATGCAGCGCGACTTGACGGGGGGGAGTCGGGGTGATATCGCGTTTGTCTGAAATCAATGTGTGTGTTATATCCATGGTTTGGCGTATGAGACGGTTTTGCATTTTGCATCATGATATCCTCAACGGGTTACTTGGTTTGGTTGATTTTGTTTTGTTCTGCTATATTTTCTATCACCAACAGTGAATATCATCTACTACTAATACTATCGTGACTCCATACAATTTACACCTATCCAAACTGGCTCGTGCTTTGTTCTCTAGTTAGGGCTCAATCATGTAGAATTGCATTCGGTCAACATGTCAGCTGACTTGCAGAGCATTTCCCACACTACTTGTATTCCAACCTTTCTTGCAATCTGGCAACCTCTTCATACTGCTTCAAGAGATCATCAATTTTACTATTCTTGACTGTTTTTCATTGATTTGTCCACGAATCAAAGTGCATTGTAACTTACATAGACCTTACTAAGCCAGTAGGGTACAGTGCTAACTACCTACATAGTTACCTACTACCAGGTAAGTTGAACCTACTAGAACCTAGCAAGATAAGATCCCCATATTTCTTTCTTTTCCAATCCTTCTCCCTTTCGATCTTTTTACCCCCAGCCATGGGTTGAGATCCCAGGGAACTCCTATCTCATGAGCCAAGGAAATGATTGGATAACCGAGGGAGGGATTTCTCGGCGCTCTTTGACACAACACCTTGCCTACCCTGAGGGACCTTGCTTTGGGATGTACTCGAGAAGGCAGGGCATGGCTGGCTGACTGAGTGTATGTAGGTCAAGCAAGGGTGCATGTAAGTACCTACAGGTACCTAGGTACTACCTAGTACCTACCAGGCTGACGGTGAGACGACATTAGGCAGTAGATATAGATCAGATGGGTGCTGCCTGGGTGCCTGATTGGCGGGTGGTATGTATGGTACGTGACCATACCTGACTAAGGTCAAGATCTGGGGAGATTGATTTCATGGTATATACCTACAGAGTAGAGATTGACTCGATCTAGTTGTTCTAGATGGATCATATACCAATTTCAATGTGTCTACCAGTTGAGAAGGATCTGGTTTTGCAATCACTGGATCCAAAGGGAGTAGGGAAGATCTCATCGATCATACTGAAAATTCTGCTTTGTTGAGACTCGTGACTGGTTTCGGTAACTCAGATCCAACCTTAGGCTCAATCTTAATCCCCTCGATCTGGGTTGATCTTTGTTCCGACCTTGAATACAGAAGGTAGGGAGTAAGCAAGGCTAGATGGTAAGTAGGAGGAGGCAGGTAACAATCATTTGAATAACCTACAGTATTCCAGGAGATTTACACAGGTCTGTTGAAGAAGAATCACTCGTACCATCCAAACAGGTGTAGCTCGTCATTGATTCGTTCTCTCGCTTTATCTCTTTTCGTCGCACGTTTTCCCTCGGCCCCTCCATTTTCAAGCATGATTCTTCTGGTTCTTATTCATTAGTATTGAATACGTAGAAACTTGGACTCAAAAAATAAGAATAATTAATTAAATAATTTCTTCTCCATACAAAAGGAATAAATTAAGGAAAAAAAGAAAAAAAAAAAAAAAAGGTCAAAGAGATCGACCGCCTTGAAAGGGTGGGATCACGCCGCCTAAACCTGCGCTGGGCCTTCTCATTCTGCCCTTCTCTCCTCCCACCTGACTTGGCTTCGCTCATTCTCTTCTTTCTCCCTCTCTCTCTCTCTCTTCTCTTCTCTTCCCCCCCCCTCTCCTTCTTCCTCGCTCTATCCAAACTCAAACATCTCAAAGCTTTTTACTCCTGTGGACCCTCACTTCGGTCTTCTACCCTTCTTCTTTCTCTTCTTTTTCCAACTCCTCTTCTACATCCCTTCTTCCCACTTCCCCCTCCCCCGCCTCGTCTCTCTTCATCCTCGGTCTCTCGAGATTCCTCAGTTTCCTCTCTCTCCCTCTCTCCTGTACCCTCTGTGGTATATGCGCGTCGCTGGCTTGTCGTCTTACCCTTTTTGACACTTAATTGCCATCCTTAGAAATCATGGGTCAGACCTTGTCCGAGCCCGTAGTCGATAAGGTGAGTTGTGTCCTACAAAACAATCACCCATGACAAGGGAGGAAAGAAGGCGAAGATTCATGGAAGAGGGGAGGAAGAAAGACAAAAGAAAAACAAATCCGGCGAAACGATGTCTCTGCTGCCTTCCGAATCCTTTCCTCCCCCACATTGTCGATATCAGATCCTTGCCTGCCCATCTCGTGTAGGCAGGATGTGATTTTTTTTTTCCCTCTCCCTTTTTTACTTGCCTCTTTCCCCAAATAATCTTTTTGTTTTCTACTCTGCTATATCCCAATTCTTGTTTATTCTTGTCGATTTTCTCCAAAATGCATTGTCAGATCCCAAGTTGTGTCGTCGTTTCTTCCCCTCTTCTCTGAGGGGCCGCTGCGTGGTGATCCCGACCTGCGGGGTCCTCCACAGGAAGAAAATTTCCCGCTCACGGCTGTGCACCGCGTGATCTGTCACCCCCAACGTGCTCACACCCACCTTTGGACTCCACCCTAGCTAATCAATCACGTTTTGCCGGTAGACTTCCTCCGAGGGTCAAGATGAATGTTGCATCTATGGTGTTTCGGCCATGCAGGGCTGGCGGATTAGTATGGAAGACGCCCATGCCGCTGTCCTCGACCTGCAAGCGAAGTTCTCGGAGAAGCAACAACAGTCCGACCCCGACAAACGTCTGGCCTTCTTCGGTGTATACGACGGGCATGGTGGCGACAAGGTAGCCTTGTTCGCGGGGGAAAATGTCCACAAGATTGTCGCAAAGCAGAAGGCGTTTGAATCCGGCGATATCGAGCAGGCTTTGAAGGACGGCTTTTTGGCGACCGATCGTGCCATCTTGGAAGGTTCGTTGATCGCCATCTCTAGAGTCCCCGGGGACCTTTTTTCTCCGACCATCCCACTCCTCCCTCGTGCCTTGATCCCGTACCCCGAAGCGCCTCCGAACTGACCCGGCTAGATCCGAAATATGAGGAGGAAGTGTCTGGCTGCACTGCGGCCGTCAGCGTCATCTCCAAGCACAAAATTTGGGTGGTGCGTATCCTCTTTCCGGCTTTTCCCTCCTGTCGCGGACTATCGCGGACTGTCGCTAATTCCTCACAGGCCAACGCTGGTGACTCCCGGTCGGTCCTCGGTGTCAAGGGTCGCGCAAAGCCCCTGTCTTTCGACCACAAGCCGCAGAATGAGGGTAGGCTTTTTTCTTCTTCTCGGGGAGCCATTTCCCTGTTATGTGTGGGTTGACGTTCTGACAATGTGACTATAGGTGAAAAGGCCCGCATCAGCGCCGCCGGAGGCTTCGTCGACTTTGGTCGCGTGAACGGCAACCTGGCCCTGTCCCGAGCCATCGGTGATTTCGAATTCAAGAAGAGCGCGGATCTGTCGCCAGAGCAGCAGATCGTGACGGCTTATCCGGATGTGACCGTCCACGAACTCACTGACGATGATGAGTTCCTGGTCATTGCCTGTGACGGTTTGTGCTTCAAGATGGAAACATGAAACTTATTTGCATGTGCGGTTTTGCTAATCGGTTGGTTATAGGCATCTGGGACTGCCAATCCTCGCAGGCAGTGGTCGAGTTCGTCCGTCGCGGTATTGCCGCCAAGCAAGACCTGTACCGGATCTGCGAGAACATGATGGACAACTGTCTCGCGTCCAACAGCGAAACGGGTGGTGTCGGGTGTGATAACATGACCATGGTTGTGATCGGTCTGCTTAACGGCCGCACCAAAGAGGAGTGGTACAATCAGATCGCCGAGCGGGTGGCGAAGGGGGATGGGCCTTGTGCCCCGCCCGAGTACGGCAAGTCTCTCGAGGACCCTCCGGCCTCTAGCCCCTACTGACAGAAACGGGGATGCAGCTGAATTCCGTGGCCCCGGTATCCGGAACCAGTTTGAGGAGAACCCTGATGATTACGACATGGAGAATGATCGTGCGCGTGGCTTCAGTGTTCGCTCGGGGCGGATCATCCTGTTGGGCGACGGCACCGAGGTGGTCCCGGAGCAGAATGACGAGGAGCTGTTTGACCAGACCGACGAGGACCGGGATATGTCCAACCAAGTAGACCGGCAGTCGCCCGACTCGACTCGGAACGAGCGTGAGGGCACCCCCGGGCCGCAGTCGAAGAACAATCCCGCATCCAAATCCGAAGGTGCATCTGCCTCTGCCAGTTCCGAAACTCCTGCCAATCCGGCGTCGGGTTCCTCGGAGAAGTCTACCTCGTAGTGGAGAAGGATACCTTTTTTTTTTGTCTTCTTGCATGATTTGTTTTTTTTTTTTTTTTTGCATCGTATCCTGTGTTTTCTTTCTTATCCCCTTGTTCTTTCCTAATCTTTTGTCACCCCCTTTATGCCTCCTCCGCGTCTCTTTTCCATTTTCCTCTCTCGACCTTTGATTGAAAATGAGACCGGTGTTGTTTCTGTGACTCTTCCCGCCCTGTTTATTTTATGTGATTCTTTTCCCCGCGACCCTGTCCTGAAGCGCCATGTTTTGTCTATCGGATATTCTTTTCTTTATTCCTTTTTCTTTTTCCTTTCTTAGTTTTCCATCTTCCTCCTGCTTTTCCCCCTGATGATTGCAAGACCTTGGGCAATAATGAAATTGGCCGACCAGAAACGGAGGCGAGGGAGGGGTGGAATCGGCGCTCCATGGCGGGGTGATGGATGACTCGTCTCTGCCGCGGGACAGGACGGGGTAATTGGGAGGGGGGGCTGTCTGGAGGGGGGGGAGTTCGTCTTAGGATAGGAGGGTTGTTTGTGCCTTGTTCATTTTCTATTATGTCCCTTTCTTTTTTTTTCCCCTTGATACTCTGTTTCCTCATTACAAGCCGCGAGCGGCAGGCCTCACGAGAGTACGTCTGTTCATGCCTTCTCAGAAGATACCGCACCAAACGACCACAGTTGATGAATCTTGCTATTTTTAACCCATTCCACGCGAACTGTCTTTGCTCGGTTCCTGACGTGTTCGTATCGATTCTTTCTTTTCCTCACATTTTTTCCTTATGATTTTTCTATGATTTCCATGCTATCTTTCTATTAGGTTGTTCTGGGTCATCGGCATTGAATTCCCCCGGCGGGGCGAAGGGACGGTGGCCGCCGGGGAAATCGGGGCCGGGAGGGGCGGAAACGACCCGGCGAGACAGCGAGGCTGAGCCAGCCCTAAAGGTCCTTTTTCTTGGGGATGGACATGTGGGCATGTGGACTTGGTGGACATGGTGGACATGGTGGACTTGGGGGGGAATGGAGGGGCAACCAGGTGGCAAGGAGCATGGACAGCGGAGTTTCTGGAAATGGGAGCTGGATGCTTATCCTTGCAGACTCATGGATCACGATAGAAAAACCTTCCATCAAAAGGGGAAGCTATAATCTCAAGTGATCCTTTTGAAAGCGTTGGGGTCCAGATGATCGTCATCTCGAAGCGATAGGGCGCCCTGGATAGGGGTGGACATGGTACGGGGTATGTCCGATACAATTGTATTGTGTAGATTACAGGGGAGGGATGGGAGGGGAAGTGTAATTATACATACGAATACGGTATTTCAGAACAAGCATTGGGAGGGAGCCTTGGTACCTCTAGTACCTTACAGTAGTCACTTTCGTAAGTGTTCTTGGGTTTCCCCACTGGGGTCACGATGGTGACATTTCCAGCGATGTGCCCCTTTTTTTTGGATTTTCCTCTTTTTACTATCATACTTTGTTGTTTTTTTTTTTTTTTTTGTTTCGACTCGACGCGATCGGCCATGGATTGCGGCAGT